GGGAAGTAGACAAAAGAGAGATATATGGATGCAGGTTGGACCCTGCAGTCGTCTGAAGAGAAAACGACGCATCAGATGCTACAGTTTGGACTTAGCATTCTGCCAATGTATAGGGAAATTGTCAATTTGAACGCAGAGCAAAACAGTTGGATTGCATTAGCAAATATTGCATTCCTGACGTGTGATTTTGATTTTATTAGCTTTAAAGTGGACCTATCATGCTATATTTGAATAATATAGTGTAGGACCATACCTATATAAGGCATATTTATACTTTTTTTTTTTCAAAATACCAAACAGATCATGCATTTTAGCCATGCCTCATTTCGCTCAATTTGACATTTTTTAGCTCTGTTTTTGCAAGGGCAGATTCTGTGAGAACAGCACCACCTACTGGCCTGGCATATGTACTGCAGCGTCTCCAGCGCTTTCGAACGGCAATGGCCGTGGCTGTCTCCTCCTGATTGGTGGAGTTGGCCCAATAGCCGTAGCGCCACCGTCCTGACGTCAGGACAGTGTTCAAATCTGGATCAGTTTTTATCAGATCCGTTGCAGCCCCTTTTTTAGAGATTTGGGTATGGAGGAAAATAGAGAGGGTTGTGTTTTCTGACACTTGGTGAGTTCCCTGGAACACCGGGGACACATATTCATGTATAAAAGACGTACAAAAGTGCATTTTGCATGATAGGTCCCCTTTAAGTTAACTTGTGAAAAGGCTAGTTGGGAAACAATTTGGTCGTAGACACAAGGGTGCGTCTCACTTCGGTTATTTTTCATTTCTTCGCTCCTCGGGCTCGGTATCACCGGAAGTTGATTTGTCAGCGCCATCTTGAGTAGCGTCCCAGTGGCCTTATTTTTGCCGGAGGACCGAGGACCGAGGATCGAGGAGTGATAACGGAGGAGCGATAATCGAGGAACTACCAGACCATCCTCCGGTGAAATCCTCAGACACTCGCCCCGCCCCCTTACTGTGTATTGCTCACTGATTGGACGATGCAGCGCATGCACTGATCTGGCTGCTGTCAGACGATCAGCTGTGCGGCGTCATCACAAACGGACGTCGCTTCACGTGACGCTCCGGAGGAAACGACGTCCCATTGCTCTTAAAACTCATTTCCCTGCTTCTCGTGGTTTCCTTGCGTCTCTCCATGCTTCCCTGGTGGGAGGGACTAGTCGCAGGGAAACGACGCAAGTGAGGGACGCAAGGAATCCATTTAACTGAAGTGAGATGCAGCTACAGTCTTTCACCTCTAACTCAATGCTTGCCCTCAAGCTGCTAATGCACCGGGGACCTTGAGAGAAACTCTTTGACAAAATATCAGCTGTTAAGTTTTGGTTGTTCTCCCCAGAGGTTTTAGCTTAAAGAGGACATATTCTGCTCATTTCCAGGTTCATATTAGCATTTAGTGTCTCTACTGTGACATGTCTCCATGCTTTAATGATCTTTCCTTGATTTTTTTACCAGTTTATATGTGACACCGTAGATAGAAATGTCCTTGGCATGTGTGAGTTACACTACATGCTTATCAATAACATATATTACACCATACTACATTGTTACATATTATTATTAAATTAAAGCATCCTATAGTGTGCTATGCAACATAATGTACCACAGTGCTATACATTAAATATGCCATACCCTAACATACACTGTCCCATACCCTAAAACAGACTCGACTGTACTACTATTGCTGTTAATGTACGGAGGCAACAGAAATACATTCCTGTACATTATTTACTTTTGGACGCTAACTTCAATCTTCTGTCTATGATAGAATTATATTCCCATACACCACCTGGGCCCCTCAGCGTGTAAAGCAAAAGAGAAACAATCATCAGAAACAATCAGAGCGTTTGGAGTTGCCGCTGCGACCATTTATCTTTTCATAAGTTCAATCTGTTCTGAGGAGAAATGTGATCTGACCCAAACGACCTCCAGGCTCCACTATTAGATTAGCAGGGGAGGCTAGCGTTTCAGCTAACCAAATCACCAGTGGACTAATGACACCGGGAGGTGAGGGTCCGCCTGACCTTTGACCTCCAACCTCTATCTGTGCGGCTGTGGACCCTACGCAAGGGTACGACCTGCTAGCCTTCCTCATAACAAACAGGATGAGGGACGGACTTCAAATAGAAAGGAATATTATTGCGAGTGTGTATTCATATTTTAGTAGATGTTGTCTGGAGGGCTCTGAATCCTGAAGGAGACAACATGCCTGCCAGCACACTGATAATGTGTGCGTGTGCATGTGTGTGTGTGTGTGTGTGTGTGTGATTGGGCGGTGTCCAGTAGGGACCTTTGACCTCCCTGAGGTTACCCCCTCCATCAGAGGCAGAGATGAGAGACTCTCTGTCGAACCACATTACTATCCAACATGGATATGATCTGTTTTTTTAATGCAACCACTACACCAGTGACCAATGTTATTATTCTCTAAGAGTGGTCAACAAGACAAAAGGAAAATACAACAATAAAGATATTACACTGAAAAAATAATTCTCTAAGTGTGTGGGTGTGTGTCTGTGCGTGTTTGTGGGTGAGTGCGTGCGCAAAGAGTGTATGTATGTGTGTTGGTGTGTGACGATGAGGGTGGTGTGGATCCTAATGACATCCCCTGACACTACTAGGAAAATAATTACAGCACACACACAAACTGACACACACAAAAATGTCCATGTGTGTGTCCGTGTTTGTGTCCAGGGGTGTGTGAGCTCTGATCTTGGAGGTTTTGCAGCTGTGGCACTGAGCAACAACTGTTGTCACCTGCACATCCTGAACTGTTTCCGTGTGCGTGCGCGTGCGTGCGTGCGCGTATGTGTGTGTGTGTGTGTGTGTGTGTGTGTGTGTGTGTGTGTGTGTGTGACAGGGGAGACTGAGGTGATGAGTCTATCGCTGCAGCCTAGTTATTCTGCAGCTGTCAACATCTGTCTTTCTTTCCCTCGTTTCCTCTTCATCTCTTTCTGCCTCTCCTTACTTCCTTTCCTTTGCCCTTTTCTCTTCTCTTGTCCTTCACTGCTCTCCTATACTTCTTTATTTCCTCCCCAGTATTCATTACGATGGACGTGAAACTATCTGCATCACCTAAAACACAAAAAGCTTTTCTAAAAAAAACAATCCTCATTCGCGATTTATTTATTTATTTTTAATTGGATTCGGAACGGAGGAGTTCACAAACTAGACCGAGGAAGTAGGGGTCGACCGATTATCGGCCTGGCCAATTATCGAGGCCGATATTCCGCATTGTACAGATTATCGGTATCGGCTTTTTTTTAAATCAAATTGCCGATACGACTTTGGCTCTGATGCGGCCGTTTCTCTGGCTGCAGTCACCACTCTGTGTTCACGAGCAATGTCCCGCCCACAGCGCTATCTGATAGGCTATTACTGAAGTGTCAATCAACACTGAAGATTTTCCGGGCTGCAGCCAGCCAGAGAGGCGGGACCTTATCAGATTACAGGCAGGTGCGAAGAACGCAGACAGAGGCAAGCAGCAGCAGTGAGCGGTGTTTCGACGGTAAATCAGTTGAAAGCCGAAGTTCAATAAACATCCCAATCCCCTATGCTGAAGTTGCAAAAACACCACGATCTTATGATCCAATTCTATCAGTTTCCCAGTTACAAAGGGACCGGGGGGGGGGGGTAGCGTCTCGCAGCGGAGAAACTGTGACGCGCTGAGACGACTGGGACGACTGCTAGTGGAGCCTCGCAGCAACTCTGCTTTCTGCACCACAATCTGCTGAATTGGGACTACTAAATGAGTGAGACTCAAATATCAGAAGTTCAGAACAAGTTTTAGTAGTTTTTATTTTATTTTTACTTTACTCGGGGTCACAGAGAGGAAACCAGTTTTAAGATGTTGAAAAGTTCATTAAACATAGTTCAAAGAAGTTCTGTTATTCTACATTTTGACACCAAGATTTTCTGATTTTACTGCAAATGTATATCGGTTCCAAATATCGGTTATCGGTCTCCTTGATTACTAATAATCGGTATCGGTCTTGAAAAAGCCATATCGGTCGATCCCTACGAGGAAGTAAGAAAGAAAGGGAGGAAAGATGGAATAGGAATGGAATCTTTGAGGCGCCTGCTAGAAAATGTAATACTGCAGAGACTGAATAAAAAAAAACCCTGCTGTCAATAGGAGAAAAATGAGCAGTGAGAAATGATAAATTGTCAGACACATCTGTGATATTGACTGGTCTGAGAGAGGGAGTGAGTGAGGGAGGAGGAAGGACAGAGGGCGAGGAGAATGTTATAGACGGTTCTAAAATGGTTTTAATAACACCAAATCTTCTTTTAGACATACAAGTTTATTCTCTTTTAATTTCCCTCATTTCTTAATTCTGTATGATGATGAGATGATGATGATGATGATGAGCTGGTTGATAGTAAATAAAAATACACTGGTTATAAAATGTTTGTAAGTATGAGTGTAGTCACTGTATGTGTCTGCCACCGTTAAACAGGGCAATGTGTCAAAATAACTGTGTGTGTGTATATGTGTATGTGTGTGTGTGTGTGTGTGTGTGTGTGTGTGTGTGTGTGTGTGCTGCTTAGCCGTGTGGAGAAGGAGATGCTATGTGTTCCCCTAAGTGTTCTGTGCTGCTTAGCCCCGATATATTTGATTCCCTGTCTTATGTAATATAATTTGTGGAACCAAATAAAGTATTCAAGTGTGTGTGTGTGTGTGTGTGTGTGTATGTGTGTGTGTGTGTGTGTGTGTGTGTGTGTGTGTGTGTGAGATAAACTAAAAGTACACTGGCATTACGCTTCAGACAACACACACACCTTTTCAATTTAACATAGCACCACTGTTGATTTCTGTAGGTTATACACATTGTTTTTACCCTTACGCAATTAAATCAGTATTTTTTGTTCCTACCTGCTATGATGTCGTCATCCGTGACGTCCATTTCCTCCTCAGGAACCTTTGCTTCTATTGGCTGAGCCTCGGGAGGAGGCGGAGCCGGAGGGGAGGGCTCAGTGGTGGAGCCAGCTGAGGAGAGAGAGAAACATTTCATATTATTATAAAAAAGCAGCCTGTGGTGTCACATGAAACACACGGATGACAGGGGAAATTTAAATGTGTGTGTCATTGTTATATGTATATAAGTATATGTACACGTGATTCTACGTATGATAATATGGATGCAAGCATTATAATGAGGTTGGTAGTGCGGTCGTACGCACAGTTTTTATATTCAGAATATTCACAAATCTCTGTCAATACAACTCTGTCTGCACTGTGATGAACATAATTACAATAAGCTGTGTGTGTGTGTGTGTGTTGTTAGTAAGCTCATTCGGTGTTGATTCTCATTATCAGGATAACTGTCTTGGTTAAGTAGCTAATAAAGGTTTATATGGCCTCCTTATCACACACACACACACACACACACACACACACACACACACACACACACACACACACACACACACACACACACACACACACACACACACACACACACACACACACACACACACACACACACACACACACACACACACACACACACACACACACACACACACACACACACACACACACACACACACACACACACACACACACACACACACACACACACACACACACACACACACACACACACACACACACACACACACACACACACACACACACACACACACACACACACACACACACACACACACACACACTATATTTAGTGTTTTCATTTAGCCCTTATCTCTCCATTGCCAATTACGAGTGGCTTTCCATTAGCTGCTTTGCTAATGAATGATGCAGCGCTAATGAATGAAGCGACTAAAGGTAACGGCTAATCTCTGGGAAAACAGCATCATTAATTAATTACACACACACACAAAAACAACAGCCTGAAAAAAGAGATAATTTCAGAAATAAACATCATTTGGGGCATTTAAAAAAAGTGTAATTACATTGATTGTTCCTGGTTAACACTGTGCCTCATGTTTCAATTAACCTGCTCACACACACCGCTGACAGCCCGTCACATGACTCTATACAGCTTACACACACAAAGAAATACACAGCCTGGTGGTTAATTTACCGTGATTAAAGTGATAAAAAAAAGACTTAATTGAACTTAATTAAAAACACAATTGATGCTTTGCTGTGATTGGATAAAAAGACAAACTGATGTTTCCAATTACAAAGAGCTCTCAGTTCAATTTCAGTTCACAGGAGCTTTACAGTGTTGGGTGCAAGAGCAAATCCACAGAAACGAATAATTAGTAAAGATACATGTGATAGATACTATGTTCTGATTGGCTGACAGGTGTTACGGTTTGTCACGTCAAAAACAAAAGGTGGCTGAGAGGGCAAAATGCACAAAGGAATCATCCATAGGAGCAACAGATGAGCTGATACAAGAAATCTCTCCTTAGGGAAACTGATAGGCATACACACGCGGTTGCAAAAGGGTTTGAATGTTATAGTTTTATGTGTGCGTATTCGGAGCGGCATGAATCGTTACGCAATGCTGTTGGCCATGCTGCTTTAATGGTGTTTAATTTAGGTCGCTTCACTTGATAGTTTTGTGGGCCCTCCCATAAAAACCTCATGCCTTGGCGCCGGGTTCTCGAACATAACGTGAACCTCTTGTAAGCTCGACATTATCTCAGGAATCTAACCTTAAACTCATTCAAAAAAACGTTGACTTCCAGATGAGGAAGCCCAGAAGTGCTAACATGCTAAATGGGGTTAAGGACTCATTCCTGCACCACTTTATGAACCACTGTGCAGATTTGGCTAATTATGGTGTCGATAAAAAGGCACACACACACGGACAAAGACACACACACCCCCAGCCTATAACTGCAGGAGCAGAGGGAGGTGGAGGAGGGGCGGGTGACAGGGGGGAGGAAGAGGGGGCGTTCTGCCCTGCTCCAAGGTCAAGCTTGTCATGTCAGCCATGACACATAGCTCCCAGCATGCCTTGTTAACCTCCAGGATCCCGTCCTCCGCCTCCTCCTCTCTTCTGTCAGCCGCTCTCTCTCTCTCTCTCTATGTTCTTTAAATAGAGGGCTCTCCTCTTTTCCTATTTCAATTTCCTTTTATCTTTTCTCAAGAACTATTGATAAAACAATCAATGGAACATTTTTATTTCATGGTTTCTCTCTTGGAGAATTAGGCAGTCCAGTGTCCTTTATAGCATCTGTATTATTATTAATTCTTCAATTATCTTTGAATAATTTTAACAAACATATTTCAGAAATGTATTTATATCTATTTTTCGTATTTATTTTTGTGCTTTACAAACACATCCTACTTGTTTAGTCTTTTTGTCTTTATTAGGATCCCCATTAGCACTAGCATGAGCATTGGCTATTCTTCCTGGGGTCCTCACACACACAAAACATACATACAACAAAATTAAAACAAAACAAAACAGCTCATACTGTAATTTCATGCAATTTACAGTGTGGTATGAAGTGAAAACTAAAATGGTCATCCAATTATCGCCATCCTAAGGCCAAACCAAAGTAAATACAAATAAGTGTACATAATATATGCATACATAGCCACAGACACAGTTCAAATTTACTTTATAATACTTAAAGTGGACCTATCATGCTATATTTGAATAATATAGTGTAGGACCATACCTATATAAGGCATATTTATACTTTTTTTTTTTTTAAATACCAAACAGATCATGTATTTTAGCCATGCCTCATTTCGCTCAATTTGACAATTTCTAGCTCTGGGCAGATTCAGTGAGAACAGCACCACCTACAGGCCTGGCACATGTACTACAGCGTCTCCAGCGCTTTCGAACGGCAATGGCCGTGGCTGTCTCCTCCTGATTGGTGGAGTTGGCCCAATAGCCGTAGCGTATGGAGGAAAATAGAGAGGGTTGTGTTTTCTGACACTTGGTGAGTTCCCTGGAACACCGGGGACACATGTTCATGTATAAAAGACGTACAAAAGTGCATTTTGCATGATAGGTCCCCTTTAAATAATTTTTTAGCAACCTTTTGAAATGTACTTGAGAATTTTCCTGAATGATGTCTAAAGAGTTCCACATTACTGTTTTCTGTCCCATATTTGATTTAGATTTGGGTAATACAAACCTTCCTTCTATTGTATGTCGTGTTTGATAGTTATGTTGAGCATATTGCGCGATAAACCTTTGTGATAATATATGTGGTGAGTGAGTCACTGTAATATTTCTGACAAAATTTAACAAAATATAAGTTGACCTCTGTCTGACAGTTAACCATTTCAGTGACTCTTATTATTGTAAATTTAACAAAAACTAATATCTAAGGAATATATTGGAGAAGGTTATGTATAAGATGTATTTAAAAGAATATAAGGACACTCAATGTCACCTACATCGACCAAGCAAAGAATGAAGAAGGGACGGAAAAAGGGCAGAGGAGGTGATAAGGGGGAGGAAAGGAAATGAAGTGGAAGAGAGGGAGGAGAAGTGGTGATGAAAAGACAGAAAAGAAACAGGTTATTAGGAGGAGGTGAGAGGATGACAAGAAAAGCAAATGAGAGTTGGAGGCGGATCTCTGACAGCAGGTCCACGAGTTTAAAGAAGACGGACATGACTGGGTGATCGAGGCAGATCGTGAACTAAAGACTGAGGAGAGAGAGAGAGAGAGGAAATGGTGACTGCTGTTCAGCGATCAAAGAGCTTCACACACACCGTTTGACCCTAAAAACTGTGTGTGTTCATGCGTGTGTGAGGCCGAACAATACCAGGGACTTGTTTAATCAAGTGTGTGTGAATATGAGTGTGTGTAGAGACCCTCTCTCTCTCTCCAGGGCCCCAACAGTCCCCTTTCTCCCCCCCCCCCCCCCCCTGCAGATCTGGAAGTCTTCCACCCCAAAGATTAAAGCTTTACTCTCTGTTCCTGCTTTGAGTCCATATGCTAAGCTAGGCTAACCGTGTCTGTCACAAACATCAAAAAACATATTGATTTTCTCATCTAACTCGAAGCTATAATGAATATTTCCCATCTTTTTGTTTAATAATACTTATTCTTTGTAGATTTTATACAGAAAAATCTTTATTAAAGTTTATAAAAGTGAATCCTAAGTATTATTGAAAAGTATGATTTATATAAAAAGCACTAGCTCTTTGATGTATACATGTATTGTTTTTATATTTTATATTTTAATGCCTTGTCTGTTTTTAGTTTATTGTGAAATATCTGAAAGCTATGTCTCCAAAGCAGCTACTTAAACTGAACCGTGATGATAAACGCTGTGCTTGGTTCATTTCTCTCCCTCTGAGTGCAGGTTAACAACTCCAGCTTTGCCCCGTTTCCTTTGTGTTCAAACCTTTTAAACGCTTCCAGGAGAGCTCAAAGGTCAGGGCCACTGCTGTGTGTGTGTGTGTGTGTGTGTGTGTGTGTGTGTGTGTGTGTGTGTGTGTGTGTGTGTGTGTGTGTGTCGATTGCTGAGCCCAGTACTGCGACAGTAGGACTCAGTGACATTTCCTCCCACAAAAAGCTAATGGATAAATACAGGTGTATTCCTTTTAACATCAACTACTCTGCTGCTGGAGAGGATGAGCTGAGAGAGAGAGAGAGAGAGAGAGAGAGAGAGAGAGAGAGAGAGAGAGAGAGAGAGAGAGAGAGAGAGAGAGAGAGAGAGAGAGAGAGAGAGAGAGAGAGAGATTTTACACGAGACATTCAAAGTGTTTTTGACGCTCAACACTTGTACATGTACACTTTCACTTCAGAAAATGGACCCTGGGAATTTATTGATGCTACAAGTCTGTTGTTTTTTCTCTAGCCCACTTCTTTCACAGGCTCTTGTTCCCCATCACATATCTCCTGCTTTCTATAGTCGTGCACGAATGAGTCCTGAAACACGGAAATTAGTTAGTATTTTATCACTTGCTGTTCCTAGTCAACAAGTCAACTGTTTTTACAACAAGTTTTGGGTCAGATGCAAGGATTTAAGATCTGTGGCTAACACAAGCTGAAGAGATTTTTTTACGTTTTGTTCCACGACATAAAATAATCAGTACATACTCCACTCGTGAATGTCTGACGCTTCTGTGTTGCTTAAATACGGCGGTTGCTAACAAGTGAATGAATACACTACTAAACGTCATCAGGCAGAATACGAGTCTCTCAGCTACAGTATGTAGTTTGTCGATAGCCTAACATTAGCTTTTTCCTTCTGGCGAGTGCATTTACTCTTCCTCTGCGTTTGTCAGAGATGTTTTATTCTGTAAAATATTCCAAAATCCGATGGAAATTCCCATCGGATTTTGGACAAACGTTAATCTGCAGCGATTAAAACACAGGGTCACAGACCAGGAATGGTTGACACACCCTGTCTTACAGGAAGAAAATAAGGTCGGAGTTTTAGTTCAAAATGTGTGGAAATCCTATATTTCGTGTTCCACAACAGACTTCTCCAGAGGATTCAACACATTCCCCGAATTTTCCCATGATATTCCAGGAGCGGCGGGAGTCGTCTTACTCTGTTCCAGTATTGCTGTGCAGCAAACAGATCAAATTCAATGACCCTTTAACCTCTCTCTCTCTCTCTCTCTCTCTCTCTGCCCCCCAACCCCCTCCCCTAGTCCCCTGAGGTCACCACCAGCCCATCACTCCCCCCCCCCCCCCCGGTACTGCTCTGGTAACACAATACTGACCGGTGCCCGTTTCCATGGCAACTGTTCCCCTGAGAAACCCCCAGCATCCTCAGCAACCACAAGGCGACTCCCAAACACACACAGGACACACAGGACACACAGATTATTTTAGTCGGCTGTTTCTAGTAACAGACGGTGGAGCTCTACCTTCCTTCTCTTCAGCAGGTGTAACTATAGACAGAGAGACGGAGAGCATGGAATATATAAAATTGAATAGAGAGATAGAGATCGGGAATAGTTCCTTAAGCTGTGACAAAAATGTAAAGCTAACTGATCTTTAAAACCACAAACATGACTGGAAATAATGTTTGTCAAACAAATTAATACTGCAGGCAGCAATGGATGGGTCCTCACATATCAACCTGTTTTAGGGGTACTGTTGTGACCCTGTAACCGCTGCAGTGCATAATGGGTGACTATTAAAGAACCAGGGAAAGACACTGGAAATGACACATTGCAAATCATGCAGTACTTCCATTATGCAGTATGTAGCGCTAGAAAACACTAGCTAAACAAACATTATTATGATGCTGTACTGATTATCATGTGTAGACCATACAACGTCCAACAAGGCTGACTTTCTGCTGGTCGTTGGTCTATGACTGTGGGTCATTGTTGACTTGTAAAAGTCCTCAGACAGGGAGTCTTATCATGCATATGGGATTTAGGGCTGTAAAAACAATGTACATTGGAGTTGTACAAACCTTCTGTATTATGGCGAGTGTCTCAAAAGTGGCTACGACATCAAAGCAAGGGTCTTGCAATGGAAAACTTTCTTTGTATTTTAGTCTTTAGGTTCTTAAAATGGAACGGACAAAATCTGAATATGGTTTAAGTTTTGTAGCGGTTGCTAATGAGTCCCCTTACGATACAAAAGCAGGGAAATTGTAACAGTGAATATATTTGGGTTCTGTTAATGCATACGCCAAGTTTTGTGCATTTTCCATGGTGAATGGTAATGGAACTACACTTTTTGGGGTTTTTTTTTCCAGTCTGTGATTCCTCAAAGAGCTTTTTCATAAAGAAGTTTATCATCCCTAAAAGACAACTTCCTGTTTCATTGATAACGATGCATTCACAAACTTCTTTCACATATCTTGTATTTGTTTCCTCATATCCACAGAGGATGCAGTCTCAATTGCCCTCCACTTAGTACTCCCACGTCTGTAAAATAACAACACCTACGTCAAAATGCTTTTTGTTGATTTCTCCCACACAATATTTTTTATTAAACCTACCACTCTGGGCTTAAAAACCACACTCTGCAACTGCATATTGGAATTTCTCACAAAGAGCTATCACTCAGTTTGGTTTGGTGGCCACACTGCCTCTACTCTTGTGTTCAAAACTGGGGTTCCCCAGGGCTGTGTGCTCGGCCCCCTCCTGTTCAAGCTGTACATCCGCAACTAAAAAGGAGGTATAAACCAATCACATCTTTCTATCATTCTTTGAGTTATATGGCAGTGTTGGGTACTTACGGGAGCTGACAGTGTCCACGTACTGAGGCAGGTATGGAGCCCACAAGTCAATGGTGTCTTTACGTCCTGATTGGCCAATCCGCCTCAACTCAGCCAGTAAGAGAGCTTGAGCTGCTTCACGCACCTAAAACGGAAAATAGGGTAAGGTTATGAATTGTTGTTTTACTTCCATACAGGGTCATTAGGTAAATAGCCATGTTGAAGCTCATGCTATATCATTTTAAAAATGTTATTCATTTTTACATTTCAAATAATTCATATCAATTATCCTGTTATTAGAAAAAGAACAATACAGCTAACGTTTCTTTCAAAATGGGGTTGCTTGATATTGTCGGCGTGTGTGTGTGTATGTGTATGTGTATGTGTGTGTGTGTGTGTGTGTGCGTGTGCGTGCGTGCGTGCGTGCGTGCGTCTTACCTCCAGACAGCGGTCCTGCCATCTTCTCGCCAACATCTCCAGCAGAGGAGGTCTGAACTTGTCCAGTCCAAGGAGGTCAGGGAGCATCACACAGTGCATGGCTGCTAGCTGGCTCCAACCTGCACACACACACACACACACACAAAGATACACAAACAGTCAGAGGAGACACAACAAATATACAATTCAAAGGACTCTCATCAGCTCATTCACACATCTCACTGCTGTCACATAAAAACACATTTTCTTTTAATTGTATTTATAGGTTATAAGAAAGTGTTGGGACAGATCAAACAATATGGTGATGATGCAGCTTGTATTAAAGCCGACCAAATGAATATTTCTGATTTTGTGTACAAGCAGAAATGTTGTTTGAATGTTATCCCTAGAGGAAAGACTCACCAAAAATATTTAGGTCTGAATCAGAGGACTAGAAATGTCGAAATTGGTCTGGTCAGCAGTTATATGGTTCAAATGTTATGAAGTGTTAGATAAACCATCTGATTTCATACTTTAAAAAAAAAAGTTTTACCATTACACACTGCAGAGAGCGTAAACAATACGTATACCATAATCAATATATGAAATATTGCTTTGAAAGTGTTCAAAACACAATTTTTACATTTGTTTCATGCCCCTTCAGGCCTAACAAAATGTTTAAAATGACAGCAGAGAGTTTCTCACACTCACAGACATCCTTCTTACTTATACAAGTCTCACTAACAACAGGACACAGGATGGGAATATTATCGGCTAATATTTGCAGTCTCTATTGGAGCAAAGTTATTATTTTTGCTAACCAGAGTATGTTTGATGGCATTCGACCAGGTAAACAACAGATATACAGCACTGCAGATTGATCCAAGCCTCATAGCGACACCTTAGCATGATGAATGAGTGTTTTTTTGTATTTCATGTGTGGAGGAGTTTACTTACAACCTTAAAAATAATTTGAGGTTTATAGATTATGTTAGAAAGATCATATTCTCAGCAATAACACCAGTGATTGGTGTTAAAACTGTCGTTCAAAATGTCTTGGTATCGCTTTAAAAGGCCTCAAATCTCGCTGAATCAGTCTGAGCCAAAATGATGGCATATATTTATATTTAACACCAAACAGTAAGACATGTACACCAGGTTTAACACGTCTGTGACGACAAATGGACTTAAATGTTTACTCGCTGATACTCCAAGCACCTTACTCACATATATTGGTTTAATATATGGTTTCCAGAGAAGATGCATCTTTGAACAATGCACTTGAATGGACAGTATACGGCTTTCAAGCTGGAAAGAAATTCCATCTAGATTTCTTTGCCAACGGCACTATGTAGACTTACCTCCGCCATTGGAATATACAGGAACATATACAGGGATGCATTTCACAAAAATAAAAATGTTAGTCTGTCTTAAACCATAATCAAACTGTCTTATAATGCATCAGAAAATAATAATCAGTCAACTTCTATTCACAACATGTGCATTCACTGTCTTGCAGAAATCTCAAATTCAAAGTTTTTACATCTCACCACAACTATTTAAACTTGCAAACCCATGCTGGGGGAAGAACAGAAATCCAGTTAGCCCAAATGCTAACACAGGAAGTGCTGTTATTTCTTCAGCTCTTGAATACAAGTTGGGTCATAATGATAATATGAAATGGGAGAACCTGCATCAACATGTTATCAGACTTAACTTTGATGTGTAACTTCATTTGGATATACTGTACATCTGATGTTTTATCAGATTAGGTCGTGTGGTTTAAAACAACTAGGAAATGTGGGAAGTTACATGACAAATAGGTCACTTTGGGTTGAAACAAGTATGTGAGTGGCAGTGTTTGTAGCCAGTGGTGTACTACTACTAAAACTAGAAGTTTTCAATTTGAATAATAAGGTTTCTGCAGGGCAGTGCTTATATAAAAACTAAAAACTTGACATATTTGCTATAGTTGCCATTTACTATAACATAAAATTAGAGGTTGGTTCTTAATATTAAAAGGAATGCGTCTCTGTGTGCATGCTTGCTGCTTTCCTGTATTAAACTAAACAATAAAAAGAATCCTAAATTGCTATATTTTAGTCTCTTTTGCGGGCACATTCAGGTTGTTCATAGTATTTCGGGCAACAGGTCTCTGTGTTAACACCCTGTTAGAAAAACATGTTTTAGTTATATCTGTTTAAAAAAGAGAAAACAGCATTAGGCCATGAGAGGGACACCAGAAAGACTTCAGCCATGAAGCTACAATGAACACTTAAGTTCATTTACAATACATTTTTTAAGTTTACATAGCTTCAAACATAACTTTTGCAACATATTCAAAATTCAGTAGCACACTGTCAGATGGACATTCTGCACAAACCAGATTTTTAAGTATTTGGTCTGTTTGAATTGTTTTTGTTGGCGTTTTTTCCCTCCAGAGTCACACTCCACATTCCATCAGATGGAAATAGCAAGCATGCAAACAGTGAGCATAGAGACACTGAACCATCGGGACAGATGGACATTCAGACAGAGACAGAAGACACAGGACAGGGTTGCCCAATTCTGCCAACAACTAAAAAAGAAAGGGCATAAGGACCGTTGTCATTGAACTCTCAATTCCATCAGTTAAAAAAAGTCGAATTGTTTGCTGATGACACGGCACTTTATCTCACCTGCACTAGGAAACGTGTGTACATTTGTTTTTACAAGAGTTTGTTGCTGTTATGTTATTTTTCTTTATAGATATGCCTGGGGATTAAGCTCTTGCTATTGTAGCAAAACTGGTTTATTTCCAATGATCAAGTTTTTGCGTCAAGTTTGGCAGCATTCTACTTTTGAGAATGTCTTTATCTGAAGGAATTGAAAGTGGACTGAACTCAGCTATGATGGACAGACAGAGAAACACAGGGTTCTTTAACAAGACAAGGACAAAGACACTGCAAAGAAGACACCGGAGATGAAAGCCTAACATTTGCAGCAGTTATAAAAGCAAGACTTATGCAATAAATTAGGGAGCAAGACTCAAGAGATGAGCAGGAAAAAACTGAGAAGTAAGAGGAAGTGAAGAACTGTGGCATCAAGGGAGACAGAAAGAGCGAGAACTAAGTAAATAGGAATGAAAAGTGAAAGAATTTACAACAAAAATGGCAAAGAGAGAAGGAAGAAATGGAAAGAGCAAAGGAAAGGATGTAGAAAGAAGATCTTGGAAAAGAGAGAATGGCCCTTAGAGTTTTTCTTAAGTGCTACCCGTCAGTTCAGTCTGTACCTTCGTTGACTGAGGGGATGTTATGAAAAGCAGCAGGGGGGGCAGTGGTAACAGTAGGAAGAGTGCTGATGTTGGCTGTGGCAGCTACAGAAGGTTGCAAAGGAAGAGAAGGAGAGAAATGGGCAAGAAGGAAAGACCAGGTTAGGAATATATAATCACATTAAACAAAGCAAAACAGAAAGTAGAGATAAGCAGTCAGGCAGCAGGGAAGAAGAAAATGTATTAACAAGAAACACACAAGTAAAGAAACTAAAAAGACATGTATCATGGAAAATAAATAGTTATCAAGTAAGGATATAATAAGTTAATACATATTGCATATACAGTGTTGTTTACATACACAACTCTGGCACAATCAGCAACAGGCCCTGCAAGAAAGATAACATGAAGAAAGTCCAAATCAAAGAAAAAGTAGGCTGTTGCGGCTGTGTATGGTTCTTCCACACGCTACTGAGGCTGCTTGTTAAATGAATCAATTATTAATCAATCAATTGGTGCCAATATGTCTTCATTTATCAGACTTCAATCATCCAATCCACCAAACTAGAGTCAGCAGTAACAGAAAATTGGCAGAGGAGATTTGTCACATTTTTCATGGGCGCACCCCACATACTCAGCTCTGCTGCTCATCCCACAAATGCTTGTTCCTCACAAATGTGGTACCATTGGAAAGGTAAGAAAACAGGCTTTCCAACAGTATAAGTTTATTGTCAAAAAGCATTGTTACAACATAGAAATACTCTACCAAACACAAATTGCCTTACTTTTTGTGTTAAGTTTATATATTCTTATCCATTGCTTCAGCTAAAGTTGGCAATAAGCTATGTAAGATTTCCCTCCAAACCTACATCAATTCAAAATCATATGACCACTTAGTGTTAGTTGTCTATTCAGTAGAAATCATAATGAAAATTCCAACAATCTAGGATTAAATATGTGAGAAGAGGTTGATGATGGGGCCAATAGCTCTGGCATTAGCCGCCTATAGTGGCTAGCACATGCAGATGATGTAATGACAGTAATGTGCCGTTTACACGAGAACGCAAACGGTTGTATCCGCTACTTTTCTCTTTCGTATAGCCCGTTCGTTCACACGAGGCCGTAACGGAAACACGGAAACGGACCCCGCAAACGATAACGGGTCCCAAGGTGGATAGATCTGCAACCGGAACGCTCTGGGGGGCCAAACGGCTCCGTGTGTACGTCCCTATACGATCATTTCCTGATAACAATGAAGCCATAGCCCCACCTCTCCGCTCACCTGCTGTAGCACACTGCTAGTTGCTACTGTCAGTAGCTACTGCTACTGCTACTGACCATGCTACAGATGTTAGTGCAAAATCTACAGCTCCTCTACCACAACCATCAGCAACAAGTGGACATGGAGAATGACATGAACTACATGTTGCCAAATCCACCGCAGGGCATAATCAGAAGGGCAACCATGGCAACCATGCTCGGGGGTCTTCTTCGCTGCTTTTGGTGTATTTTGTGGCGAAAGTACAGCGCCACTTACAGGCCCGGCATATGTACTACAGCGTCTCCAGCGCTCCCGAGCGGTCTCGTGTGAACGGAAGACCTTTTTGATATCGTATTCGGTTCGTTTGCGTTTCGTTTGCGTGTAAATGGGGTCCAAGAAATAGCTGCTATCGTTAGCATAACTTCCCAAAAAGAGAAGCTGTCTTCGCACAGTAGGAACATAATCTACCATAACAGCATCATTTTAAGTACACACTGTATTCTTATGTAAAGCAAACCATGAAGAATATGTCCTTGTGATACACATTGGTTCATACACTTTTAGATGGGCCTTTGCAAGCACTGTTAATACAGTATGTCATCTACAAACCAGTTTGAAGTGTTTTCCCATTAAGACCAGGTGCATGTTGCGAAAAATTATTGTTACAGTGGATGAAGGGGGTGGGGGAGGGGTGTCTAAAGTCAAAGATGAATCTTGATTGGGCCAAATTTGACCTCGAGTCACCCAAAACAATTCTGCTGGGTTTCCCCAGACCTGAACACCAAATTATACACTTTTCTTTTTAGAGACCTTCAGACTTGGCTAAAATGGTCAAAATCTGTTTTGCAGTGTTTATATATCTGTTGTGGAGGATATCATGAAGCCTCGTTCCCATAAAAAAAACTAGAGGGTAGTTATTATATCATTTTAACTTGAAACGGGTCACGGGAGACCCCAACACAACATAAGGGTTAAGGTTTCAGACTTTCAGGCACAAGCTGATTATTAAACCCATATTCAATAGGACGAATTCAAAAAAGAAATTATTTGGTATATCGATTTGATTTTTCCTTATGCTAGGGCCAGAAACCTGAAACCTTTTTACTGTGGAGATAAAATTATTAAGTCGTTTTTCAAGGGTATTTGACAATTAAGGATCTCAGTAACTAAGGACATCTCGATGCAGTCATAGACAGTACATATCTTTACAGTTACACATTAGAAAAACTGAAATACATACAGAGAAATCACAACAGGACACATCAGAGAAATCGCAACATCCCATAAGTTGAGGGTTTAGGGAAAACGCACACAAAAGAGACATTGACTGAAAGAACAAAGAAAGAAATATTGGAGAGAAGTGTTTGTACAGTCAGCAGGCTGAAGCCATGCAGTGTTGGACAGAGAGAGACAGAGAAGATGAGAGCAGGTCGCAAGCATCAGTGCAGAAACATACATTCAAAATGAAAATCTGCTGAATGAGGAGTTTAATACAACTTCTTCACCTTGTGTTTTGTATCATCTACTTAAGGCCTTGGTCCAATCATAATCGAGGACAATGCCCATTAGAAAAGGCTTGGATGTGGGTGGTAACATCATTATATAGTCATACTACCATTGATCCTGGTAGTAACACTCTCAAACAACCCAATATGCAGATGATACTTTAATATTCACAGCTAACGTAGAGAGAAATCAGGTCGCTATAACTTCACGCAGCATCAAGTTCAAACTAAAGCAGTTAAATGTTATCATCGATAAGTCAAATACAGTTTAGTTTAAGGAAAGCTATGTAATGTCACAATATAACATGGTCAGTATAGCACTGTATTTTTGTTAGCATTGCCAATACATTAAAGTGTTGAAACACCTTGAAGGGCTTCCCAGAGTTTTGCAGTCTCAATTAAATATGAATGTTGTCCTGAACAGTATTTAGGAGTCTAAAAACCCACATGACATAATTAAAGCATTGGCACCATCATCTAAAAGGATTAGCCTCCAGAATGTTTGTAGTTGATAGAATATCTATTAGTCTATAGATGAGAGTAACACCTACGTCACTTCCCGGGCAAAAATTACGGCCACGCCCACTTTTGGGGGAAAACAACGCTGTCATTTGAATGGCGGTCAAAACTAATTCTGAAGTTTTTGCCAATCCGATCAAAAAATAAATAAAACGGTGGATTTTTGGATCTTCAAAGAGCCCGATTACGATGGCCAGACAGGCAAACAATTACATTAAATCATTGGAAATCGACAATAGGGCTCGATATATGGTTAAATTAAAATCAGTAGGCGAGGCTGTACTTTCTCCAGCTGTTACTCTCATGAGTGAGGCGGAAAATAATAGTTTTATCATGCCAAAAAGCGATTTCTAATGGCTTAATGTAATTGTTTGCCTGTCTGGCCATTGTAATCGGGCTCTTTGAAGATCCAAAAATCCACGGTTTTCTTAAATTTCTGATCGGATTGGCCAAAACTTCAGAATTTGTATTGACCGCCATTCAAATGACAGCGTTGTTTTCCCCCAAAAGTGGGCGGAGCCGTACTTTTTGCCCGGGAGTGACGCATTTCTTACTCTCATGTATGATAGTCTTTAAAAGTAAACATTATGCATCATACATGTATTTCTCGTCTCAAGGTTTGATTGGCGCTCCTTTAAGAACGTAACCTTGTTGCATCTGTTTTTCTACACTCGTACAACAGTTTTCAAATACAGATGTGGAGCCACTTTGAGCTTATCTTGATCAACCAATTCTTATGGATAGAAACACGAAATTACAAAGTAACCGTCTGCATTTCTTTTGCTAATTTTATAAAAAATCTGGGTTACAATTGATCAGTTCATTCACATGGAAATCTGGATTTTTAAAAACAGTTATTACTGGTGGAAATTGCAGGCAGTGTTTGGACTAAAACCCAGACAAATAAATGTGTGTTTAGATGAAGGAGTGTGATGGTAAGAGAGGTTTTTAGGTATGTTAAATTATGTGCATGTACACCCGGCTCTCATTCTCTCAGGGTAAATGCTGCAGTATATTAGAGGGGCCTCCTCATTTATTTCTCTGTGAAAAGAGACTCCATCTCCTTCACAAAGCCTTTGACACACACACACACACACACACGCACACGCACGCACACACACACCCCAGGTTGGAGTAGCAGGCTGAGCAGAGGTCACGGCCGAGCGTTCCCCCTGAATGCTGTTGAATAGGCGTGTGGCGTGAATAAGTCCACACGCTTGTCACGCTTGGCCTCCATTAAGGCGTGACAATAGCACTAAAAACCCGCCTCCCCCCAAAAACCGAGGGTACCACCCATGGCACGTGTGTGTGTGTGTGTGTGTGTGTGTGTGTGTGTGTGTGTGTGTGTCTTGATTTTTGGTGAGTGAATGTACCGAGCAGTGTGTGTGTGTGTGTGTGTGTGTGTGTGTGTGTGTGTGTGTGTGTGTCTTGATTTTTGGTGAGTGAATGTACCGAGCTGTGTGTGTGTGTGTGTGTGTGTGTGTGGTAGGCAGATGGTGACGGCTGGTTAAAAACGTCCCCTACAGTGAACCAGAGCAGGTTTCTCTCTGCAAAGAAAGACTCCAAACTTTCTTTCATCTTCACAGAGTGCACTTCTCCTTTCTCTCCATTTCTATTTTCGTTTTGTTCCGTTTCTATAGATGATTCATCCACCTCTCTTTTGTTGTAACAGTTTAAATCCGCCGCTTCCTGCGGTTCCCTCAATATTTTCCGTTTACGTTTTTTTGTTAGGGGGAGTTATTTCTTATCCAAATTGAGGGTGTAAGGACAAAAGGAGTCATGTGCTGTGCAGACTGTAAAGCCCCTTGGGGAAAGTTGTGATTTTTGATTTGGCCTGTACAGTATAAATAAAATGGACTTGAACTCTTAAAAAAATGTATTACTCGTGGGGCTACAAGGTTGAGAACAAAACCGGGAGTTATTTTAGAGCTAAACTCAACGCTGTGTTTCCTTGTGAAGACTTTTCTTAGTATGAATCTTTTAACTTGTAAATCCGCTTTGGATCTGACTCCACCAAAGGTTGGAGCCTGTTTACACACACTATGTTTGGAGCAGCAGAACATTTCTCTATCGCTCCTGACCCGGGGAACGGCAGCTTGCTCCTGTGATGTTTCAGGGGTTTTTTCCTGTAACTCTCTGTGGGTTTTATTGCCGGTGGGCTGCATTATCAAACCCCCGCCTCTCCTCCCTCCCTCCCTCCCCCCGCAGGGCCCTGGGGGTGTGTGAGGCCAGCACCCCCCCCTTCCCCTTTTGTAGTTACCTTGTTTGATCTGGGCCTGTAGCGCCGGGTTGGAGGGCTGAGGGGGGGCGGTCAGCGTCCTGCGAGGAGTCTCCGGGGTTCCTCCTGGTCTGGGAGGCCTGGAGCGGGATCACAAAGAGGAGGCATGAAATATTAAATGGGCAGGCAGGATAGAGGTCTGCCAATACACACACACACACACACACACAAACAAAAATATAGAGAAATACACCAACAGAAACGCGGACATACATAAAACCATGAGCTCACACTAACACCATTTTTTTCCCTGCAACCAACTGCTTGAATTTCTCGATGTTAGTGCGTGTGTGTGCGTGTGTGTGTGTGTGTGTGTGTGTGTGTGTGTGTGTGTGTGTGTTTTTCTCAGGCTCCAGCCTATTGGATTTTGGGTGGAGGACTGACTGTGAACAGACTGGAGGCGTCTAACTTCCAGAGACACACAAACACTTCCAATACAACAATCGATGGAGTGATCATTAAAGGGTTGCCAGGCAACAAAAACTGCCAGGTAGCTTTACAATTAGCAGTTAAAAACGCCAAAAGTATAATGTAGGGATATTTTTTAAAGTGACCACTTCCTATTGTTTTCTCACTGACTCCATGTGTTTGTGTCACTTGTATTTCAGATCAGAGTTTGTGATTCTTATTCATTTCTAACTTCATTTTCAGATTTAGTGTCTCTACTTTAAAGAGTCCTCTCCTGCTGATGTTCAGGTGTATATCAGTATGTAGTGTCTCTACTTTAAAGAGTCCTCTCCTGCTGATGTTCAGGTGTATATCAGTATGTAGTGTCTCTACTTTAAAGAGTCCTCTCCTGCTGATGTTCAGGTGTATATCAGTATGTAGTGTCTCTACTTTAAAGAGTCCTCTCCTGCTGATGTTCAGGTGTATATCAGTATGTAGTGTCTCTACTTTAAAGAGTCCTCTCCTGCTGATCTTCAGGTGTATATCAGTATGTAGTGTCTCTACTTTAAAGAGTCCTCTCCTGCTGATGTTCAGGTGTATATCAGTATGTAGTGTCTCTACTGGGACATGTCTCCATGCTTTAATGTTCAAAAAGCTCTTTATTTTTCTCATACTGTCTGTGCTGCAGCACCTCTTTTCACCCTCTGTCTGAAACCAGAGCCCAGTCTGCTCTGATTGGTTAGCTGGCCGGCTCTGTTGTGATTGGTCAACCGCTTAGAGATGTCCCGCCCCTTAGCTAACCACGGACAATATGTAGGAGCGCTAGCCAATAGAAGCACACATGTAACATAGTGATGTCACTATGTTACAGAGGTAAACAAAGGAGTCCAATGGAGGCGTTTCAGGAGGGGGGGGGGGGGACACACAGGGATTTTAGCCTTTGCAGAACATTTACATGCATAAAACCCTTAGTATGTGCATCTCATAAAGTTGTACAAGCTGGACATTTTTTGGGGGGCTGTTTGTTATCAAATAAATCATCTCATCTTAGTATAAAATAAATAAACGTTAGTTGATTAAATTCCCATCAAAACTCTCTTTAAAAATCAGTACTAAGCGTTGAAATGTGCCTCAGGTGTGATTGGACATTGAGCGGATATACTTTTAATAATATCCTCAGGAAAAAAGAGCTTCGTATGACTTGTTGAAGAAGTAGCTTCAATAGACGTGGACAGGTAGAAGAGTTCTGTGTTTTTCTACTTTGTGTTGGACTTCTGATGTTTTAGTTTCATCAACAGCAGGACTTCAGGGGCTTCACGAACAACTCAAGCCTCAGACAGAGCTGGTGGAGGGGAGTGCTGTCGTGTTGTGATGAAATACTAAAACACTAAGAGTTCAGGAGCGCTTCTTTTCAAACTCCAGCATACAGGGAAGAAACTTTCCTGCTGTCATAAATGTGAGATGGGGAACATGAAAAAGCCAAAACCCCAAACACGTTCAAATATTGAGAACTAGGGTTTGGACGGCGATAGAGAAGACGGGTTTGAGTTTTATTAGGAAGTCTTTCTCCATCTGTAGCTGCTCCATCACCTGCTCTGATTTGGAAAGAGGAGAAGTTCTTCTGAGGAAGTGATGAACAGCTTTTAAAGTGTTCCTGAGTCCTCTTTGTCTTCTCAACAAAGTTTAAACAGAGAGGTGGTGTTGAGTGTCGCTTTTTAAAATAGGAAACTTCAAGGTTGTGCGATTCTTATTGTCTTGAGAAGAGTTTCATCAGGTAACAAGCCTTGAAGCATTGCGTGTGAAACAAAGTCAATGGGTTGATGTGAATGAGGTGTATGACGTAAAGCGAATTCGTGGCATTTGGTATTTTCACGGAAGCCGATGGGCGTTAAGATACTTAACATTTAGGAGAACATGCAGCCCTCTTTTAGCTCAAGCAGGGTATATGCAGGAATCCTGAAGTCAAATGTAATTCCTTTTAAGACCCTTTCCATACATTTTAAGACCTCATCGCCACTGAGTTCTAAGCGGTTACCTTGGCGACACACTTTACCTCTCATTTACTATATACAGTATTGATTGTCCTTCCTCCTTATCTTCCAACCATTTGGACGCAAACTTGCATTTCCCCATAACGACTTTGTTTAACAACCGGCGTAAACGGAGCTTCGCGCGCTATCAAGCAGTGAGCGCGCGATGTCCTGTTCAGATGACGTCAAATCCAACGGGATGCCATAAATAAACTACACAGAATCACACTACACACCTACGCAATGATTACATTCAGGCAGACTGTAGAATACAACCTCTTTGGACAATTTATATACTTATTGAAAACAAGCTACAATTTTAATACTAGTTGAACATTACATTTTTACATTTGTATGTGTTTTTTAAAATATTTTTCTAGTTATTGTGCTTTTTATCATGTTTTTTAATTATTGTTTTATTATTGTACTCCCATTGTGTTATTTAATATGTATTGCCTGTACAGCACTTTGGTCAACTGAAGGTTGTTTTAAATGTGCTATATAAATAAATAAAGATTGAGATTGAGATTGAAGCTACAAAATGTAATACCTTGGAAAATGCCCTTTAATATTTTTTAATAGCCTTAATATTCGCTAAATTAATTTATCAACTTTTAATACTTTTTAAGACCCCGTGGACACCCTGTCTAGGCATAATTAACAAAGGTCTTCAATGTCTTGTGATTTTTATATAACTTTAAAGTACTTTTGTAGGCAGACCCTGAATCGAGTGCTCGCACAACAAAGAGCAATGAGATTTTTCGATTGGATTTTTGAATAATTTCAGGCATCAAATGAAAAACACGCTCAAAAACGTTGACTTGGCATAATGCTGACTCATTCTTGTACCACTATTTATTTTTTTTTTTTTAGATATGTCCAATTGCTTCAAGAGGCCTTATGGTCTTAGTCCTTTGAAAAAAGAAATATAACGGATTGGTTCCTAATTGTATTAATTGCAATTAGCGACTTGGTTGTGCTATGTCAGGCTAGCTACTCACTAACATAGGAAAACACTCCACTGAGAGACATCATTTATTTCCATCTCACTAAGTAAATTAAAGGTATAAGAGGATATTGAAAGGCTGTTTCAGATGTTCTAATGTTACCTTATTAAGTGAAGATGATTAAACACAAAGAAAACAAAATGACAGACTGAACACAAGTGGAATAAGCTGAACAAAACAACCAGTCCACCCGGTGTTTCTTTACACATCTCTCTCTCTCCCTGCAGGTATGCTGTGAAGGATTGGACGAAATAATGAAATGTTTGTGTCGGTGTACAGCAGCAGGACCTCCATGTGAAAGGGGGCCACAGCGCACACACACATCACACACACACACACACACACACACACACCACACACACACACATCACACAACACATCACACAACACACACACAACACACCACATCACACACATCACACACACACACAACACACAACACACACACACCACACACACACACACACACACACACACAACACAACACACACACACACACATCACCTACAACACACACACACACACATCACACACACACACACACACACACACACACACACACACACACACACACCCACACACAACCACACACACACACACACACACACACAACACACACACACACACACACACACACACACACCACACAACACACACACACACACACACACACACACACACACACACACACACACCACACACACACACACACACACACACACACACACACACACACACCACACACCCACAACACACACCACACACACACACACACACACACACACACACACACACACACACTGGTGTTCTTGTTTAGGTGAGCAGCGTCTGGGTTTTGTGCTTCAAATTCAGTTTCATTTCAGTTCGTTCTGGATTTACTTTGTGATTCAGATAATTGTACTGATGTCAGATCAGGTTGAATCTGGTAAATATGATGAGCTTGGATTAAGATGTTCTATTAAATAAATACATACAATATAAATACATCTTGATCTCTGCCTCTTTGTTTATACCAAATGCATGGTTTTGGTTTTTTGAGCAGTGCTCCAAAGATTTTTCAGGAATCTGGGATGATTTTACTGACTGACGTCCACGACAATGTTGCAAGTGTAGAAGTAAAAATCTTTAACTTAAAGTGCACCTATCATGCTATTTTTAGGCAATAGCATAGGTCTCAGACATATAAAAATATATAAAAAACATGTCTATGAAGTGTTTTGCTCAAAATACCAAACAGATCACCCATTCTAGCCATGCCTCATATCCCTCTATTTCACTTCCTGTTTCAAAAGTGCTGATTTGGGTATAAAGCTTTAATAAAAAAAAACATTGATAAAAAAAAAAAGGAGGGGTCTGAGCTCATGCGGGACCCGGCAGCTACTGTCTAAACTAAATACTGCGGTGATGAAACGCCATATCATGGATTATCAAGGATTATTTCTGAAACAGTATGGAGCTCAAAGGCTTTCTCTCTTGCCGGTTATACCACAAGGTGAGTTCCTTTTTATTTCCTGCTTCTTCACACACATGCTCTCCAGTACAGGTTAGCTCTGAGTGTTAGCGATGCTAATGTAAACACCGACCATATTACGTCCAAAACAGTCGGGCATTGTTTCTGATAGCAACGTTTCTGATAGTGCCGTGGGTCCATATTTCAGATATTACGTCATATCGGACGCAAATCTGGATCAGCTCCGTTGTAGCCCCGTTTTTAGAGATTTGGGTACAGAGGAAAAGAGAGAGGGTTTCATTTTCTGACGCTGCATGAGTTCCCTGACACACCGGGGACGCATTTTTATGTATAAAAGACATCAACAAGTGCATTTTGCATGATAGGTCCCAAATCACAAGAAATGCCTCAAAGGGCTGTACAAAGCAAACACAAGCAAAGACAAAAACTACAAACGTCATAGTATAACAATTATAAAAACATTATACAACCTTATACCTCAACATTAGTATTGCCATGAGATAAAAGTATGTGACTGAAGTGATGGTAATGATGAGCCGAAGCTAGGTGATGGAAATGAGTTTACAAGGAAGACTGATGCGAAGAGATGGGTTTTGAGTTTGCTTTTAACGGAGTCACTGGAAATAGTTACCTGACGGGGGCTTTCTTCATGTGTTCTCCCACAAAGGTGGCGTTGGTCATGCCCATCAGAGTGTTGGCCAGAGAGATGACGGACAGCAGGTGCTGCGTGGTGACGGCTCTCGACACGCCGTACGTCCCCTTCCCCACGATGTCCGTCAGAGTCAGCTTCAGACCCGTCGCCAGGGACAACTGTCGCAGCAGGGACTCCTGGGAAACAGAGGCAGACCGATGAACCAAGGAAGTGCTACAAAGGGTCAACAGGAGTGTGTGTTTGATACTTGTGTGTGTTGCTCAGAGTCTGTCTGGACTGTGTTTGCATTCTGCTCTCATCTCAACGATATTAGAAGAGGGAAAACATTTTTATACTTGATTTGAAACATGATCCGTGTTGCTTTTATTGACTGGTGAAAACGTTCTGCTCCATAATGTTGCAGAAGACTTTATCACTTAGGTTTAGACTGGATTCTACTTTATTCTCATTGCACAGAACTGAGACAGCAAAGAGTGCAAAGTTTTCTTACCTTTGCTTCGGGATAATAAGTAAGATATGATCTTTATATGGAGGGAGGCTCTCTGAAACAATAGACCGACATTGTGGTACAATATACACATTTTGACATCTGAAGCTTAGATGAATATTTCTTTGTTCTTTGGACATTTTACTCCTTATGATTTTTTTTATCCTAAACTGGAGGAACTGTAACGAAACCCAATTTTCCCCGGGATAAATAAATCTGTTTCTGACGATAATGGGAAGATATATAACACAATCTAAATTGTTATACGCTACATTTAATATGTTTGTTTTATATAACTTGCTAGTTATTTAAAAATGTTCCAACATATATATTTCTGCTTCGCTATCTTGTCATAGTGAGGCTCATACAGGGTTGTTTTTCTATTTTCTGTCAGAGGTCAGTTTCAGTGTGATTAGAGAGTGACACACACAGCACCCAGGTGAGACCCCTCAGTACCTTGAAGGTGGGCAGCATGAGGGACATGTGACCTCCTCTGGAGATCAGGCCGAAGGAGATGGGGCAGTGCGGTCTGAGCATGCCCAGCCGCTCCAGGCAGATGCCGTCCAGCTTCTCGTTCAGACCCCAGGCGTGCAGGCAGGACATGAACAGTTTGGCCGTGTCCATCGTCAGGTTGTACTCCAGCAGGCTGAGAGACTTGGACTTCTCCTCCCGCCTCCTCATCTCCTCCTCTTCCTCCTCGTCTTCGTCCAGCAGGTGCTCCTTGATGGTCTCCTTCATCGTCTCCTTCACCTGATATGAACAGGAGACAGGTTTATTTCATCAAAGAGACATAATATTAAGCCGTAAAACCTTTAATTTCCAGTTTAAAACTAAGGTGGGTTCACACAAGTTGAACTTTTTACAGTACTGAAAAGTGGAATAGTATTAAAAGTTGCTTGAAGTTGCGATAAATGCCATCACATTATATTTTGAAACAATTAAGCTTTAAAACCTTTAATTTCCAGTTTAAAACATGCAGATTTTTTGTATTACTATATATTTATTCTAAAATGCATAACCAAGGTTTTATGTTAAAGCTTAAAGAAGTGCAATATGCTATCATTTAGCAAAGGAAAGCAAAGTATAAGCATATAACCAATGAGACTACAGTTTTCACGGACTATTTATACAAAGAGAAAGAACGAAAAACACACAAAAAATGTGAAAAGAAAGCAATAAAACTCATTTTAATGTTAAGAACAGATTTTCTGCTTTTTCCCCTTCTGCGTCGACTGACCTGTTTGAAGATCTTGTTGGCCAGGAAGGACCCCCCCTTGTCGGCCCCGGCCTGGCTCTTCTGCAGCGTCTCTGGAGACACCAGGATGGGGCTGGGTCTCTGCGCCTCCTCCGTCAGCAGCTGGATGATCACCGCCTCCACGTCGAAGAACAGCACGTGCATGTCGGGGTCCGTCAGGTTGGTCTTCATCGCCTGCACCACCAGGGCATTGTGGGAGTATTTCGGCAGGTTGCCCTGGAGGGAAAGAGACATGAAGAAAACTATAATTAAGGATCAATTGAACACAGAAACCCCCACATTGTGCCTTTGTTTGTTTCCTGGTATCGTGTCTTAATATCTGTCCTCATGTTGCAAATGGTCACATAATGGCATCACTATGTAACACTTCTATTGGCTAGCGCTCCAACACATTGTACGTGATAGGCTAATGGGACGGGACATATCTAAGTGGTTGACCAATCACAACAGAGCCGGCCAGCTAACCAATCAGAGCAGACTGGGCTCTGGTTTCAGACAGAGGGTGAAAAGAGGTGCTGCAGCACAGGCAGTATGAGAGAAATAAAGAGCTTTTTGAACATTAAAGCATGGAGACATGTCACAGTAGAGACACTACATACTGATATACACCTGAACATCAGCAGGAGAGGACTCTTTAAAGTAGAGACACTACATACTGATATACACCTGAACATCAGCAGGAGAGGACTCTTTAAAGTAGAGACACTACATACTGATATACACCTGCACATCAGCAGGAGAGGACTCTTTAAAGTAGAGACACTACACACTGATATACACCTGAACATCAGCAGGAGAGGACTCTTTAAAGTAGAGACACTACATACTGATATACACCTGAACATCAGCAGGAGAGGACTCTTTAAAGTAGAGACACTACATACTGATATGAAGCTGAACATGAGCAGAATAGGGCCCCTTTAAGTGTAATTATCGTATCATAAGGGAAAAAAGGAAAATATTAAGATAACATAGGCGCTTAGAGCTATCGTGGGACATATTTGAGCAGCTTTGAAATGTTCCTGATGGCAACAGTGGGGATAATTCACAAAAAAGCTGTAGTAAATGGGCTATTACACCAAAACTCTTGGCAAAAAGAAAAACCACCATCAATAACACCTTTCACATGAAACCTTTTATCCATTTTTAATATGAAATATACTCATAAGTGAAGCTTTCATTAACACATTTAGCAAAACCAATTATACCACTTCAGAGAATAATGATCTAATAAATGAGTCTGTCCTTTTAATACAAACTGTCATTCAAACACACACACTGACACACACACTGACACACACACTGACACACACATACAAACCAACACACAACCCATTAGCTGTAATTGCCACCAATACTCCCACATCGCTCGATTTTAATAGTATTAGCAGAGACACCTGCGTTGAGCCGTATGCAGAGCAGCGCTGTCTGTTTACATGTTAATGACCTGATGACTGCAATCAGACAACTGAGATCCTGTTCGAGGCATCACTGCGAGGAAGAGGAGGGAATATGGAGGGAGGAGGAGGAAGGGCGGGAAGAAGTGATTAAGGGAAGCATGGAGGGAGGAAATAATGAGAAAAAGGGCAACGCTGGAATTGAACTCTGACTGTGTTTCATGGAGGATTTTCTATTTGCTTTTCTAAAGTCTGCTTCTGATTTTAGACCAGAGCAGGTGTGTGGAGTTGTTAATATTCTTGCCCCACTGTAAGTTAGTTTAAGACGTCTGTGACTAAATGATGACTTCATTTAATAACTGGATTCATGCTATTTGAAGACATCACTAAAGGTGAAACACTGCACATGTTTTTTATGTGAGCAGGTGGCTCAGAACAAGACACTGTGCCTTTAAGTAAAGCGTTATAACCTTTAATGCCATTAAAGCTGATAACAATTATTATCATAAAAGACTCCGGACCGAGCAAAAGACACTATACACCTGCAGCTGAGACACGCTGAGACACACACACACACACCCACCCACACACACACACAACCCTCAGGGAAGACTTTCCTGTCAAAGCATTGATGCTTTGTCGCTCTGTGTGTGCGTGTGAGTCTGTGTGTGTGTGCGTGCGTGCGTGCGTGCGTGTCTCAGCTGCAAGTATACGTGTGTGCAAAAATGAGGTTTGTCCCCAAACAGGTGCGGGCTGAATCAAAATCCTAACGTTGCAGTTATTAGAATTAATGATAATTGGGACGAATTACGGTATTCTGATATAACCGTGGGTATTTACCATCAGCAGCTATTATGCAACCAATAACACTAAACCTAAAGAGAAGTACACATGTTATGCTCACTATTACTACAAAAAGTGACTATAGTAAGCATTTTCTAAAACATGTGTGAAACATAGTAAACAAATAAAAGCATGCAATCTAGCCAAAGCACCTTGTTAATTCACTAATAGTGTGAGTGTAGTGTGCAGGCACGTGCACACATAGACATCAAAGTGGGCTTGAGCCCCTGCCCTTTTTCTTCCTCCAGAGAAAGTGCCCTTATATGAATATATATCTATACTGTTTGCGCACAGTTTGCCTTTCCAAAAATATATTGATTGAATACAAAATAAAAATATCAGGTCGGGAGATTAGACTATGAAGTTCCGATGCTCTCTCTACCCTCCCTCCCTCCCACGTCTCGCGCACAGCGGTGCGGAGATCGGCAGTCACTTCGGACAGACAGGTAGCAGCACCTCCCACTTTACAGTCACTTCAGACAGACAGGTAGCAGCACCTCCCACCTTACAGTCACTACAGACAGACAGGTAGCAGCACCTCCCACCTTACAGTCACTACAGACAGACAGGTAGCAGCACCTCCCACCTTACAGTCACTTCAGGACAGACAGGTAGCAGCACCTCCCCTTTACAGTCACTTCAGACAGACAGGTAGCAGCACCTCCCACCTTACAGTCCCTTCAGACAGACAGGTAGCAGCACCTCCCACTTTACAGTCACTTCAGACAGACAGGTAGCAGCACCTCCCACTTTACAGTCCCTTCAGACAGACAGGTAGCAGCACCTCCCACTTTCCAGTCACTTCAGACAGACAGGTAGCAGCACCTCCCACCTTACAGTCCCTTCAGACAGACAGTAGCAGCACCTCCCACTTTCCAGTCACTTCGGACAGACAGGTAGCAGCACCTCCCACTTTACAGTCACTTCAGACAGAACTGGTAGCAGCACCTCCCACTTTACAGTCACTTCAGACAGACAGGTAGCAGCACCTCCCACCTTACAGTCCCTTCAGACAGACAGGTAGCAGCACCTCCCACTTTACAGTCACTTCGGACAGACAGGTAGCAGCACCTCCCACTTTACAGTCACTTCAGACAGACAGGTAGCAGCACCTCCCACTTTACAGTCACTTCAGACAGACAGGTAGCAGCACCTCCCACTTTACAGTCCCTTCAGACAGACAGGTAGCAGCACCTCCCACTTTCCAGTCACTTCGGACAGACAGGTAGCAGCACCTCCCACTTTACAGTCACTTCAGACAGACAGGTAGCAGCACCTCCCACTTTACAGTCACTTCAGACAGACAGGTAGCAGCACCTCCCACCTTACAGTCCCTTCAGACAGACAGGTAGCAGCACCTCCCACTTTACAGTCACTTAGGACAGACAGGTAGCAGCACCTCCCACTTTACAGTCACTTCAGACAGACAGGTAGCAGCACCTCCCACTTTACAGTCACTTCAGACAGACAGGTAGCAGCACCTCCCACTTTACAGTCACTTCAGACAGACAGGTAGCAGCACCTCCCACTTTACAGTCCCTTCAGACAGACAGGTAGCAGCACCTCCCACTTTCCAGTCACTTCGGACAGACAGGTAGCAGCACCTCCCACCTTACAGTCACTTCAGACACACAGGTAGCAGCACCTCCCACCTTACAGTCCCATCAGACAGACAGGTAGCAGCACCTCCCACTTTACAGTCACTTCAGACAGACAGGTAGCAGCACCTCCCACTTTACAGTCCCATGTTATGCCGGCTTTTCTTGGCTTGTTTGAAGGTGAGTGGAGATGAACAAATCACTAAGCTGCCAGTGCCTCGAGTTTACAGCTAATTCGCCAAAAGACAATAACAAATATAGTTAACTAAGGTAGGCTACTAGCTAATGGATAAGTTAGCTCAAGGTTTAGCTTAGGCAATTTATCATGGGCATACAGGCTAATGTACTGTACTTAAGGGGAGAAACTACAGGTGAATACAGTAAAATGTGTATCTAATAACATCATCACAATCGCCACATTGATATGCAAATTAGGCGTTAACTAGGCCTAAATAAAATGTGCAAATTCGCATGTATTTACCAAGGCATTGCAGGTGGAAAAAAACAAACATATCACCTCACAACTTCCCCAGATAGTTACTGAAATGTTATGTTTAAAATCAGATTAGCTTCATATCTATAGATGAATTCAGACATAACGATATTTTTGCCTGTAATGTCCTTAAACAGTAACTTCATCATTTAGATTGTTGGCTGCTCATTTAATAACTATTAATTGTACTAGTTTGTCGTCTGCTCTTATGCGTAGTGAATACTAAAGAAGACCATTGTCTCTGTGTTAACTGATTATTTTTGTAGAATTCTGTTGAGTATTAAACAATTGTGTGAGTGTGAGGGTATTAAAATTAATTGGTCAGTAAGTCAGAGATGTGCAACTATATTTAACTTTTTGTTTTAAAACATTTTTTTGTAAATTATTATGGGAAGTGCACTTTTTCTCTCTTGAGCTCCTGCCCCCCAAAACGTCTGTGCACGTCCCTGGTAGTGTGTGTGCTTTAGATGGAGTTAAAGTGCAGTGGATTGTTGGCAACCGATAACGTTATTGGTCCAGCGAAGCGACAGGACAGTGGGCTCCCTGCTGCTCCAGCATTAATCCCTGAGCTGTCATGGATCTATAGAAAGCTGGAGGCGATCTTTGTTTCTTTAGCCGCATTTGTGGGGTTATTTTTCAGGTGCCATAGAGGCGCAGTGATTCTTTTGTGATGCGGTCACAGCTGTGTGTTTACATAAAGTTCAGAAGCAGCTCAGTCAATCACAATCAAGGATATTAACTATCTGTTCATAATTATTTTTGTTATTATAAGAACAGCTGTTTTTATTCTAGCTCAAATCTCTTCTACAAAGACTGCCAATAACACTGCGTCTGCACAATGGTACCTGTCATTTGTCAATTACATTTTACCCATGAACGCTGTGATCTGGCTTCAGTGATTTGTTTTGCTAGATTTCTTGGATTTTTGAAAAGCTAAAATATTGGTGCCTCATTCCCTCATTTCAGTGTGTGTGTTGAAGTGTCAGTGTGTGTGTGTGTGTCGGCCTGAGCGCGTGTTATTTTGGTGGATGAACACTGCCATCTAAAGGCAGACAGCCACATTACACATTGAAAAAAATGTCTCCTTGCTCAATCTGTTTGTGCGACACACACACACACTCACACACTCACAGACTCACAGTGTCCTATAGCTCCTGGGCAGTACGTCTAAAGGTCATCGTCCTGCAGGGCCCTCCTGGCAAACACCCCTGGAGTCCAACAAATACAGTCACACACACACACACACACACACGCCTACAGATTCCATTTAAACACGCACACACACGCACAATCTTTTCCCTATCTTACAATTGTATGAGGATACGTTTGCCAGATGAAGCCATATTAGTGGAGTTAGGAGAGGAGAGTGTTACATGTTTTAACAATGAAACTAACTGAAATGTTTTTTTATAAAAAGGTTTTCGTTTTGAATGAGCCATAAATAATTTCATTCATTAATTTAGGCCAATTCATTTTTATTTTGGAGTCTTAAAAACAAATCATGCATTAGCCGATTCATCATGTTACATATACATAATTATTCAGTTTGGAGTGTCTATATTATACTGTTTTTATTTATACCAGCTGTAGTGTATTCAATATATATACTACTGTTTATACCCATATATACTGCTCATACTGAATATACTCTAACTGGTTTATGTCTATCATGTGTATCTTCTAATGATATACTATAAATAACACTGCACTTAACTGCTTCTGCACTTCTTGTTAGATGCTTAAAGGGGACCTATCATGCAAAATGCACTTTTGTACGTCTTTTATACATGAATATGTGTCCCCGGTGTTCCAGGGAACTCACCAAGTGTCAGAAAACACAACCCTCTCTATTTTCCTCCATACCCAAATCTCTAAAAAAGGGGCTGCAACGGATCTGATAAAAACTGATCCAGATTTGAACACTGTCCTGACGTCAGGACGGTGGCGCTACGGCTATTGGGCCAACTCCACCAATCAGGAGGAGACAGCCACGGCATTGCCGTTCGAAAGCGCTGGAGACGCTGTAGTACATATGCCAGGCCTGTAGGTGGTGCTGTTCTCACAGAATCTGCCCTTGCTAAAACAGATCTAAAAAAATTCAAATTGAGCGAAATGAGGCATGGCTAAAATGCATGATCTGTTTGGTATTTTGAGAAAAAAAAAGTATAAATATGCCTTATATAGGTATGGTCCTACACTATATTATTCAAATATAGCATGATAGGTCCACTTTAAGGTATTTTGTTGTCCTGTACTGTTGAATCTAATCTAATATAATATCATCTATTAATTTAAAGAGACAGAAAACTAGCACATCCTCAAATTTAGATTTAGTTCCTTCGTGTGACTAACACATTCACAGATCAGGAGGTTCTGCAAACCTGTGTATTGGAGAGGCCTGAGGACAAACACAAAGTCACACACTAACTTCCTCACACACACTAATATGTGAGCAACAACAACAAACATCAGCTGTGAGCACACAGAGCGAGGTCTGCAGGAGGCTGGGTGTGATGTTTGGGTAGATAGTCTAGTCTGACATTTGATGGTCATTATGTGTCATTACACACAGCGGGGGGAACACACTATCACACACTGGGGTAAAGTGGGTGGTTTTGACCCATAATTTGAGTAGATATGATGGCGAAATGACACAGAGGTGAGGAAGGCAGGAAGGAGAACAACAGCGAGGTATTTCTGAAAAGAGAGATTGGAGCTGTTGACCTTTTCCAGAAAGGAGCGGTGATTATGAGCCGGCAGGAGAAACCTGGGAGACACCGACAATAAATACAGCACACAGAGGGAAACAAAGAAGCAACACAAAGGTTATCTGGCAGAAGGGGAAAAAGGAGAGGAGACAGAAAGCTGAGCTAAATGGATTCCAAGTCAAACTATAAAAGTCAAACGGTACAAGCAGCTGAACTAAAGGCTGTTCAGACACTAAATAATTCAGAGCGTTTGTTTTCTGTGCCGGGAGGCCCAGGTGGGTGGGGTCTACTCGGTCAGGGCAGATCACATCATCTGAGGCTGACATGTGAACCTCTGATCCTGGCTGGCCTCAACACACACTGCCTGCTCCTCAAAACATATGGTTTCAAATGTTTGTTTTGTATGTTTTACAGCAAGATTGGGAAGAAGCTCCATTTTGGTAAAACTTTGTGAAAGGGTGGAAAATGGGCCAAGGAAGAATCAGGGATGTATATATTTAAAAAATGTCTTAAGCCCCGCCTCAGATCTGCTCTGTTTGTGCATTGTCACGTCAAATAAAGGGAGACAGAAAATTATTCTGAATTCTGACCCTAATGATTTTTGAATGAAGTGTTCAGCCTTGGTAGTGAATGTATCTCTTTAAAAAATGTTACACTGATTTACAGACGTCTATTTCCCGATGTAATTTAATGATAAAAAACACATTTTTTCGGCCCAATGACGTCACTTGACTGACTTCTCTTGTAAGTAAAGTACAGCTCAAAAAAAGAATCACTGCAGATTGTTTTTGTCTACCATTTTGACATTTAAGATTGTTCATAACTGCTCGAGTCACACACACACACACACTCACATATACACACACTCACACACACACACACACACAGTGGCTATAGGGCTGACCTTTGGGTTGTCGGCAGCAGTTTTAATTGGTCTCTGACTTTAGCCAGCTATCTGACCAGTGTGTGTGTGTGTGTGTGTGTGTGTGTGTGTGTGTGTGTGTGTGCGTGTGTGTGTGTGTGTGTGTCAAATCTGAATCAATTCAAACTCAACATTAGGAGTCAGTAGAGTGACATTTGACAAAAAACGGAACAGTTCTTCAGCCTGCAGTCTCAGTAAGTGCTCACGTCTTTGTCAGATTTTCTCCCAGTTCGATTTCTCGTGAAAGAGTTGGTCCTTAACAAACCACAATGATACTAAGAATAGAACAACCCAAACATTGTTCAATGGAAATTAAACAATTCAGTGTGACATCTCAATTAAAGGCTCATCCTCCAGTAGGGCTGTGCAATTAATCGTATTTTAATCGCAATTACGATTTTGGCCTGCCACAATTACGAAAACAACATAATCGAAAAAAACAATTATTTAGCTTTGCTAGGTTGTGACAGTGCAACATATTTGATCTAATTAATTTTGGTCTCATTTATTTGTATTTATCATATTTATATATGTTTAGTAGCTTGGGGAAGTGCGCTCCAAAATATTTGTTGATCTTGTTTATTGGTATTTATTATTTTGATATTATTTATTTAAATGTATCATTTATTTTATTTATTTTTGTATTGGTTTTTCAGTTGAATTATACGTTCAGGGTAATCAACAGTTAAAAAAATACTGTTCAAATTATTATTTGTATTTGTTTTAAGGTTCAATAAATTGATTTTTTCAAAGTCAATGAATAATCGTATTTAATAATCGTGATATCAATTATTGACCCAAATAATCGTGATTATGATTTTTGCCATAATCGCACAGCCTTATCCTCCAGCATTCATTCACTTGGCTGAACGTCATTTTTAGGAGCCATTTATATTTATTGTTGCCATGTAATTTTTTGGTGTGTTACTAACTGCACAGGGGGATATTAGTTGGAGCATTGGTAACAGGAAATGGAAGCTAAAAGACGCTAAAAGACGCTAACAAAACAGCACTGGCAGAATAGAAAACTTGGTATTGTACAACTACTTCAATAAACCTGAAACTAAATTATATATTCCTTCTGAAATCATCTGTTAGTCTGCATCTGATACATTTCACCACCTACCCATGTCATAATGGCATATAGAACATATGGGACACAAATACCCTAATATGATATCATCCACCACTCAAAGTCTCTCTTCTGCGGCAGTGTGAGTGTGAGTGTGAGTGTGAGTGTGAGTGTGAGTGTGTGTGTGTGTGTGTGTGTGTGTACCTTGTCGGCGTTGTCTGCAGCCAGCAGGTTGGTGGCGAGCGTCTGCAGTTTGTGCGTGGCCATGTTCTTCAGCGCGGCCAGGCTGCGGCGGGTCATGGCCTGCTTCAGGTTCACCGCAGAGTGGCTCAGAGCGTCCACGGTGGCCGGGGCCAGCTCGTCGCAGGCGCTCAGGATCTCTATCGCCGTGATCCCCATCACACAGCGGTCCAACGCGCCTGGGAACGCACACTAGTGATCAGACGTGTCTCTAACCCTTAAAGGTCACCTATTGTACTGTTTGTAGGCATACATTATAGGTCTCAGTGTTAGCGATGCTTGCTAATGTAAACACAGACCATTACTTCCAAAACGTTACACATTGTTTCTGATACAGCAAAGTTTCTGATAGGGTCGTGGGCGTAAAGCCAGCCCACATTTCCGATATTACGTAATATCGGCAGCAAATCTTTAAAGGGGACCTTAAAAAGGTCCCCTTTAAAACAGGCTAATCAGGACAATTACTGGAGAGGAATCCAGATTGGCAGGCTAATAATAATAATAATAATAATAATAATAAACGTATTTGTATAGCACCTTTCATGCACAAGAAAACATAACAATAATATTAAAATTAATTGAGAACAAGATAAAACATCAACAGTGATCTTAATGAAATTCCCTTGAAGTAAAGCTGAGAAATTAAAATAGGTTAAAATAAAACAATTTGAAAAAGAAAATTTAAAATGTAAAATAAAAGCAAAACAGAAAAAACACAGAAAAACATGGACAATGATATCAGTGAGAATCAAAAGATAACGCAAATTAAAAGCTATATTAGGTTATTAATTTACTTTGAAACATTTCAAGGGAGTGTACTGTTCTAAGATCCAATCTAACGAGCAACCCATCTCCACAAAGGGGAAGTGTTCATCCTGATCTCACCTGTGTCCATCTGCCAGACGTAGACGGAGCCGTCGGAGCAGCCCACCACCAGGTAGTCGTCTGCCGGACGCCACTTGATGACCTGGATGGGGAAGAGGTGTCTGGACGCCAGCATGATGCACTTCCTCTCCCTCAGACTGAGCAGACCCACTGAGTGATCGCTGGCCACCGAGCAGACGCAGTGCTGCACCCGAGTCTGCAGAGGACACACACACAGGGGTTAAAGGATCATACAGAGAACCTGGGAAATCCATGTAAGCTCACCGAGTCAACCAATCACATTGTATTCATATGGACCAATATAACAAATTACACATTTGTCTTAGCATACAGAAAAACTCCCATAGAAACCCCAGAATGATTGGGCGGAGCAACAAAGAAAGTATTCCTCTCCCAGGACTGATAGACATGCAATGGATGTCATGTGTATACATGTTAAGAATAAAAAATAATAAAATGACAACATAGAGAATCAGAATTAGGAAAATGTGACTGATCATAAAAAAGATGGATCTGTTTCTCTCCAAGGCCAAGACTGTGACACTTAGCTTAGCAAAAAGACTGGAAGGAGGGGGAAGACATATTCAAAATGTCACACAATATGTATTCTCATTACTCAATATCAATATCAGCCCTACTACTGAGGCTGCATGTGCTCATTAAACCAGCTGTTTGCTTGATCAGGAAAGTGATCATGCAAACAGTCTTTGGCAAAACTTGTCAAAGAAAGTGCCAAATTAGTTCTGTAACATTTTTGAAGAACTTAAAAACTCAATTTAAGGTTTTAAGGATTTTCCAAAAGTTCACAGACAGAAAACATGTAATGTCCTAATAAAAGCGAGTGAGATATCATATTGGTCCGGCTCCGATAACACAACAGCATCGCACATCTTATTTCCATCATAACAACACAATTGCAACCATTTGATCTTACTGTCAGACAAATATGATCCTAATGTCGTTTGGTTGTGTGTGTGTGAGTGTGAGTGTGAGTGTGAGTGTGAGTGTGAGTGTGAGTGTGAGTGTGAGTGTGAGTGTGAGTGTGAGTGTGTGTGTGTGTGCCCCTAACATTTGAACACAACAAACCGATGTCGTTAGAATTCTCTCCGACAATGACATCAGACCCTTAAACATTTAGACATTTGTTAGTAATTTAGTAACACAACACAACACACTACAGAAAGAAAATATTCAAAGGTAAAACTCCAGACAGAGAAAAGAGAGTGTGTCTATGAAAGAGATAAATCCCAGAGACATGTCAAGAGGTCTTACGCTGCAGTTCTCCGGCGGGACGATGAGCTGCGTGATCTCTCCTCCGTGGACGCAGAAGATGTGCTTCATCTCTCCGGTGAAGATGTCCCAGACGATGACGGAGAAGTCCACTCCTCCGGACACCAGGGAGCGCTGGTCGTAGCGAGGGGAGATCTGGTGCGGGTACAGGACGCACGTCACCTTGTTCCGGTGTCCTCGCAGGGTGCGGTGGGGCGGCCAGCCTACGGGACACATGGACAGTCAGAAATGGACGAAGACGTAATATACTGAGGATGGGACTAAATCACTTTATTATCTATTTTAATACATGGTGAGGTCAGAGACCGCACTGACCTCACCACCTTCAAAAAACGTACAAAAACTCACCTCTTCAAACTGGCTTTTAATGTGTGATTGTTGTTTTATTGCTCGATTTTAATGTGACTTTTACTATATTTATTTGTTGTCCTTTTTTTTTTTACTGCCTCTGTAAAGCGACTTTGAGCACCTGTAAAAGCGCTTACAAAATAAATGTATTATTATTATTATTATTATGTGGAGTCAGCAGCAGGGCATCTGCAGCAACAGGAGCTTTTCACTTTATTATTTTTCTGACTAAGGTCAAGTTTGATAGACTTTACTAGTGTGATGAAATTAAGATATGATAAAGGAATAAACAAGTCATGTTAAATAGTAATGAGACTGCATTCATATAGCGCTTTTCATGTCTTTATGACAACTCGCAACGCTTTTACTTTCACAAATCAGCACTCACCCATTCACACACATTCATTCAGAGACAAAAGCTGCCATACAAGGTGCCATCTGCCCAGGGAGACTAACATTCACACACACACTCACTCACACACCACTGGCCTTTTGGCAAATCGAGTTAAGTATCTGGCCAAAGGAGACATGTTGACTGCAGGATCTGGTGATCAAACCCCCAAATTTCAGATTTTATAACCACCACCCAACCTTCTGACCGGGTACAGTTCATTTCAAATCGATAAAAGTTATTCTCATCACGAGCTAAAGTTTTTTCAAGCTTCTCTATATGAGCTTCCCCGTCCCCCGTCCCCTCACCTCTCCGCAGCATGTGCTCGCCCTGCAGCAGCTGGACGATGGCGGTCTGTGTGGCAGGAACCAGGATGATGCTGCCGTCTTCTCTGCCGCACACCAGGCGGCCCTGAGAGGGGATGTAGACGCTGGCCGTCACCTGAGGGAACAGAGCACACACACACACACACAGAGTCAGGAACACACAAACTGAAAGGGTGATTATCCAATTAACTAAACTTTAGTATGCTGCAATTAAGCCCCGATATACTGCCATCTGAACTGATGCACCTCCAGATCTGTTCACAAATTCAATTTCAGAAAGGATATTGCAAAACAAAACGGGTATTTCGAAGAAAATGTGGAGCTATTATATATGAATATAAGCAACAGAAACAAATCTATTCCACCTGTGTGAACTTTCAACACTAAACGGCACAAAGGTACTTTTTTTACAGGACATTAACGCCTGAAGTCCACCACATAGGAACATCTATACAAACTTTTATACATACATAACGTTTTGAGGGTGCATTAATCAAACATTTTATTTTGATCAAGGACCAGAAATATAAGCGTTACAAAGAATGAGTCCTTAAACCCCAAAATGAGCACTTCTGTTTCCATCGTCTGGAAGTCATTGTTTTTTGGATTGTAATTTTATTTAGATACCTGAAACAACTTTGAGAAATGTTCACGTCAGTTAATACCCCACTGGTGAAGGTCTGAGGCTTCTGTGAGTCAAATAAGCAGCTACTACTACTTAATGATATGCCGCTGAATATTAGCCGCCTTTAGCTTAGGGGTTGTGACCGTGATGTTGTTCGTTTGTATCCTAACGTTGCTTTTTACTTCCAGAGACATGTAAGCATCAACAACTGTTAAGAGCGGTGTTAATATGTGGAGATTTTCCCACTGAACAAAACGTGGAAGTATCATAAACGTGGGTTTGCAACAGAGTTTTTTTTTCTTCAATAATCGAATATCCAATGGAAAAATGCCATGTTTTTTTATCAAGCGAGCAGTCATCGCTGCACCACTCTAGTGTCTGGGTTCAAACCTTGATGGGTGCGTCTTGTCCAGGCAGGGCGCTGAGCTGGTCGATGATCCCTGAAGACACGGGGGACAACTTATCAAACGACTCCTGGAGACTGATGGTGGACGACACCTGCAGCTCTGCACAGAGGAAGAGAGAGGAAGAGAGAGGATAAGTAGTCATTTGTTTCTAGAACAGCATAAATACAGAATCAAATAAAGATGGAATAAAATAAAACATTAAAACTTAAAGGGGACCTATCATGCAAAATGCACTTTTGTACGTCTTTTAAACATGAATATGTGTCCCCGGTGTTCCAGGGAACTCACCAAGTGTCAGAAAACACAACCCTCTCTATTTTCCTCCATACCCAAATCTCTAAAAAAGGGGCTGCAACGGATCTGATAAAAACTGATCCAGATTTGAACACTGTCCTGACGTCAGGACAGTGGCGCTACGGCTATTGGGCCAACTCCACCAATCAGGAGGAGACAGCCACGGCCATTGCCGTTCGAAAGCGCTGGAGACGCTGTAGTACATATGCCAGGCCTGTAGGTGGTGCTGTTCTCACTGAATCAGCCCTTGCTAAAACAGAGCTATAAATTGTCAAATTGAGCAAAATGAGGTATGGCTAAAATGCATGATCTGTTTGGTATTTTGAAAAAAAAAAAGTATAAATATGCCTTATATAGGTATGGTCCTACACTATATTATTCAAATATAGCATGATAGGTCCACTTTAAACAAGGAATAGAAAAGGGAAAAATGTCGAGCCTTGTTCATTTATACTAGATGCAATTTTAAAATATCCTACATACATCCTTAAAGTTTAATTTATATTATTCAAGTCCTGTAAGAAAAATAAATATAAAAAATGTTAAATTGACTTTATCAGTCAACAGCGCAATGACACATCTTGGCCACCAGATGTCCCTCAGCTTTGTAAACTTTAGCTGCATCTCACTTCGGTTAAATGGATTCCTTGCGTCCCTCACTTGCGTCGTTTCCCTGCGACTAGTCCCTCCCTCAGGGAAGCATGGAGAGACGCAAGGAAACCACGAGAAGCAGGGAAATGAGTTTTAAGAGCAATGGGACGTCGTTTCCTCCGGAGCGTCACGTGAAGCGACGTCCGTTTGTGATGACGCCGCACAGCTGATCGTCTGACAGCAGCCAGATCAGTGCATGCGCTGCATCGTCCAATCAGTGAGCGATACACAGTAAGGGGGCGGGGCGAGTGTCTGAGGATTTCACCGGAGGATGGTCTGGTAGTTCCTCGATTATCGCTCCTCCGTTATCGCTCCTCGATCCTCGATACTCGGTCCTCCGGCAAAAATAAGGCCACTGGGACGGCACTCAAGATGGCGCAGACAAATCAACTTTTGAAGCCAGGAAAAGGCTAGTCACTGTGACCTTTTTACCTGTGCTGGACTATGGTGATTTGATATATATGAATGCACCTGCCCATTGCCTGGAAAGGTTAGATGCCGCCTATCACAGTGCTCTGAGATTTGTTACTAACTGTAAAGCACTTACTCATCACTGTACCCTGTATGCCAAGGCAGGTCTGCCTTCACTTACTGGTCGGAGGCTCAGTCATTGGTACATATTCATATATAAAGCCATGCTGGGTAAACTACTGACTTATATATGCTCTTTGATCTCACAGAGAGTGGCAAGTAGCTATTGCCTGAGATCTCAGGATGTGTTTTTATTACATGTGCCAAGTGCTAGGACTGTTTTAGGTACTAAAGCTTTTATGTGCGCTGCTCCTCTAGCTTGGAACACTATGCAAAAAATATTGAAACTGAGCATTTTGATTCCCTTGCATCGTTTTAAAGCACGGCTGGATGAAATGTTATTGGATACCTGTAAATGTAAATAGGTTGCTAATGTATACCCCTGTAATTATGTTGTGATGTCCTTTTGTTTTCTGTTTGTTTTTATATGTGTAACTAATGTACCGCAGGTCTCCCTTGAAAAAGAGATCGTTGATCTCAATGGGATTTTTTAACCTGGTTAAATAAAGGCTACAAACAAACAAACAACTTCCGGTGAAACCGAGCCCGAGGAGCGAGGAAATGAAAAATAACCGAAGTGAGACGCAACCCATAGAACACATTTAAAAAAAGTGTCTTATTTTGAGTCAAAAGTAAATATATTTTGGACAATTGATTAACTGTGAAGCACACAATAATTATGTTGAATTTATATTGGTATATATCATTATGAAAATCTTGCACTAATGTACATTCCCAAAGATATTGAAGTGACCGTTATTTTGTATATATTGATTGTTGTGCTTTTATCTTAATGTGTGCATATGTATAAATGTGTAAATATAGGATATACATATTTTTATATACATTTGTATTTTTTTGTTGTGAGAAACGGTATTTCGATCTCTTTATTGACAATAAAGTTGACTTTGACTGACTTACATCAATGGTTACTAAATGCTGATGGCATCAAGTTTGTTCTTATCAGCGTGATTTTTCTCACATAAAGAAAATCGTTTTTGAAAGATCGTTCTGTAATGTCCCAGTATGGACAGACAGCTTTATCTCCAGAGAACTGATCCCTACCTGCGGCGGTCGACAGCGGCTGCAGAGGCGAGTTGTCGGGGACGCTCCACAGGGACAGTCGGCCCGCTGAGTCCCCCTGGATCAGCAGCTTGTGGAAGGGCTCCCGTCGGCCGAAGAAGAACCGAGTGACCGGAGGACAGATCAGGAGCTGGGGGGATAAACACATGTCAGCATCTGAAGCCCTGAATATCCACAAGAAACACCTGGAGAAGCAGTGTTTTGGGAAATAAGGAAAACACTTCAATGTTCATGCCACATGGGCCAAAAGAAAACCAGCAACAACACACAGCAAACTGCAGGAAAGCTGGATGTAGCCGCTGTAGTTCAATGATCCAAAGTGTTGCTTCACTCATCAGAACATGTGCTGATGAAGCACAGGGGAAGGACTGGTGGGGTTAACATGACAAGTACAAATAGGATGAGGGTCATGTGACCTAAGCTATAGAAGTGTCCAGGTACTTATATACACTAATAGACAAACCCTGTCTGATATCCTATCTATCTCAGCTGTTTTGCTCCACTAATACTTCCTTTACTTACAGGATTTTATTTATATAAGCTTGGTATGCCCTATGTATTAGTAAGGCTGTCCAGAAATGTCATTAATTGATATATTGCAATAAACATGATGGGACAATGACTGAAATACACTTCTAACAGTCTACAGCCATGCTAGCAACGGTTCTGTTCACCGTCTTACATTAGTATATGTGTAATTAAAATGTGTTTAAACAAGATCTGGTTATGAGGAGGGATTTTCATATTTTGGAAATAGAACGAACTGAAAATAGTATGCTGTGCTGAATCCTTATCATTTGTACAATCTCTGGTTTGACTGAGTTATTATGAGTTTCTTAACCTCATAAAATCTTAATCACTCATCACTCTCAACCCTCATCATATTTGTCCCCCACCAAGAGAAGGTGATCAGGTGTCATTCACAGTAGCTATCTATGTCCATTCACAGGTGAGTTTCTCTTTGCACTGTGAAGCACTGTGAGGTGTGCCGCCTGTCCACGGAGCTATAGACATGGACAGATGTGTCAGATCTATCGCTCTGGATACACGAGAGTCCCCAAACATAAGGTGGGAAACTCACCAGGGCTCAAACGCTAAGGAAGGACCAGGTGAAATCAGGTCAGTTTTGTTAAGATTTGAAAAACAAAACCTGGGATGATTGTTTGTCTCGTTACCAGCCATGACACTATGTGAGGAAGACTTCATGCAGACTGTTTACAAGGTTTCGTGCACACATGGCTGCAGGTGCTGTGCCGTGTTGTGAGCCAATCAAAAGTCTGCTGCAGCCCAACGACTTCTAACCTTTGACTCTACTGAAAAAATAACTATTCAAATAAGTATCCAGAGGTAACGGGGGAATGAAGGTTGAGATGGGAGGAAGGCAGCAGAGCTTTTTAGTCTTAAAAAAGGGACAATCCACCCCAAAACACAACTTATTAAAGTTATTCCCTAACTGTATATATCTTTGCTCTAAAATACAGTAACTCAGAAACCCATGTGAAGAGCACAAATTCAGTTATTTTGCAGTTATTATGCTGTGACCTGCTACGTTTTGTGGCTGTAGTCAACAGATTGAAGACAAATACGAGCTTTACTGGGATCAGATCATTTTAAAAAACGATAATTAAACATATCTAGCCTCTAAGTTACCAATGCTAACACCTAGCTTCCCTCTTACTGTCTTAAACGGAGTCTAAGGTGTTCGTCTAAATAAGGTATTTTCTAGAATCTGTGGGGAGGTGGAGGGGAGAGAAAATGTAAATAATGAAAGCTTGCAGGGTGTTTATAAACCTGTAGCCGTGTAAAGAGAAGGAGCTACCATCATCACAGCAAATGTAAAATATTGAAAGAGATACAGAAGCAGGGAAATGGCTGAAGTGTGTGTGTAAGCGCTTACTTCAGAACGTCTCAACACGAGAGATGGATAGACAGAAAGTTTGCAAAGTGCCACCAAATGCAGTTTTTTAAACACTCAATAACTCACACACACACATACAAAACACATATTGATATAAGATACAGTATATTAGATAAAAATCCAAGGTTATACACAATTTACGAATTTTTTGGCGGCATGCAAAGATGCAACTAGATTTGTGGATTTGTGCTGTGAAACGTGAATTAAATGAATCAACTTGCACGGGAAATTCCTACAACACTGTGCAGTGAAAGCCTATCAGCGTTGAGATAATCTCCTCACCACATTGCAGGTAAAGATTGTGGATTGCAACCAGTCCCCCTACACTCCATTTCTGCTAATAGATCCCCCTAAATGGCCTTTGTGTCTAAAATTAGAAATAGGACAGGGACATTTCTGAGCCTCTGGGAAATATAAGCAAGCACATTTAAAACAAAAAGCCATGATGTTCCTACTTTGTTTTTGTGTGTTGGCTTATCATAACTTCAGCGGGTCATTATTCTTGTTAAAAAGCAGCTTGGAGACTTTGCATGCATCTTCATCAGTATGAAGACAGATGAGGAGGGTGATGGTGCTTTTAGAGGAGACATTTTAGTTTTAGTGGGAAGAGAGCATGAAGTCAGGTGAACCAGAATAAGTTCAGTCTCTTAGTCCGGCAGGAAGGAACCCAGGAGAGGAGTAAAAGAAAACAGGCACTTCACTCTCAACGGCATCCACTCAGCGGCTTACGGTTCTACCTCCACACTTGTTGGTTCTTCCTAAACAAGAACTACCACTCACATGTTAAACTTCCATAATAGGTTTGAATTGAAATCAATAAATGGCTGGAGGTTTAATTGTCATACCCCTTTTCCATCGAGGCAGTTCCAGGCCCGTTTCAGTCCGTTTGTGAACCAGTATTTCATGTTTTTACTGGAGCTCTTGGCCCCACAAACCGTTTAAAATGTGCCAGCAACTACTTGACCAATAGGCAGCAAGATCTGAGGGGCCGCATTATTCAGAGTTATGGAAGTTATAGCAACATCAGTTCATGGCGATAGTAGAAAGTTTAGTCGGGCTAGCTTGGGTGGCTAGGCTAACATCATCAATGTAATATGAGAGAAACCTCACACTTCACAATCTTCAATTCAAGGCGCTTTGATGCCAAACATTGTCAATTAAATAAATAACAATGATACTTTATGGGGAAATCAGGGAACACTACTGGTGTGGCAGCATGACTGTCAATTACTTTCAAGCGTAGTTGCAGACTATCAGCCACATTATTCTGGTCAAGAGCATGACGTTGGAGAAGTTGTGCTTGCAATCCAATCTGGCTTCATAGCAATTGACCACATGCTCTCAAGTAGAACGCCCTTGTTGTCGTTTTGGCGGATAAATATGCTGCCGATGTAGCCAATTAAATAAGGGTCACCTCTCTGGCTCTGGTCAGTGGAAAGGCACATTTTTTTTTAGTCGGTTTGCAAGTTGACCAACTGAAAACTAGTCTCGTCATTGAACCAGAATGGAGCTCATTTCAGTGGAAAAGGGGTATCTGAGCTTCTCCGACTGCCGTTACGTTAGGCAGATTAGAATTAGTCTTGACACCGCAAAGCCCTTGAGATTTCATATCAGTTTTCGTTTCAAATGCATCAATTCAGCATGGAAGTCTAGAAAGGATAAAAGACCCTGAGTTAATCAATCTTCTCCCCCCCCCCCCGTTATCTCCGAGCTGCAGGGTGGATGTGAGCCACTGAGGATGTGTGTGTTTGCTGCTGTTCTCACAGCTTGCTCCTCTCAGCTCATCACTTTCTGGCTGAGCTGCCAATACAGGAACCTATCGTTAATTTCCAATGTGTCTTCATGCTAAGTACATTCATTTTAGTCTCAACTATTACATCTGCCTACACCTGACAGTAACCTCACTTTTAGAAAGGACCATACCAGGTTTTTCACAGATTGTTTTTAAGGACAAGGACACTCGAAACTGCAGAGAGATTCAAACCACATTTAGTGCTCTTAGTCGGCTTTGTTTTTCTCGTACACCAATTATTCAAATGTTGTTTAAAAGTTAATCTAAATAATTAGCCAACTAACCAAAAATAAGTAAATGAAATAATTTCTAAAATAGCAATCATTTTAAAGCCAATACTTTGGAATGATGGTGTAAAAAAATAGGACAAATTTAAATAGTGTATAGTCAGCAGTAGTATAAAGAAGAACATGTGTAGTGAATGGGGTTAAACGTGCTAAATCATTGGTATGGTGCTTTCAAAATAGTATTATGCTTTTCATTTATCTGATGCAGCAAATCTAACTTATCATTTTGCATACCCTTATTTAAACGACGTGCAAAATGACGCGAGTTTGTGATTCTCCTATTTAAAATAAAACGTTTAATTTCAAATTAAGGCTACTATAATGTAAGTGTTGGAATAGAGCGGTGCAGGAATGAGTTCTAAACACAGAAATAAGTCAGCATTTCAGCACTTCCTGTTCGCTTGTCTCAGGTTTAATGTTTTTTTTTAAATATCTAAAATAAGATCTGTTGTCAACACAAGCTTAAGAAAAATCATGTTTTAAGTTCATTACAAGAAGCTAAATGAGACTACTAAAACGTCATTCCAGCGAACATTAGCCGCTTTTAGCTTAGCAGCGGTGAGGTGAAGTCATGTGACCATGAAGCAGTTCATTTATAGCCTAACGTTAGCTTTTTACTTATAGCAGTTGCATTTTAAAAATCATAAAGTGGTGTTAAGATGGCGATTATCCTGCTGAACAAAACCTGTAATTATCATAAACGTGTCTTTGCCAAATATCGTATTTTCTGCAATATTCCATTTGAAAAATCCCATTGCTTTTTTGTCAATGCTCATTTCCAGGTCGTCCTATAGAAATACGCCATCACTGCACCACTCTATAATGTTCATTTTAAGCTTGAGCAGCTCAGCCAAGAACGTGAAGCTTATTCTTCCTGCCTTTGGTGTTCAGAGTGCACTTTCTGGGGCTTACTGGTGCCTCTAGAGGCCGGTGGTGGTAAAGCAGCTCTGGGGTGTAGAGCTTCAAGTCGCACCCGCTGGCAGGGAGGCACATCACCTCCACAACCACCTCCTCCTCCTCCTCACCTCCTTCTCCTTCTCCTTCCTTCCCAGAGGAGTCGGGAGGTCAAAGGAGGGAGGGGGCATGGCAGCATCAGAGGACAGAAACATAAAAGGCACAACAGAAATAACAAAAAGGCACAGACAACAAATAAATACCTACAAGACAATAAATTATAAATAAACGGAACACACAGAACACACAGGGTCAGGCTCACACACAGAGATTAGGCTTGGTCTCACTATCTGATTTCAGAATAAAGGGTTATGATTAAGATGTTTTTAGTCATTTTTAGTAGTAGTTAAAGGGGACCTATCATGCAAAATGCACTTTTGTACGTCTTTTATACATGAATATGTGTCCCCGGTGTTCCAGGGAACTCACCAAGTGTCAGAAAACACAACCCTCTCTATTTTCCTCCATACCCAAATCTCTAAAAAAGGGGCTGCAACGGATCTGATAAAAACTGATCCAGATTTGAACACTGTCCTGACGTCAGGACGGTGGCGCTACGGCTATTGGGCCAACTCCACCAATCAGGAGGAGACAGCCACGGCATTGCCGTTCGAAAGCGCTGGAGACGCTGTAGTACATATGCCAGGCCTGTAGATGCTGCTGTTCTCACTGAATCTGCCCTTACACAAACAGAGCTAAAAAATGTCAAATTGAGCGAAATGAGGCATGGCTAAAATGCATGATCCGTTTGGTATTTTGAAAAAAAAAAAGTATAAATATGCCTTATATAGGTATGGTCCTACACTATATTATTCAAATATAGCATGATAGGTCCACTTTAAGTTTGTAGATTTCATTTTTATCGTTACGTTCTTAGTTAAAAGCTGGTATTAAGTCATGATTAATAGGCAATACATTGCTAATGAATGACATGGTCAATCCAGTAAAATGTACATTCAAACAGCAGAAATGACAACAACAGATGTTTAATAGTCACCACTCTGCTGCACACAGCGCTTATTTGAAGATAATAAATGAATGAAAATAGAATTATAACACTCTGCTGTTTTTTTCAATCAGTATTAAGGAACAGTCACTTCAAATTAAAAAATATGTATTTTTCTTCAAAGCTGTGGTGCTTTTTATCAATCAGATTGTTTTGGTTTGTGTTGCGTAGTGTTGGCGCAAAAAATGTTGGTGTTAATTAACTATTAACATGTTACTATTACTTACTTCAGGGTTCATACACTTTTTCACGAATGATTTTCAATGACTTTTCCATGACTTCTCCATGACCTTTACCTAATTTTCCATGACCAAAAAAATTACTCTTTCTCAGCGGTACCACATGGAACAGGAAAATAAGGTCTGCATATGAAACATGTTGTGCCTATCTAAAACAAATCAAATAGGCTTATAGCTGCTACAGGCTAAAGCAACTAAAATCTCTCACCAGCAAAATACCTCGTCAGTTAAATGCCATTTTACATTCCATTACTATACAATACAGTAATTACTATTTCGGCGATTAGATAAAATATAAATTATATTTGATGCAACTTTAGTTAAATTTCCATGACTTTTCCAAAACTTTGGGAAAAATATTGTTTTCCATAACTTTTCCAGGGCCTGGAATTAGCATTTTGAATTTCCATGACTTTTCCAGGTTTTTAATGACCGTAAGAACCCTGTTACTTATACTAAAGTACGATTTTCAATGACAGTGAAATCCTTGGCAACAATATCCATCTATTATTATTTGAGGTTTAAACTGACTGAGTTGAAGTCACCAAACAACAAGAACAACCTTAACAATAAATAACAAAAACAGCTACAACTGTAAGACATCATTGTCTTTTTTCAGGAGTGTACAGTACTCACTTTTCTGAGCATGTGTTTTAATATAAAAATAATAAAAAGCACTGACCTGTTTGTCTAGGCGGTCGGCGATGCTGTAGACCAGCGGAGGGATGGAGCCTTCTTTAGTTTTCCCCACATCACTGCGGTAATGTTCACTCGCAGGCAGACAGCTGAGGAACACACACAAACACACACACACACACATTAGTTCTGTGTTTTACAGTGAGGAAAACCCATTGACGCCTTTTATCTGATTCTACAGATCCTATGACTTAGAGCACATGTGTCAAACTCAAGGCCCGGGGGCCAAATCAGGCCCTTGGTGGATTTAATTTCGGCCCGCAGGATAATGTTGAATTACTATTAGATCTGGCCCGCCGGTATATTGCACGCACACCTTCACTCCATCCTGAGGGTTTCCTCAGCTCAGAGCCTGACCCCAAACATTGATGACCTTGCACCCAAGATGAGATGCCAAGTATCTGGCTTGAACTAGCATCACAGAGCAGCACACTGAGTTTACATGGATGTTTCCTTCTGCACTTTTTTTCTTGAGACAACAGGGCATGTTTGTTTTTTCTTTGAGGGAAATAGTTTTGTTGAAGCTGTTGTTGGCCTGTGGAGAAATGTAATCATAAGAAATGACTCTGGAAAAGCTGCAGATAGAGCCATAAGAAATGAATGCAACTGATTATTTAATGTTTCATGTTGTTTTTAAAGGCAATCATTTAAGCTTTGTTAGTTCCAGGTTTAATATGTGCAATAAGTTCATTTCAATACGTTTTGCAATAAACATTGAACCAGTCCGGCCCTCGACTAGTACCCATTTGCTAATTTTGGCCCACTGTGTATTTGAGTTTGACACCCCTGACTTAGCGTCTGTATCCTTCTTCTGTGGTGTTATAATATTAACAAAGCTTTATTGTTACAATATCTTACATAAACAGGTTGCTTTGAGACTTTGGTACACAACACAAATAGAAAATAGAATAACATTGAAATCAAGAAAGAGGCTAAAACATATTAGGCACATATGCAGCATGTGTACATGATATATATATATATATATATATATATATATATATATATATATATATATATATATATGATTCCATGTCATACAAGAAGGTAAATAGGCAGGAGAATAAATACAATAAAATAAGACTGATAACAAAAAACGTAATCAGTAAAAGTAAGACAGGAATAGAACTAAATTCATTAATACAAAAAAGAAATAGAAAAAATTCACAAGTAGGGGCTAACTTCAAGCTAAGGTCAATACATTGTATTTTTAGCTGTTGTTATATTTAGAAGAACATAAGACGATAAAGGATCTATGATGTAAGAGAGCACCAGAGATACGAGCTTTGTTTCCAAGTCAAATCATTTAAAATCGATTCTAGCCAATGCAGCAAAAAACAGGAGTAAGATGCTCTCTTTCTTGTTGTTGTTGTTACGGAATAATTCTTCTAGATATCTAACCTTTTGCTCTGTGACGTTTATGATCTACTCTGACGTCTGTTATCTCCTTTAAGGAAAGGCCTTGGTGCCATATGTGTTGTTGTTACCAGTTTGTGACCGGTCAACTTGTCTGGCACGAATGGTAATTGTTGTGAGAACGCTGAGGTGCTTCTTTATCGGTGTTTGTGGACTCTAAGGTGTGAAATCTTTGAGGCCATGAGTGTCGGACGCAAGTGATTCAGTGTTCCCAGCTGTTTAGTCTACTCCTTCAGAGATGTTGATTACTCTCTGTGAACCAGTTAAAAGGTCTAACATAGAGAGAGGCTCTTCAGAATTGACGTGGCAACTCTACCGTGTAGTCAGAACCTCTGACTCGTGATTTGTGATGTGAATCCTCCGGCCGATACTCTGAATAAACCCATCAGTGTTTGACATCAAAAGCTCCAGCTCTATCCCGTGTCTCCTTCCTGAGTCGGTGACTCCCACTGCATTGCTACACAGAAGTTTCCCCCACAGTTGTTGTTGTTGACACCATCAGATAACACATGTTTACCTGGCGGGCAGCTTGTAGATGTAGCTGCAGCCGTCCTCCGTCCAGATGATGACTCTGTCCGCGGCGATGAACTCTCCTCCGGTCCAGGCCTGGTCGTTCTCACTGGACACTGAGCAGAGGAGCGAGTAGTCAACGGCATCGAACACCTGACACACAGAGAGAGAGGTACACACATCTGCATTAACAAGAGACACGGGAGACTTTACTGGTTAATTGCAGGCTTCTTTTCAACCTGTCTTCAGCCACACAAGGGGAACAAACTACTAAAATACACATTTAGGAGTTTATCTAAGAACAGTTTGTTTACTTTCATCTGAAGATTGCGCCTTGATTCACCAATAGTTAGTATTTGATAATGCTGCATTTGCATATTAAAACACAACATTGTAGAAAACTTGTATAACAAAACATCATTGTTTTAATGTAAGTAATCAACAGGGGGGATTCATGGTGATTTGTTGATAAGTTCACATTTAAACTTGTTCTCCTGTAGATACACTCTATTCCAGTACTTGGTGTGTAGTATTACTCGTTGTACTGCAGGTACTTGGTGTGTAGTATTACTCGGTGTACTGCAGGGCTCTTACCCTCCAGTACTTGGAGCAGACGACCAGCAGGCTGCTCTGAGTGAAGGTGCAGAAGGAGATGCTCTGACAGCCCTGACAGTAGATGGGTTTGGACTCTTCTTCAAACACAGGGTCCAGGTCCTACACACACACACACACACACACACACACAGATACACATACATCAGCATCGGAAATAGAATATTTTTTGATTCCAGGGGGAAATTGGGTTTACTGAAAGTAGCTCCATTTTAGAAAAAAAATAATAAAAAAGAGATAATAATAATAATAATAATAGTTAAGAAATATATATACACATTACAAAATATGTAAATATAAACATAAAAATGTTTTTTTAAATGTGCATATTGTACTACCATTATAAAAATAAAATAAATAATTATTAAACAATTAAATCATTATCAACAAATATCTGTATGGTGGAGTACCTGGATCTTGCTGACCTCCGCTGTGATGATCCAAACCTTCAAAATCCCCGTCACTGACACCGCCACCACCGTGTCCTCTACACAGAGAGGGGGCCTCGTGGTTAAATACAAATATTCTTCTTTAGAGAATTTATTTGCAACAAAATGTAAAACTGGTCAAAATAACACAAGAGAAGCAGTGGGTTCAGACCTCCAAGAAGGCCATTCAAATCTGGGGGACGTGTTTATAGTAGGGATGGGAATTTGAAAGCAAATGTATATTCGAATATTCGACCCCCAAAAAAACGGTTAACCGATTAACCGAAATGTACATATCGTATAAAAAAAAAAAGAAATGTGGGAAAAATGTTTACAAAAAATAAATAAAACATTTTTAATTTTGAAAAATAAATAAATACATGTTCAAATAAGTATAGAAACCAAGTCGAATTTGTCAAATGTATTGAACTGGTGATCACAGTTTGAACAGTTGACAGCTATAGGCCTACAGCTTTCATGCTTAAAACATAACTTGGTTTTTAAATGAAAGAGGGATCATACACGACCAACATAACGGGTTAGGGTAACGTAACCCTATCACAACAGAGATCAACCTGTAACAGGGCCTCTGCACAGAATGCAGCTATTCAATACTCATTCTTGTTTAAGAATATGAGCATGTCTACTCAGGGGAGAGGCGGGTGCGGAGGCGATTCACAATCAGTCCAGCTGTAGAGAAGACCCTCTCAGCTGGAATTTGGGCATAAGATGAGGTTTGAGTCTGCGTGATCTGCGTGTAGGGAGGGTCAGCAGCTATATCATTAGCTAGAACTAGCTAGATCTGATGGATTTGGACATAAACGCGAGTGAAGTATAACCGGACGAGAGAGAGAGATCAGCACCTGCAGCTCTGCCCGCTGTGAGGGACCGGTGAGCGGAGCAAAACACACCTTTAGACCTAACACACTTAGCTATGGCACTGTCGTATACATTGAATTATTCCATTTAATAATATGTAATCTAATAAAAAATATTCATAACTCATATTCTCATATTCGAATACCTGAATAATTTCGAATATTCTAATATTCGATTAATCGTTCTCATCCCTAGTTTATAGTAGTGTATAGCTTAAAATAAAAATGAAGTTAAGTTAAGTTAAGTTACATTTCCCTCCAATTGAAACTAATAAATAGCAAAACAAGAGAAACTGTTAAAGAATAGATTAGATTAGATTTTAGATGTATTTTGCGGAGGTCTCTTAACTGTTCCAGATCTGAATCTATATATAATCCTGTGTCTCTGACCTTGTGTGCGGTGGGAGCGGATGATGCTCATGGAGCTGATCCAGTCGGGGGAGATCTTGGACACCAGAGAGTACAGCACCTCCAGGCTGGTGGCGTCCACCACAAGGATTTCTGGGTAGTGGCCGTTGCAAAGCAGACGTCCCTCTTTCTCAGTGCTGATGGTGAACTGATAGAACTACAGAAATACAGAATAGGAGACGGAAATATGAGGAGAGATGGGAACAGGAGGACGTCAAATCCCACCCAAAAATAATGTAAACCATCCCTTTCCTGGGTCAATTTGAATATGAAATATTGAATGGATGTGTATAATTACATGGACAGTAACTTCATATTGATTATAAAACTGAATATAGGATTTCAATGAAATAACTACTGAATGAAAAGAGAAAGTAAGAGTAGTTGGTTTGATAGGACTTTGTTGTACTGGTGGAATAAGTGCTGTGGAAATGAATGTTTGTAAAAATGAAGTCAACATTTGAGCTACTTTATCACAGTTGTTGCTCAATTGTGAGTGATGATATGAGACTAGGCCATAGCATAGTACTGGAATAGCATCTTTGATATTAATTGCAAGTCCTACCTGTATGCCAGTGTGAGCACAGGCCAGCTTGGTGAACTCAATACAGCGTCCATCGTTCACATCCCATAGACACATCTCTCTGGAAACACAGACAAAAAGTGAATTAAACATAAATGAGTAGGAAATGACACGTGTGTGTATATGGTAATCAACAATAATTTTTAGCACATTTAAATAAACTAGTGTAATGCCCTTCGTTATGCCACAAAGTAAGTCTATGGAGGAGTTTACAGTAGCGATTCTACAGTCTACAATTGTTTGGACCTCAATAAAGTCAAAGCCACATAAAATTATAATTGATTGCGTAATAAAAGCCTGTACTCACCCGTTCTCTGATGCGCTGACGATGTACTGTTTGTCACTGCATGCACTGGCTTTAGCCAGACAGGTGATGGAGGCTGTGTGACCAAACAGCATGGCCCGGGGACAAATCTGAAGAAGAAAAATATAAGAAAAATATATATAACGGGTAATAAAAAAGATACACAGAGTAAATAAGTGGTGTGTGACCAACGCACACACCACCGCCTCCGCCCTGATCTGTACCTCCAGCTCAGGCGTCATGTCCCAGATGCAGATCTGTCCGTCGTGGCAGCCGGTGATGATGGTGCTGAAGTTGTCCATCACCAGCAGGCTGCTGATGCAGTGGGTGGGAGCGGTGCGGCCCCATAGCACTATGGGTAGAACCAGGTTGTTCCCCGACATGATGCAGATGTTTCTGGAAGGAGAGAGGGACACAGAGGGATGAAATGAGACGAGCCAATGATCTTGTTGAATTGCCAGCATAAGGATTGATAGACAAAGATACAACTTCACTCTGGGCAACACCAAGCCAAAACAAAAGGGCTCATATCACTATTTAGGGGATTCATTAATGCATCATAATTTATATCTATCTATACTTATGCATATTTATATATTTCCAAACCATACTCTACCCTGCTGTTTATATATCTTATTTATTTTGATCTTGCAGCACATCATGCACTTTTATTCTGGGACATGAATTGTACACACCTTCTAGAAAATGCCTCTACTCTTTCTAGTTTGTATGTAATACGTTTGTTTGTATGTATAGTTCTTAATATTTATATGTGGAGAGCTGTCCAAATGTCATTGTACAGTGCAACTGCATGTTATACTGTACATATGAGAATAAGATATCTTGAATCTTGAAAGCAAGGGTTAATTGTTTCTGCTATTGTCTTGATCTTGTCCTCTATGAGCTCATTGCTTGATGCTATGTTCATATTCTCCCTGTTTACATCCATCCCAATCAAGCATACGGATTGGAATAGAATAGCGTTACACCATGAATGAGTCACGACTAGTCACTGTCACCAGTTGTGATCCTTTGACCACACTCTTCAACACGCAGTTAATCAAATCATCATCAGTGTGTGTTTTCCTACATTTACATAATTAACCTTGGCGTTACATGCAGGTTTGCAGACTGTGCAGCAGCGTGCAGAGTAACAGGGGACACATTTAATGGAGACAGGTGCAGGTCACTGATACCAGGTAGAAAGTGAGTAGCAGCACGAGATTATGCAGAAAAATTAAGCTAAAATCGTATAATCATGGATGAGGACTGATTAACGGTGCAGTGATCTATGAAGCGCTAACGCTATACCTGCAATGTCGCCACTTCCGGGGTAACGAAACGGCTAACTGAACCAAAACAGGGTGTTAAAAACGCTTTATATACGTACCACAACTAAATTACTCCTGGAACATGTCCTTGTAATTGAAGGCTTATCGAAGAACGTCTCCCTCCTTGGCAAAATGAAATTGAAATTGTCCTTCTTATCGTCTTGTTTAGCTCCGATCTGTTCGGTCAGCTGATCACCTGACAACCAGAGCCACATCCGGTTTTGTGTTTTCAAAATAAAATGATGCAGCTTTCGTTTTCCGAGGAGCACACGACACGGTTCCTCGTTAAATAAATCAACCTATAGCACATATACTTCTTACCCTATGAGCACAAAGGTTACATAAACATAAAAGTTACAATAATAATAACACCGCAAGTTATCAGTAATCTCCACCTTTATTTTGAAATGTAAAATAACGAATGACATGCGCATTTACCCTTCAAAGTAAAAGCAAAGACCCCATTTTGAAAGTCGATTCTTTATTAAATTGTCGTTTTGTTTGTTTGTTTTCTAATCTTGGGTGTCACGTGCGGATGTCATTTGTCAAGATACACATTTGCCATTACATTTTTAACAATTTTTTTAGTAATAGTTCATGTTTAAAAAAAATAAGAATGACAACGGAAGTCGTGTTGTTTTGTTGTTGCCAGCTGCCGCCAGACTGACTGAGCTTCATGGTGGGGAGCATGCGTTGGAGTCTGCACGTGTTCGACGAAAAACGGAGGAAATTGGACTAATTTACCACTTAATTGATTATTTTTGAACTGTCCTGTGTGCCTCATAGTGGACAGGTTGTAATCTGAGGTATTGAACTCCTGACATGATGATTACAAGAAGAGAAACGGATTTATTGGCGCTAGCTAACAGCATGGGAGTTAGCGTTAGCTGAGAACAACATGCCCAGACTTGTTCCTTATCGCACACGCTGGGAGAAGGAAGGAATAAAGACCCACAACGTTACATAATTTAGTCCATTTTTTTACGACAAATACAATGGATTACCAGTTCCCAGAGCAACTTTACCCTTCGTTTTACAACTGCGGACCTCCAGACTTGGTCCTGAAACACTGTGCAGGAAACTGGGGCTGCTACGACAGAGTCCGACCTCAGGTGGGTCAGCTGTCAAATGCTACTATTTCACATAAACACACGAAAACATGAATATAAACCATATTTGTAAATATTCTCAAGCCATGCATCGTAATAACAATACTTACATGTCAGTGGTATTACAGGGTGTCCGCGGGGTCTTAAAAAGTATTACAAGTTGATAAATCAATTTAGCGAAAATTAAGGCTATTAAAAAGTATTAAACGGCATTTTCCAAGGTATTACATTTTGTAGCTTGTTTTCAATAAGTATATAAATTGTCCAAAGAGGTTGTATTCTACAGTGTGCCTGAATGTAATCATTGCGTAGGTGTGTGTAGTGTGATTCTGCGTAGTTTATTTATGGCATCCCGTTGGATTTGACGTCAGCTGAACAGGACATCGCACGCTCACTGCTTGATAGCGCGCGAAGCTCCGTTTACGCCGGTTGTTAAGCAACATCGTTATGGGGAAATGCAAGTTTGCGTCCAAATGGTTGGAAGATAAGGAGGAAGGACAATCAATAGTGAATGTGAGGTAAACTGTGTCGCCAATGTAACCGGTAAAAACTCGAAGTGGCGATGAGGTCTTTAAAATGTATGGAAAGGGTCTTAAAAGGTATTACATTCGACTTCAGGATTCCTGCATATACCCTGATTATGTTAATGAGAATACAAAACATGTCACTCCTTTGTTCACATCAGGACTACATTGGACAAGGTCTCCTTCAAAAATCTATACTTCTTAGACAATCAAATCTGGACTACATTGTCCTAAATATGATACAATTCCACATTTTATTTGTTATTAAACCTTAAAAATATTTGTGAAAATCATAACAATGTTGAATCCACTGTTTTTCTTTTACATGTGCTCCAGTGTGGAGCTGTTTTTTGTTTTTACCTAACCAGGATCAGACTTTCTAAGATGTCATCTGTAATGTCAGTCTTCTCGTGGTGTGTTTGTGTTTTCAGGGTGGCTCTGGTCCTCTCTCCAGCTGGACCTTTACCTCCAGGCATCAGGTCAGAGGGGAGACATGGTGTCACACGGAGCCAGCACCAGTTCCCCTCCTGCCCCCCAAACACTGTGAGTCCATGAGGGTCATTCAGGTCTCAGACAGCAGTCCACATCTGGAGAGCTGAAGCAGGAGAGACACTTGACTTAAAATCAGATTTAAAAGGCTTTATTTGGCATATGCACATTTTTTGTTTGGGCACTTGCAGCCTAATTTTTTCCAGAAATGCGACCAAGTACGTAACATAAAAGGAAAAATACATGAAATACTGCAATAGACATAATGGTGAAAGTACATTGCAAGAATAAGACAAATATATACAAACAAAACATAAGACCAAAAGATTATACAATAAAGTACTATTTAGTAATGGAAATATTGTAATAGACGCATGAACAGTGTATTATAAACCCAGGAGTAGTGACACTTTACACGGCTCAGTCTAACGGCCCGTGGGCTAAAATTGTCTCTGATGTTTGTTGTACTGTTGTTTAAAAAAAGATGCCTTACAACTGCCAACATATTGGACAGTCAATAATTAAATGACAGTGAGATCACACAAAGTTCTGTTGAAGTAGGGCTGCACGATATTGGAAAAAACTGACATTGCGATTTTTTTCCGCCTGCGATATATATTGCGATATGAAAACATACAGGAATTGAAGAAAATACCGTTTTTTTTTCCGCAAACCATCCTTTCTTGAACTTTAATGCTATACAATTGGTATTTTTTTAACTATACTTAACCGGATGAAGGATTTTAGTCACGGACGTGTGGATCTTAAGTTATCAGAGCAACAAGCTGAGGCTGCTGAGCTAGCTCGGTTAGCAGCGCCGAACTGCCTTGGAGAAACACATGAAACTACTTTATTCAGTGTTTTTACTTTTAATCACCGGGTCCGTTTGCTTTGGAGATTTGATTGTGATTGGTGGTTTGCTGTGCATGCAGAGCCTGCATGTCACTCACTCAAGTACCCCTGACATGAGAGCCTCGCAAGTTTTCCTTTTGTAGCAAGCAGCAAAAATAATTGTAACATGACGTGTTTGAGTTAATTTGCCTACTTAATATTGCAAGTCCTAAAAAAAAAAATTTAAATCGCACGTTCACGCGATGTGAATATCGCGATTATCGACACGATATATCGGGCAGCCCTATGTTGAAGTACCCTTATATTTAAGAAATCATCTGTTTGTGTGTTTGTATTTTGTCCAGCTGTCCTCTGGCCTTCAACGCCTCCAGATCCACAGGATTTCCCAGAACATGTGAGTGTGAAAATTCAACAGTTTACAAACCCCCCTCTCAGATTTAAGAGATGTCTGTCTTAATCCTTAAATGCATGTTATCATATACAACAAAGATTAAGACGTGTTTCAAAGCACATCCAAGCTCGCCGACCTGAAATCAGTTTTAAGCTTATTTTGGTTCTGTGTTTTAAAGTTTGTGAACATGCTTTGCATTCAGATGCAGAACTTCTTCATGGACCACTGCCAGGACGCCTTCGGGAGCATGAGCGAAATTCTGAATGAAGACTTAATCTTCAAACAAGGAACGAAAAAGGTGAGATTCACAAGAATATACTTTACTTTCTAAAACATGTATTTCTTTAATTTCTTATCAATCCAACAGTTCTTCAAATGTATGGTTGAAAATATGAATAGACAAAAATAGCAGTGAGACCCCTAGCTGCCTTGTGATCTCCAGTTGGTCCGTGGATCTTTTTGTTTATTTATAAAGCATAAATTCCATTTTGAGCAATTCCCCTATAGTTATACCACACTATCTTTACATGATATACTAATCAATAAGCTGTTGATCTTGCTTTGTATGATGTTATAATATGATGTGTTTGGTGTGTTTTGCAGATATCTCGCATTGACTCCATCTACATGAGGAAAATGGAAAGCCTCATCAAGAAGGGGAAGTTGAAAAAGTGAGTGGCGCGGACTGATCAGTGAATATCTGTGGCTGTGTGATTGTTGTGTTTATTTGTCCCATCTTTTGTCCAGGCGTCCGTTGTCGTTTCCCTCCAAGGTGCTGAACGCGTACGGCTCCATGCTGTCGGACGTGTTGCCCGCCGTGCCCCCCTCCCTGCTGGGCTCCCTGCTGTTCGAGGAGCTGAAGGAGCAGAGGGAGTGCATGCTGTTCTCTGAAGCAGCCACAGGGGGCGCTCTGGCCTTCGTCCCCTTCTCACAGAGCAGCAGCGACTCTCAGAGCGGCTGCCTCCTCTACCCCGGGAACCAGGGGCTGGACTGCCTCAGTATCCTGCAGACTATATACTTATGTTTTGAGACCAGGGTTGTGGTCCAATAGTAAAAAAAAAAAACGGATGATCCAGTGTGTGTGAAGTGCTAAAGGGGAAAACAAAGGAAGCATTGACGCTACGTTTCTTATCACTAGATTCAAGATTCATTGTCATGTGCACATTAGCTACAGTGTAGATATGGCAATGAAAAACTGAAGTCACAGGCTCCTCCAACAGTGCAACATATATATAGGACATAAAACAAATAAAACGGATAAAATAGTGCAAAAGAATTTGAATAGCTGTTATCATGGCGGCAACTTAGGTCATTTCACTCCGTTTGCAACCTTCCTAGGCAAAAAGACTATTTGGTTTCAAACCCAGAAGACAGTAGCACAAATAATGGTGGGGGGTAAAGCTGTTAGGTGTTCTTGTTGCATTTAGTTTCTGTTCCTTAACTCAATACCTCAGACTTCCACAGAGTGGAGCTGCAGCAGCACAAAGGGACCCCCCCCTGTTTGAACACCAGCAGCTCTGATCTGTCGAGCTTCCAGCTGAAGGCCCCCGTCAGACAGATCAGCACCGCCTCCCTGATCAACAACTGTAAGAACCAGAAAGCATTTAGAAATGTCATCAGGAGTGTGATGTGGCTCCGGATATTTGACCATGCCTTTGTTCCCAGGTTGTGTGGCCGTGCGCTCGGATCACCTCTGTGGCGTCTGGAGGTTCAGTGAAGGAAACAAGCCTCAGCTGATGGAAGTTGTCAACACCAAAGAGGTCGCCACCTGCATCTGTGTCAGGTGAGTGAAACCCAGGGAGTTGAATCCCCCCCCGAGGCCTCACTGGTCAGAGACGAGAGGTTCCTGATATGTGGAAAATGTAAAAAAGTAGGACCATGTGTTAAAATAAAGATTATCTGCTTTATGTTCAGTCCTCATGTTCTAGGTGAAGTTCTGGTGGCGAGTGAGAGCGAAGCGGTAGACCTGTGGACCGTCGGCAAAGGGTGAGGACAATTAGTTTGAGGACAAAGTGTTGTTGTTTTTTTCAAATCCAATCAGAACTAAAAGTGGTCTTTGCTCTTAGGATGCAGAGGGTTCGGGAGGAGGAGGAAAACCTGTACTTCAACGCCAAGTCATCATGGCGATGGTGCGAGTTCTCCGCCCATCCCAGGGTGATGGTGTACGCAGACAGGACGGGGGTGGAGCTCACTGACATCAGGGTGAGTGGTGTTGTTGAGAGTTAAAGAAGACACTTTTGTAAAAGTCAACTAACTGATGACTTGTAGATGTACCTTTTTGGTCTTATTTCTGTACGGGAATTAAATGCATCAATTTTGTAAGTTGTGTTGTAAATATATTCATTCTTAGATTTAGTCGAAATAACAGCCAACCTCTTATCCCTTACAGTTCAAGTTCCATAAAGAAACCTAATAATCTTCTTTTAAAATCTCAGCTAAACACAACAAAAAGATGTATGTATTGACTCTGTCCTTCCTCCTCTGTCTCCTCAGATGAGTCCTGTCTCAAATCACACTCTGTTTCGTATCAGCAACACCCCCGAATGTCGCAGTGGAGAGAGACTCATCCTGTCCAGATACCTGGCAGACATCCACCCCTTCCACCATCTCATCACCACTCAGGTACGGAAACATTAACAGTGATATAAGACACAGATGGCTTGTCCAAAGTTTGTTTAAACACACAGAACTTTGTTTAACATAATAATAATAATAATGAAACTAAAGCGTCCAAAGACACCAAATACTTCACGATAGAAGTTGAAGAAATGTTCATTCTGCTCAAGAAATGTGCAGTACCTCGCTGAGACCACTAGGTGTCAGGGTTCTCATTTGGTGCTTATATTTGAACAATTAGCCTGTAAATGTGTCACTGTCTGTTATGTGATGTAATTCTGTTCAGTTTCAGAAAGTATATATTTTTTTAGTGTCCTCTCTCTGACTTTACCCGTGTCTTTCTGTCAGCACTCGGCCTACATCATGGACGAGCGTTTCCCCTGCGTGCCCATGCTCAAGTGGGATCACATGATGCAGTCTCCACCAATGTTCTGCCACACTTTCCCTGGCTCCGCCTCCTCCCGGACCGCTAAGGTTCTGCTGGGCTCCCACAGCGCTCAGGAAATCACCCTGCTGCAGTACTCAGGTCTGTGGCTTTTCTACAAATAAGTGTCAAATGTTTCAGTGTGTCGTGGCTTCCTTATTTTTCTATCAAGCCACTAGACGCCTTAAACAGACATTTGTAACTAGTTTTCTTTCCTTTGTGTTACTTACAGTTGAAGAGTTGCTTGGCCTCCGATGGTTTGGATGATATTATGCAATGGGTTTGCTCAAAATAAAATAACAAACGTTTACACATGCAACAAAGAAAAGAGGCCTTTACAATAGTCAAAACAAAAAGTCAAAACTCAAATAAAATAACAAACAACTTGGGTATTCTTTCTTGCTTTCTTTGTTTGTTAAGGCTTGTATAACTTTAAGGTTAATTGAACGGTAAAAAAACTGCCTCGACGGCATCTTTCTAACAGGTTGCCCATTACTGTCGTTGTGGGAATTGTAGTCTTTTATACTCTGGTTGACTACAGATGTCACGATTAGGTGGCCTTTCTTATAAAAACAAAATACTGACTCTAACACAGTGTATTGAGTGTCCAGGTTTGGTTCTTCACTTATATATATGTGTGTGTTTGTGTGTGTGTGTAGGGGGGAAAGCCGAAGCCTGTTCCAGTCGGGGTCCTCCTCAGGCGCTGCTCAGACCCAGAGACAGCCTGAGACACCTTCCCGTCCAACTCCCTCACCGCCTGGAGCTGGCCACCAGCAGACTGTCCTCCCCGGCAGCAGGTGTGTGTGTGTGTGTGTGAGATTCAAGTACTTGTGATGTGTTATTTTGAATTTGAGTAACTAACATACAACTGGTCATTTCCTTTGAAGAATTGAGACCATTATATGTTCGGAGCGGGACTAGAGAGTGCTCTAGTGAGGCGTGTGGCGCAGTGGAATAGTGCGTTGGTGTTCGGATCAGGGGAGCACAGGTTCAAACCCCACTGCAGTCTGCATGTCGTTGTAATGTAATGCTCTCTGGTGTTACATTACACTACATTACATTACATTACGTTACTTGTTAGACGCTTTTATCCAAAGCGACTTACATACTCAATACTGTGGACAATCCCCACAGGAGCAATTTGGGGTGTCTTGCCCAGGGACACAACGACATGCTGACTGCAGTGGGTTTTGAACCTGTGCTCCCCCTGATCCGAATACCAACGCACTAATCCACTGCGCCACACGCCTCACACTACCACTAGTGTTCAAACACTATTTCTAATTTACCCTAAACATATGGTAGTAAAATTAACATTACACTACTGACATAATTTCTCCTTAATTTCAAATACAAATATTATAATTTTGAGGTTTTTATGAATCAAATGATGCATTGAAGAAAAGTACATTTTATAATCATCACAGTTCAAATGTTCAAAAATAATTCAGACATTAATATTGTTGAAATAACCTGGTTTTACTATCACAGATTTGACTTTTTAGACATTTAGAGAACATTTTATTTTACACACATGGCTATAAATAGTAAAACGAAAATGATAGTATTTCTTTCAGTGGTCTAAAAAAATGTTTCCACAGCTGTATACACACTCTGTCACAGTGGAGGTACCAGGTTTGAAATCTGTCCTAGCTGTATGATGTATGATTTACATAATATTCCAGACTTTTACTTAAATCACACACGTGGCTGAACTTCTTTGTTGTGTATTCAGGTCTGACTTGTATCCAGAAGAGAGGAGGAGGAGGAGAGGCAGGGGGCGAGGAGTGTATCTGTATCCTCCAGCTGACGGAGGCGGGGGATATTTTCTACCAGATCCTGGAGCACGAGCAGTCGCACACCCCTCCACCAGCTCTGGAGAAAAACACAATTTCAGAGATAAATCCAGCCCAACAACCACCACAGTCTTTGAGGCTCATATCGGAAACATCGAGTGACGAAGACATAATCGGCCCGACTCAGACGCAGAGCTTTGTGGCTGAAACACAGGAAGAGGAACGGCCAGAACTGGACATGTACGCTTCCTCTAACGAGTCCTGTTCCCCAAGAAAGTCCCGCTACAGGAAGAATTTGCAGCTGCAGGTCACCGTCAATGACTATGACAATGAGGATCAAGTGAGTGGACTGGACTCAGGTTTAAATGATGAAACCGTGAGTGGACTGGACACGGGTGCGAATGAGGAAACGGTGAGTGAAGAAGAAGCTGATATTCCAGAAGAACCCAGCCGTGTGGAGCAGCACCAGAAGCTCAGCGACGGTGTGCTGGTCACATGGAAACAGTGGCTGCAGAAATTGATGCTCAAAAGTCACAAGAATAAGCCCCGCCCACAGCGCAAGCAGCCCTTCAAAATCACAACTGAAGAACTCATCTACCTGTCGCCTGACGATGAAGCGAGAGGAGAAGATTCAGCGGAGAAGGAGCGCGTGGAGAACGTGAGGCGGGACCTCAGAGCGTGCATGACCAATCGCTCGCTGCTCGTTCACAGCGCCGTCTCCGCCTCCCTCGGAGACCAGGAGTTGGTGGAGGTGCCCGACGCGGTGAATACTGACGGCTGGGGGGATCCGATGAGCGAGCGCCTCACTGTCTCCTGGCAGGGGGAGGAGGCCTGGCAGGCGTGGTGGGCGGAGAACCTGGGGCTGAACAGGGAGAAGAAGGTGGCGGCTCTGAGGAGGAAGAGGAGGAGGGAGAAGGAGGTGAGGAGAGCGTCCAGCCAGCGCTCGGTGCTGTCCAGCAGCTTCTGCTCGTCTCTGAGCTACCAGTCGGACCTGAGCGACTTCTCAGATCTGTCCGGATGGTCCTCGTCCGCCAGTTTGGGGGCGTGGTCCGACAGCGAGGGGGGGCTGTCCCAGGCGGCGGGGTCTGTAGGGAGCGGGATCCCACGAGCTGCAACACCCTCCTCCAGTCAAACAGACACTGTAGTCCCCACGCCTCAACCAGGGAACCAGACCCCCACTTCTCAACGAGGGAACCAGACCCCCATCAGGAACCAGACCCCCACTTCTCAACGAGGGAACCAGACCCCCATCAGGAACCAGACCACCACGCCTCAACGAGGGAACCAGACCCCAACTTCTCAACGAGGGAACCAGACCCCCAGCAGGAACCAGACCACCACGCCTCAACGAGGGAACCAGACCCCAACTTCTCAACAAGGGAACCAGACCCCCAGCAGAACCAACGCCCCGCCACACACACCTAAACCTCTCGACTCCACCCCGGCCACTGTGAGGGGGAACAAACCCCAGGAAGACTACCTCAGCGCTCTGTTCGCACCGCAGGTAAGAGGGAGGGGTAACAACTACAGATCTTTCTCGTCCACACATACCCCATTCACACCAACCGGTTCTGAACCAGAAAAGCTCTAGCACGGAGCTAGAAGGGGAAAAGCCTTGGTGTGAAAGGGGTAACAGAAGCTTTGGTGGCGGTTGCTAGCAGCAGTTAGCATTAAATACGTTGATTTAAGATAAGATAATAATAATAAGATAAGAAGTACTTTCTTGATCCCAATTTGGGAAATGTTTGCGTTGCAGCAGCATAAAAAGGCATTGGCAGCAGTTAGCCTTAAATAAGTTGCTTTAATAATACATTGGATTTTGATAGCGCTTTTCCTAATGCTCCAAGACGCTTAACATAAAATCAGAACAGAAACAATACAAAGAAAACAAGAGTTATTTATTCTTTAAGAGTTATTTCTAAGACCAGGGTTCTTACGGTCATTAAAAACCTGGAAAAGTCATGGAAATTCAAAATGCTAATTCCAGGCCCTGGAAAAGTTATGGAAAACAATATTTCTCCCAAAGTTTTGGAAAAGTCATGGAAATGTAACTAAAGTTGCATCAAATATAATTTATATTTGATCTAATCGCCGAAATAGTAATACTATAATGATAATACATACTGTATCGTCTAGTAATGAAACGTAAAATGGCATTTAACTGACGAGGTGTTTTGCTGGTGAGAGATTTGAGTTGCTTTAGCGTGTAGAAGCTAGTAAGCCTATTTGATTTGTTTTAGATAGGCACAACATGTTTCATATGCAGACCTTATTTTCCTGTTCCATGTGGTACCGCTGAGAGAGTAATTCCTTTGGTCATGGAAAAGTAGGTAAAGGTCATGGAAAAGTCATTGAAAATCATTGGTGAAAAAGTGTATGAACCCTGTAAGACAACATTTGATATAATGTTGATATGCACTTCTGCAACATGTAAAAGATCTGCTTCGCACTAGAGAGCAGACTGGAGATGTAGCCACTTCAAACTTGGATGAGCACTTGTCTTTTCCAGGAAGTGTAATTTGCCTTTATACAACTTTCCCCCTTGTCTTTCTCTAGGACGATCCCTCGCAGCACGGCGGTTATTTCCTGGAGGAAGAGAGCCCCGTGCTCCACGCTCCTCCACCTGTGGCCTCGTCCTCCTCCCAGTCCGCCTCTCTGAGGAGCGTCAGGACCAGTTTCTCCCAGTCCCTCACCCCCTCCCAGAGTTCACAGGGGAGACCGTGGCTCTCCCAGGCACCACTCGCCAAGAAGAAAAAGCCTCGGATGGGATTCTGAATCATTGGCTGGAGTGTGTCCGCCACACGTGGAGCGGAGCATTTGGAATACCTGTTGTTCTTCTTTGGGGGGGGGAAGAGAAGAGCCTTGAATCCTCAAAGTAGAAGGAATGTTTTTCCTTCGATGCATCTGGAATCAGAGTTTGTGAAATGGATTTATTACGGTTGCATTCACTGGGTTTGGACATTAGGACACACTCTGGATCTAATGGATGATGGACTGACTGGAAGAGCAACCATGGCTCTGTCCCTGAAGACGAAGACGACTGTGCTTTGGTAGGAAGACATTACCTTTGTTTTGTGACTGGGCCTTATGGTTAACGAGAGATGTGTGAGTGTGTACGTGTGTGCGCAATGCGATGGTCAAATGACTTTTATCATTCCATTAGACACACACACAGCTGATGTGGTTTCACTTCATTCCATAACACAGTCACAGAGATTGGATGAAACGATTGGCTGATATGAAACAGAAGGAACGAGGAAAGAGATGATAAGCTAACCCGAGGTCGATTAGGGATATGGAAGATGCAAAAGTCTTGAGATTAAAGCTGAGGAACTTTGAAGTAGGAGTAGATGCTACAGAATGAGCAACGTTAATAATGTGAAATGAGTAGAGAGAAAAAGTTTTGTTGGAAGTGTGTGTGTGTGTGTGTGTGTGTGTGTGTGTGTGTGTGTGTGTGTGTGTGTGTGTGTGTTGTGTGTTGTGTGTGTGTGTGTGTGTGTGTGTGTGTGTGTGTGTGTGTGTGTGTGTGTGTGTGTGTGTGTGTGGTGTGTGTGTGTGTGTGTGTGTGGTGTGTGTGTGTGTGTGTGTGTGTGTGTGTGTGTGTGTGTGTGTGTGTGTGTGTGTGTGTGTGTGTGTGTGTGTGTGTGTGTGTGTGTGTTTGTGTGGTGTGTGTGTGTGTGTGTTGATGTGTGTGTGTGTGTTCATGAACGTACAACTTGCACTGTTACAACCTTTGTATGATATTTTTCTGCTTTAAATAAAACAGAAAGGATTTAGTAGGAAGATGTGGGTTGTTATTGAAAAACAACAGGACGTGTTTGAACTTGAGTCAGTGTTATTACAGAGGAAAAAGGACATAATATTGTGAATCTCTCCCACGCCTGACTTTAATTTAAAGGGGACCTATCATGCAAAATGCACTTTTGTACGTCTTTTATACATGAATATGTGTCCCCGGTGTTCCAGGGAACTCACCAAGTGTCAGAAAACACAACCCTCTCTATTTTCCTCCATACCCAAATCTCTAAAAAAAGGGGCTGCAACGGATCTGATAAAAACTGATCCAGATTTGAACACTGTCCTGACGTCAGGACGGTGGCGCTACGGCTATTGGGCCAACTCCACCAATCAGGAGGAGACAGCCACGGCCATTGCCGTTCGAAAGCGCTGGAGACGCTGTAGTACATATGCCAGGCCAGTAGATGGTGCTGTTCTCACTGAATCAGCCCTTGCAGAGCAGAGCAAAAAAATGTCAAATTGAGCAAAATGAGGCATGGCTAAAATGCATGATCTGTTTGGTATTTTGAAGGGAAAAAAAGTATAAATACGCCTTATATAGGTATGGTCCTACACTATATTATTCAAATATAGCATGATAGGTCCACTTTAAGAATGATCAACCTTAAACTAAATGGATATAATGTTAAAGGTCCCATGTCATGCTTTTCTGGTTATTACCCGTTCCCTTGTGTGTTATGAAGCTTTTTATGCATGTAAACGGTCTGCAGAATCCAAATGGACCAATCCATGGAGCCGTTACGTTACGTCTGTGGATTGGTCCAAATGGACCAATCCGCTGACTTCCTCACACACACTCAATCTTTTCTCAGCTGCAGCTCCGCCGATTTCTCCTCCCTGAGACGGTGGGACGCGGCGAGGCTGTGAGTCGGTGTGTGAGCACACACACAAACTCCCAGCCAGGCTGCGGGTGTGTGTGTTCGGGCTGCGTCTCGCTGTCGGCCACTGGGCTCATAGGGAGGGGGGGGGCAGGAGCTCCAACAAGCCGTTTAGGACAGAGAGTGAATACACATACTATACAGAGATGCTGTATGAGAAACCAATGAGAGTTTGGAAAATTGCACAATATAAATGTATTCTAGTATACCTCAACAATGGAAATATGATCAGTAGAAATGGCCATGACATGGGACCTTTAATGCCAGTGTGTAACAATTTCACTGCATTTATGTAATATTTTGGACAGAATTTATCAAATATCCAAACTTTATATATTATTATTCACCATTTTAGCATTTACCCATTGACTAAATCATTGCAGATACATGTTATCTATAGATTGTATCCAAAATAACTTGAATATTTCATATTTTACCATCATTTTCAAAAACATTTAAGAAAAAGACCGACAACAGATTTAAAAAATAATGTTTTTTTATAAGATTTTAGACTTTTTTTTAAAAGTACAGTGGACAAAAACAGAATAAATAACGTCATATCTACAAAGAACTATAAACATTTTTTTGTTGTACATCATTTACAGTTTTACATGTTTTTTACATTTTTGAAATATTTTTGACAGTCAGCATTATTTTTTTTCCATACAGCATTTTCGCAGAACGCTTTCAAACACCAAACTTTTTTTTTCTTCTAACCTACATCCTAAAATAATTATATAAATATAAACCATGGTCATACATGCAAACATCCTTGAACACACACACACACACACACACGTTAACTGTTTTATCTGAACACCCTGTGAACAATTTCAAACGCATCAGATTCCCTCTCAGACACAAATCTCCTGTCTGCTAATTTAATGCTCTAAATGAGATTTTAAAAATGTGCAAATGAAACTTTCCCTACAGAAGGTGAGAGCAGACGTGCATACGAACAGTCTTATGTCAAAAAAACATCACAATGTAATCTAAAGAAATACAAATCTAGTTTAGTTTCCAACCCTGTTATTAAGAAACCGTTATCAGTGCCTTACGTTAGAGCTCTTCATAACTTAAACGTGTAAAGTCACCACTCACAGCCGCTCTCAGCTTCTGTATAACTTATATTAAATAAATACGTTTTGGCAAATCTTCACAACGACGTGAACAGCTGAACTGACGCCTGAGGTTGAGATGTTTTTATCAGCACCTTAGAGACCAAACTCTTAATCTAACAACGCTTCTGGAATGTGACATCTCAACATGCACCGACACGACTACAAACTACAAATCTAGCAGGAAGAGTCCGGACTGCTCAGTAGTTGTGCGATTCTCCACCGGTACCGGAGCTTTCTGACAATAAATTAAAGACTACAGGTGGAGAATTTGAAGGTTTTTTTTGGGGGAGGCAGCGAGGCGTCAGGCGTGGAGGTGTTTGCGGCGGAGGTGCAGAGGGAAGTAAGGCCCCTCGGCGTCGCTGCCCAGAGAACTGCTGAGCGACTCCTCTCCTGAACTCATCACGTCCTCACAGGAGTCCTCACTGTGGACACAAAGGGGTGTACTGTCAGCATACAGAGGATTACACACTGAGGATACAATCAGCTCAATGTTTTAGATGTGGTGCAAACAACCAATGAGTCACATCTCGTCTCAGTGGATGATTATTAACTAGTAGAGTCAATGAAGAACAGTTTGAATGAGATACAATTCTGTTTTTGTCATACATGTGTTAACCATGAATACTGAATAGTAGTGACCAACGAGTATTCAAATCATTTAAGTCGTTCAACAAACCAATATTTTTTCTTGTTTTTTTTTGTTTTTTTTAAAGGTAGGGTAGGTAAGAACGGAGAAACCAGCTCGAGTGCGCTAGAATTTGAAAGTACGCAACCGAAAACAATCTGCCCCTTCCTTCAGACTTCCTTACAGAGCCCCTCCTCCAACACACACGAACGCGCACATGACCAATGAGGGCACCAGATAAGTTTGTGCACGAGATGGAAGGCTGACAGGCAGGTAGGCCATCCAGTTGTTTTAGCCGGGCCGGCTCAGATGATTGGTCGTGCTTTTCACAGTACTACGGCTTCCACAGATGACATTTTTTAATGTATTTATTGTCAAAGCATTTCATGTATTCATTGCTATCGGGATGTTAAGAGCATTCCATGGAATATAACAAAAAGTGTTTCTGAAGTGAATTACCTACCCCACCTTTAACATGTTTGTACATTTAGAAAACTCCTGGCTGTTAATCAGAGTAAGTGAAATAAGAACATCTAAGATGTGCCGGGTCATAATCTCTGGGGTTTGAAGGACTACATGTAGATACAACTTTTAAATAAGTACAATACGATTTGAGGAAATAAGGATTAAGCTCACTTTCCCTTCTGGGTTTTCCCCTCAGACGAGGATCTCACGATGATACGGGTAAAGTAACATTTCCTCCTTTTTAAAGCACAACTAGTTCTCATCGTCTGACTTGTGACAGCAGAAATGTGACGCTGCTGAAAGTTCAGGCATGGAGTAAAACGTGAAGCACGAGGGTTTAAAACCAACATGTGATGATAAGTAGGTTTGTGTTAGTCATCAGTCAGCTGGGGAATGTTTTGGTTCCTTCTTTTTTCCCTGAGCACAGACAGAAATTCTATTTAACTTAAGGCGAGGCCTCTTCAGACGTCATGGAAACGTCTGTCAGTGGGACGTGACCAGTGCCTCGCAGACATGATCCCATCATGCAGAGCTGGCAGATATGAGAGTGTGTGTGTCGTTACAACACTTCAGAAACTTGTGTGTTGCTGCAAAGCTGCTTGCCTAAGTAACAGCACACTTGCACAACACTTTTATAATGTCCCTCTCTAACTTTTTAAAAGCACTCGTTTCATATGCGTGACTCTTACTATAGTATTTGTTTAAAGGAAACAGAAGTGCTTCTCCAGTAGAAACTGCATTTTTGTATTTCTAGTAGAACAACTGGATTACTAAACATGTTGGGACACTTCCTACAGTGTTTATGTGTGAGTCATAGCTGAACAAACATCTGGCGTGTGTCTGGTGAGACAAACAAGGTGTGTCTTTCATTGTAAATTCCTCTGTTTGTATCAGCTGTCGTCACATGATGTCACTGTGACATCTTCATCACAATGAAACTGAAAACAACCTAATCCATTTTATCTTATCATTTAATTTGGCTGTGTCATTTTTATTTGAGTTCGAGGGTCTAAAGGTATCCTACTCAGGTGTTTTTAAGGCTGTGTTAGTTTCCTTGGTCAGGTGTGTTTGAGGCTCTAAAAGTATGCTACTCAGGTGTGTTTAAGGTGCTGTTATGGCGCATTTCCACTGCAGGGCCTCGCACGGCTTAGTACGGTATAGTTAGACCTTGGTAGGCCAGGATCACTTTATGCTGCGTTTCCATTACAGTTTAGGAACTGAGGTAGTAACTCAAAGTGTTAGTTTCTTGCTCAGGTGTTTAAGGCTCTGTCAGTGTCAGTTTCTCTGTAGGGTGTGTTTTGGGCTCTGACAGTGACTGTTTCTGCTCAGGTGTGTTCTGGGCTCTGACATTGTCTTGCTGAGGTGTGTTTGAGGCTCTCTCAGTTTCTCTGTAAGGTGTGTGTTGGGCTCTGACAATGACAGTTTCTGCTCAGGTGTGTTTGAGGTTCTGACAATGACAGTTTCTGCTTAGGTGTGTTTTGGGCTCTGACAGTATCTTGCTCAGGTGTGTCTGAGGTTCTGACAATGACAATATCTGCTAAGGTGTGTTTGAGGCTCTCAAAAGTGTCGGTTTCTGCTCAGGTGCGTTTGGGGCCCTCACCTCTCGCTCTCGTCCCAGCAGTGCTCTGGGATGGTGGGCAGCTCGGGCACGGTGCGGTAGCTGTGCAGGTTCTGGGCGGTCCGCCGCGACACGATCCACTGCAGCTTCCTGTGATTGGGTTTGCTGCATTCAGGCGAGGAGTAGTCCGACAGACAGCGAGCCACCCGCTCACTCCACAGCCGCAGCTCCACGTCAGTAATCTGAAACCACAGCAGGTCAGTTTAGCTCATTGGCCCGCTACCCTCGGTGTACTTAAACGGTAACCTGGTGTCCGTTTACATGTCTGGAGGCTGAGGGAACCCATGTTAAAACTGGTCTGTATGTTTGAAACCTGATAAGCTGCTCAGGGAACACCTGAACCCAAAAGTGTGTAAGTGGGAGGGTTCAGCTAAAGTCTCACTATGGCTGACACATACCAGGATCTTAGACGACCTATAAATACACGTTCCATTCCATTTTCAAAGCACAACATACTTTAAAAAGGAACACTTCTTAAATAACATGTCATCCTTGAATAAACAATGAAATACACCAACACTGGTCCTGTATTCCATCATAAAAGTGGCAGGGAGGTATAAACCAATACATTTATATTCAGGAAATCTGAGTGTTCAAAAATCCTTGTCTAAAGAGTCAAGCCGTCACAACACAAACAACACCGAGTTACGTAACGACAGGGACTATAACATCACTAGAATCATGCAAAATGATTTATTTACTCTCTAATCTTATCCCCTTTTGTGTGATAAATTCATGCATGTTTACCTTGAGGTGTCTCTGGATGTGACAGGCTATTTCCAGCATGTCCTCCGACTGAACGGCGTGGATCTCCTGCCTCAGGAGAGACAAGGCTAGGACGGACGGCTGATGAACAAAGAGAGACAGGAAGTGCAGTGAGGGACAGGAATAAACACAAAGAAATGTGTTTTAAAACAGACTCGTGAATGTCAAACTAATAGCATCATAACAATAAGAGCTAATTTCGGAGTGTGCCATTAGGCTGCTGAGCTACACTAACTCTGTGTAACCTTTGACCCTCCGAATTCCTACCTTTGCTTTAGAGAAGGAGATCCGGCACAGACAGGCTTTGAGTTGAGCTTCCAGTTTCTCCAGGCTGAGGATCTCCTTTCTGTTCAAACACACACACACATTCAGGTTTAGAGGTGGTTTTGGGACATTGACAATTCCCAGACAGACAGAATGAACTCTTAATAACTTAAGAATAGAAAATAAGATACATTTAAGTATTGACTGAAGATTTGTAAGACCCTGTGACAATGCAGAAAAAAAACTGTAAAACCGAAACTGAATATAAACATTGCCAGGATTATGTAATTGTGTTATTGGACAATAACAAATGTTATCAGTGCCCTTTCAGTATCACACACTGATAGCTGGTGCATCAGGTTGACCTGAAGTGACTCGACTGATCTGAACTCTGGTTTGAATGTTGACATTCTTCAGAAATGTGTCAACAAGAGCTGCAAACATTTCCTCCAGAGAAAAAGCTGCTGATTGCTAAAAAGGTTAACGAAATGTTGACTTTAGTGGATTATGTCTCTACAGCAAGTCTCTTCAAGTCGATTTTCGATATCGATAAAACCTCATGATTTGGAAAACACCCAGCTGGAATGTCACTTGACTCTTATTATGACTTATATTATATTATATGAGTACTATTTCACCCCATAAAATGATCATTTAAATGCCAATTGCTCTGCTGTGTTACCTGAATGCTTAAAGATAACTCGCATGCATGTGAGCGAAGAATCCAAAGGTCTTAGTGAATCGTGTTAAACAACAAAACATCCTTTAAATCTCTTACATAACGCAGTATTATCAAAGTCTCATTTATCCAGTCACATCATGCTCAATTGTTTCCACACATGCATTTTGCTAAAACAGGACCATCTAAAAACCTGTGTATGCAGCAGAAGTGTTTTAAATAGTGGAAAAGCATGTGTTTTGAGAATTTGTGAGAATACTCCTGAATGAATGGGATTTGGATTATACTGCACGTGTCGTGTAGGCATGCGCATGTCTTCATATAGTTATCCCCTGTCTACTGAAATTAAGACTTTTCTACTTTTATGGATTCTTCGTTCCCGCTGAAAGCATAGGGGGAGTTTTCTTCAAGAATTCAAGGTAACATCAGGCGAGTAATTCACACCCCAATGATCATTATAGTGGGTGAGATATTTCTTTAAACTGCACTGGATTTCCTGTGTCTCACTCACCTGTCTGTGCAGTGTGAAAGTGCGATCTGGTGGTACAGGTCCAGGAAGGTTAAGGCAGTGACGGCTTTGGACTTGAAGTTGAGTTTCTCTGCGACGATCTTCTCCATTCGGCAGAGGTCGGAGGCGGTGAAGCGGCACTGTCCGATGCGGATGAGCTCCACCGGGGGGGCCAGGTTGCACTCCTCCTCCGTCACTTTGGCCGCCATGTGGAGGCAGCTGACGCTCACGCAGGAGAGGTGCTTTGGCTGGATCTGAGGGGGGGGGAAACGTGAGTAAGAAACGTGAACATTTGACATCACTAAGCTCATTTCATAGGTCAAAAATATTGTATGGTCTGGTCCAATCAGGTGTGAACATCTCGTACCCTGATCATGGCCAGGAATCTGTCCAACAGGTTAACAGCCAGGACGAACGTCTGGGTGCTGTAACCGAAGAAGCTGGTCAAACTCCACAGATCCTCCACTTTGGCATCTCTGCACTTGGCTGAAATCCGACTGTCATCCTGGAAAACAAAGACATTCTGTTCAATAACCGGATTAATCGGCCACGCACTGCTGACTACTTGCATTTTGGCAAAAAAAATAGGCCAGCTAGTCACACTACAGAGCAGCTTAGACCCGTGGCTGGCATGTATTGTTGTTTTTACTTTCAATAGAGATAACCAGACATCAACAAGGTCACTACAATCAAAATAACTTCCAAATGTGAGTAATTTTTCCGAATACTCCTAATTTACTGACTCTCCTGTAGAATAATGATAGTTTTTCGATGTGCTCACCTCTGTAGTGGATTCAATGAGCCTCAGCCCCGTCTCTTTGGGGAGATAATGAGCCTCCTGCTCATAGTTCACCCTCAGCTCCTTCATCAGCTTGAAGGCATCCATGTCTTGGCTGGCACTGCAGGAAGTGATTTCTTAGTTTCTGCAAAACAGAAAGCAACCAGGTTCAACATAAACAAGTATTCATTTAAAAAAATTCCCCTTTTTTACAAATGCATTTCTCAAAAGTCACAACTATAATCCAGATCTATTGTCAATCTTTCAAATAAGTTTATTGTAGTGTCACACACCATTTTAAGTTCTCTTGTTGTGCAAATGGATTTATGATTATCTGATAAGTTGATTTGTTTACAATATTAATTCCCCCCAAAGAACATTAAGGAGTTCACATATATCAGATAAGGCCTTTACCAGCACAATTAATCAAGATAAAATATCCAAGAACAATTTATACAAATTAATTAGTTGTTAGGGTATTCATCTCAACATTATATGTGTCTTCTACCAACTAAAAAACATTACCTTGGAGTTATATTTGAAGACCAACAAACTCATTTTTACCAATTGTACTGTGTTAAATCTCTGATCAAATTAATGGTTATTTTAATTAATGACGAGTCACATTTGGAGACGACATAAACACAACAGCATAGACGTATTTGGTTTCATGTAAATATATTTTAATGTTATAATAATAGATTTTTGGTTTGTTTTTCTGTTAACTGTGTTTGCACCATATAAACCATGGGAAATCCCTATTTCTGATTCTGATGGCCCAAGATAATATGGGTTTTTATGTAATACCAGGTCAAATATTATAATAACAGTATGTATCCATGTTTGGTTAAAAATAGGGTTATTATTTATCAGTATCTTGGCTGTATGGCTTCAGATCATCGGCCTACATTTGCTCTGAGCACTAACGGGTCACAGCTCGAAGATCCGCCCTCTTCCCTCAGCTGGGCTTCGGTGTCAGGTTTCAGTCTACCGTAGACGCCTTATCTCTTCTCTAGCCGACAGAAAAACTACCATTTCAAGGTGTTGTCTGTTACTGAACGACCTAAAGCACACAAAAACATAACTCACGGGCCTGAAGAGCCTTTTTTATTATCGTTTTACTGGATAATAGCTGAGGAAGCTAACGGTAGCTATCGGTTTAAAATCCTCCGAGGAGCGGGGGAGGGGCTGCTGTTTCATACTCGAAACCTTAAAAGGTCTTCAGAATAGTGTTTATCAACATTACCAAACAAAAAAACGAATGTATTATCGAGTAATGCCCATTGTTAATGTATTAAACTGATACGTGTGCTTCTGGGGGTTTATCTTGGTTAATATAATCGTGTTAAAGAGCTCTGCTTTGACAGGAGATAAATCCAAGTGATACCAATAACAACAGACGAGAAAAACAGATCTAGCAGTAGAAAGGAAGCGTAAAGGATTATAGCAAGGTGTTTTTAATTTTAAAATGCGTATATGAAAGAGGAAACATTCACTACTTATGTTACTATTTCCTTACATTGACTGTACATGTACTGTACTGTACGAACTCTGTCAAAATTGTGCAAATATTTTTTACAAAATAAAAAGGCGAAACGAAATGCATTTAGCATCAAATGTACTACAAGCATTGGTATTGTGTTTTTTTCGATTATAGCTACATTTAAGTCCCATCGTCTACCGTTCACTTCAATCCGATTTTTTTTTTCTTCTCTCTTCTCAGTTAGTTGATAGTAGAAGGCAAATATACCTCGATTAGTCAGTGGTTTATAAATATGAGTTAAATATATATTAATGGTTTACTCTACCTGTTATGGCAGCTCAAATCCACATATTTGTTTTCTTCTGCTGTAACGTATAACGTTAGTCCTTCTCGTCTTGTCGCTTCTTTCTCCTTTCTCTTGTTCTGTCTTTTGTTGATGTTCATATCGCTCACGCCCACTTACCGACGTCACAGGACAAGGAACCAATCAAACGCCTGGGTTTAAGAATAGACTTCACCCACTTTTGGTTTTACCAGAAAACCTTTTACTACACAGCGAATGTTTTTGGTGTCGTTTTCCTTAAAAGATAACACTATTGTCATTAATATTGTACTTCAGATCCATAATTAACTTATATTCATCAATGACTGTCACTGGAATTGAAAAAAACCTTATTACATGATACGATCCTACTCCGACTGATGTTTCCCTTAACCAATCAGCGAGCTTCATTTTGGCTCGTTCAAATAGTCCGCCCAAAATAGGTTATTGTTATTGGCTCGCGGCTGCACACTCCTGAGGACCTGATGCAACCTTATAATTACGTACGTAGTGCCTTCTGGCTGTGTGTATTGTCTTCTTCAACCAACTTTATGACTAATTACCTGCTTATTACCAACATATCAGCTGTGAATGTGGAAAAACACTCCCCAGTCTGGGTGTGGACTTGTTGTGACATGCCCTCAAAGATTAATCATTTATTTAAGTTCAACCTAAAGCTTAATGTGGCCGCTTTATTGAGGAAATATACCACATTTGCAAACTGATGTATTGTATACAAGTCATAGATTTTTGGGATTACATCATAGTTACATTTCCAGGTAAGTCCTCTAGAAACTTTACATTTTGCAAACTCACAATGAGTTAGTTAAGCTAACTCATTAAGTTTTCTCTTTTCTGCTGTAACAAATGTAAATTTCCCCTCTGTGGGACGAATAAAGTTATTCTGATTCTGAGTTGTAACACAGTAACGCACAGAAATATGTGTTCACCCATAGACTGTAGATATCTAGGGTAATTCCTCAAAAAACATGCTTACATGATACTATATCTTGAGATGCTTTGTATTTGGTAAACTGGCAGCTTTTACATTTTCAGGCTTATGATAACTGTATTTGTGTGTGTGTATTTACGCTTAAAGTGGGTTCCTTTGGGTGGTTGGGTTTGCAAATGCATTTTTGAGTTGAGGTTAATTGAAATACAATGTGCTTTAAACATAATAAAACATACATTTGATTTGTGTTGTCATTTAAACCATTTCTGACCCCTATCCTATATGCTGTTTGATTTTTAGCTGTACATACCTCTACAAATATGCTATAAACAAGGTTGTTGTATTGTATGTGTTCACAATATACTGAAAACAAACTATATTTGGAGAATAAAAAGTATGTCACCGAAGATATCGTGAAGTATAGTGGGCTCAATATATACTCCCATTTAAAGTAGCTAAAGCTAAAGCTGTCCAAACATTTTTCACTGAGGGCCACATACAGAAAAACATAGTAAGGACTGTGCCACTCACTAGAAGTGGGGTGTTTTGCTTATAGGTTAAGTTAGCAAAATTAATCAAATGTAGGTAAATTATGCTTGATACTTGAATATGCTTTGAGAGAAAAAAACAGCTTACATCATAGCTTTGCAATAGTAGTTTGGACACCCCCGAGCCAGAGCTGCCCTGAGCTATAGAAATATTGTAATAAAGAAAATATTATGGGAATATTCCACAAAGCCTGTTTTGTCCTCTGCATGGAGGTGGGCGGAGCCTCGTGTCTCCTCTCGTCCCTCAGTCCCCTCCTCGGAAGTAGACGTATCGGTCTATTCCGTTTATTTTTATATATTTTGTATAAACCCCTTTTCCCCAACACGTAGCAACATGAACGCCAAGATGGACGATTAAACCGAAGAACGGGTCCCCGATTTCACCCCCATATTTATCCTGGGATTGAGAGGGCCGGATGAAATCCAACTGTGGTTGTCTCCGCTTCGCAGGGGAGGTAAGGATTTGGGCTCCGTCTACTTGCTGGGTGGGAAGTAGCCATTTAAAGGTCCCTGTTGTGTAGTTAGCACCTTCGTCGCAAGGAACACACACAACCCTTCTCCTTTACATGACACCATAAGAAGGAAGTACCACACGTTTTTCAACATGTGTTTGTTGGATACATTATACACGAATTTGTGCCCGTGTCATGTTAGCTAAAAAGCTGCTAGCGACGCAGTAGGGACGCTAGGCTCATTTCCAGGGAGTAGTCGTAATCAGGTCAGAAATAGAAGTAAACACTTCGGAATGCACCTGCTCAAGGAGGCCCGGTGGTTTCCAAAAAAAAAAGAAGAGGGAACTCCCGGAGGGGGTTGAAGTTCCTGCTAAATTAATAGTATATTAGTTTCACTACTTATTTTCGTTACAGTTAGCATGAGCTATAGTCCAAACTACCCTCTTGGTTGGTCAGTTTGCAGTTATGTAACTTTAGCTTTATGCTAACACAGTTTGTGGGTAACGTTACTACGGTTTATTGGGGACTGCTTGCACCATAGACTGTATTTGAACAAATTGAGAAATCCTAACGGGATGGTCCTTAGTATCTAAAATTCCCTGAATAAACAAACATGACCACCAGGTTTCCTCAGCTAGCTTACATGCTCAGATTGTTCCATTCATTTTAATGCAAAGGAAAGCAGAAAAGTAATGGGTTTGTCCAAAAGTAATTTATATATATTGTTCTCCTTGTCATGATTTGCTCTTTGGCTCTAAAAAGTCCTAGTCTGCACAACTTCTCAACATACACAGCTGATGAGGGGCTGCAAATAGATACCATCTGTGTTTTAGAGGTCTTAAGCCAAACAGATTGTGAATCAAACTGCTATAGATCAACTGACTGTCAGTGAATATTGTTTATGAATATGTCCTACATTAGACTGTCTACATCAGGGGTGTCCAAACTTTTTTCACTAGGGCCACATACAGAAAAATATACGAAGGGCTGGGCCACTCACTAGAGATGAGGTATATTGCCTCATAAGTTAAAGGTCCCATGTCATGGCCATTTCTACTGATCATAATTCCATTGTTGAGGTCTACTAGAATAGATTTATATTGTGCAATTTTCCAAAATCGCATTGGTTTCTCATACAGTATCTCTGTATAGTATGTGTATTCACTCTCTGTCCTAAACGGCTTGTTGGAGCTCCTGCCCCCCCCTCCCTATGAGCCCAGTGGCCGTCTGCGAGACAGCGAGACACAGCGAAACCCAGCCCGAACACACACACACACACCTGCAGCCTGGCTGGGAGTTTGTGTGTGTGCTCACACACCAACTCACAGCCTCGCCACGTCCTGCCGTCTCAGGGAGGAGAAATCGGCGGAGCTGCAGCTGAGAAAAGATTGAGTGTGTGTGTGTGAGGAAGTCCACGGACTTAACGTAGCGGCTTCGCGGACATAACGTAACGGCTCCACGGGTTGGTCCATTTGGACCAATGGGTCCATTTGGGTATGGGCACGTCACTGTACCCAGGAAGAAAAAAGAGAAATCTCCAAACATGTGTCCACTCTGTGTAAAGAGACTCTGAAAGTTCCAGGAAAAAAAGATCGCTCACTTTTTTGTTCAGTTTGGACACCCCTGGTCTACATCTATAATTTCTCAATCCCTAATGTTTTTCCAAGTATTGTTTGTCTGAACAACTGAGTATGATAATGTGATTCTGATGTGTCACTCACTTTGCAGGTAGCTGTATCCAGTGGGGAGGTAGGCTTAACCAGGGGTGAGAATGAAGAACTTCGAACCCTGGGGACGCCAGAGGCTGTCTTTTCTCCTGGAAAAGGCCGCCTCTAGGGAAGCCAAGATGTGGAAGCTCTACGTGCCAAAGAAGTACTCCTCACAGGTGAGTGTTTAACCCTGGTTGCATCCACTCATTCACTGATGCACGGAGTAAAGGACAAAATACATCTCAACAACAAAAACATGCCGGTGCTTGAACTTTGGCCAATTGAATAGCTGCGTCGATGCAGCTTCACTCAAGCAACAGACTCATCAATGTTTCCCCAAAAGACAACCAACTTTAACACTCAATAACTGACTTTTTTTTTAATATATGATTTATTTGTGACATTGTCAAACACAGAAAGCATACATACATAGACCCTCACATGTACAATAAAGGGAGTAAAAGAGACCATTCTACCAGGGTCAACAATACCAAAAAAAACAAGCAGACCTTAACCACAAAAAACAACATTGAAATAAAATAATAATAACAATAAAATCAACATATACAAGACATTCTAAGGCATTAAGCTACCCGACATACTGTAATAACTGACTTTTATAAATAGTTTGGTGTATGTTTCTGGAGAAAGCACAAGCTCAAATCAGTCGCAGTTCAGAGCTTGCTAGGGTGAACTACTCAAAACGGCATCAAAATAGAAAATACTCAAATTGATATTGTTTTGATTGAGCTAATTCAATATTAATACATACAGGAAAGCCCTCCCACAAATATCTTATCACATCGTTTTTGGTAAAAGACCTCACATTACTACAAACCTTATGATAAATATGTTTTTAAATCATATATTGAAACAATTAGTTTCAAGGTAAGAATTTACCAAAATGATGTATACAGTAGGGGCCGAAATAATAATACGATAGGAATATCGTACAAGTATGTACACAGTTCACATTACAATTTACTATAAAGTAAACCAATATAATGTTTTTTTAAGGAGGTTTTTTAATTCTAGAAATACATATTTTTCATTTTGGTTTTTGAAAAGATGTAAATACATGGATGACTTGTGAAGATGGATGTTTTTTTCCAAAGTAGTCTGTTCCCAGCTCGGATGCACCACTTACAGACATGTTATCATGAATCAGCAATAATTCAGGAAAGCAGTGAGTCACTTAACAAAGAATCAGAGTTCTGTTCATTCAAGTAGGTTTTCACATTCAAGACATTTGCTTTGGTGTTTAAAGGTGCATACATAAACACAGTAAGAAAAACTAAAACATAAAATAAGAGCAGTTATTTAAGTATACTTTAATTATTATAAAATGAAGAACTGTGTACAAGAAAAATAAATATACATTAAAAGAAACAATAAATAATACGGCAATTTGAAAAAATTGAGTTCATCTGAGTTAAAAGTGGAAGCGCTGTTCAGTTTGGAGAAGTGGAAGTATTGCGTTGAAATGTTAAATATTGTCAGAGGTACAGTACGGAGTTTGAGGAAAGGTGTGTGTTAATGAATCAGCACTGAGGCAACGTTTCATCACATCCAGCAACACACACTCAGCTGATCTCACCCAGTTTCCACACCTTCAGACGATGTCTAAACGTTTGTTTCATCACACCCCAGTTTACAGGAAAGCCCCCGCAAGATGTCAGATACCTGTGAAATATCCATTCCGAAATGTCCAAATACCAAATTTCCGTTCCGCTAATTCAGATCCCCTTTTACCTTGTATTTTTAAAAGATAAAAGTTTATTTTAAGTCAATGATTATTTTATAACTGTGTGGTTTTTTTTCTACTTGTCATTATCATTCCCCCCTTTTTTTTTATACTCAAACATTTTTATCGTAACTTAATTGTCAGCTACGTTTTTCGTCTGGTTAAACAATGGTAAAATGTCACTTTTGGTCTATTCATTTTTCTCAAGAAATAGTGGTTTTTGTTCTCAAATATTCTCCTTTTTGGCACATACCATTTATTCTAATTATCATTAGCTTAATGGTTGTCTTGACACCATTTCTTATTGAGTAAAACCACATTTATTGATCATGAGAAAACCTTCTGTCTCATTATGTATCCTCATCATAAATAATGACAGTTTTCTTGAAAGAGAATATAGATTGATGTTCAAAGCTTAATACACAAAACCTCCCCAAATCTGAAATATGAATATCACACACAACACTGTATATTATCTCTGATTATGAGCCTTCTTACATCACATTAGCTTTCAAAGTATTAAGCAGAAGCAGTGTATTTAGACATGGTGTCACTGTGATGATGCCTTGCCGTCATTACAAGTCGATGAATCACTTTTTATTAGAAGGCATTGTTGTCATAACTATAACTCAAGTGACTACAAGTATGTGACGCAATAATGTCCTCGATCAGAGACTGTCACCGTTGTGCAATAACCACTGCCTTTAACCATAAACAATGTTGCGCAATACCACTGCTTACGTGCAATACACACTTATTCTTACAATGTATTCATGTTTTTACTGGCTCCTTCAATACTGTTTATTCCCCACATGGCAGTTATTTTAAAACAAAACATGTACACTTTACAAAACATATACACTTATACTATTTTTTAAATTTTTTATAGCGCATGGTAGAAAGGAACGGGGAGAAGAAAATCTTATTTGACTTGCCCCTTCTAAAACCTCTGCTGTGCCTTGGCTGTTGTGATGGTTTACATTTCCCCGCTGAGGAACACATAATGACTTCAGATTGTGCTGTGCTCTCAGGATACAGACGTCACCCCTGCGCAGCGGGACGAGGCCGTGCGATGGCTGATGGATCTCCACAGCAGCCTGCAGCTGTACCCAGAGACCCTGGTGTTAGCTGTTAGCATACTGGACCGCTTCCTCGCTCCCATCAAGGTACGCTGACACCAGCAGTACCACTTTAATCATGTTAAGTAGTCTCATTCAGTCACTTGATAGCAACTGCTGTTTTTAAGACACATTTACCAGTGGGACATATTTATCTCGTCGAACAAAACTTGAACATTTCTTAAGATTGTGTTAACCACAGATCAAAGCTAAAATGCTGACTAATGTCCGGGTGTTACGACTCATTCCTTCGTTACTCTATTACTTACACCACACATTTTTCTACAACTGCATCTAATGTTATTGTACAGATACATTTTTAAAACTAATTTCCTCTCTTATTTTTTTTGCATTACAATTATCAACATATACCACAATGGAAGTTTTATAAAAAGAATTCTAGCCTTTTGATGCATCTGTGCAAATATGCTGACAAGGCTTTTGTTACAATTGACAGTCAGTGTTTACACAGGAACAGGAAGGGTCAGTTCTGAATGTCCTGCAAGGTCACCTGAGACAGGATGTTCTTCTTTATTAACTGAGGAATAAAATGTCCAAGGTTAATCAGAAGCTGTACTTTTAGACGACGTGGCAGATGTCACCGGCTGATTTTCTCAGCTGTCAGCAGCTAACTGCAGAAATGAAACTAAGGTTGGCTCCATGAGGTGGTTAGAAAAGATTTTATAGACCTTTTTACCATAGATGTTGTATAAGTAGGAACAGATATAGATATAGTTAATCACTTATGAGATATAAAAGAACTTCCAGATGATGTATTCCACGATTATGTGGCATTTATTGTTGGCCTTGCATATCCCTATCTATATGGATCCTAAACGGTTAAAGAGATGGAAATTCAACATTAAACAATATAATAATTCATCATAAAAACATTAAATGTCTTCTAACGAACCTTTGAGCTGTAACTCTCAAGATTTTATTGATTCACTGATGGATCGTTTTGTCTTCAGGCCCGTCCGAAGTATCTGCGCTGCATCGCCATCACCTGCTTCTTCCTGGCTGCTAAGACCTGCGAGGAGGACGAGGTGAGCACATGCAACACGACACACACACACACACACACACACACACATAAATATATATACAAACACACAGGGCTGGAAACAATAAAGAGACCACTACAGAATCACTTTATCTGGTTTTACATTTTAATTGTCTGTGGTTGAGCAAAATAAACATTTCTTATTCTATCAACTACTGACAACATTTCTCTCAAATATCAAACAGAAAATCTGCATTTAGATATTATTAGTTATTTGCAGACAATGACAACTGGACAGAATAAGCATGCCGTGGTTTCAGACCTCGAATTATGTAAAGAAAACAAATTCATATTCATTTTTAAACAACACAATACTCATGTTCTATCTCAGGAAGAGACATCAATATTTGGTAGAGGACAAACGTCCCTCAACAAAGACAGGATGTCACTGTGTTTATCTGAGGAACAAAATGTTCCCGGATTATCAGAAGCCGGACTTGATAAGGTGTGTGTGTGTGTGTCTGTCTCAGCGTCTGCCCACTCTGAAAGAGCTGGCAGCCTCCAGCAGCTGTGGCTGTTCTCCGTCTGAGATCCTGAGGATGGAGCGGATCGTTCTGGACAAACTGAGCTGGGATCTGCACACCGCCACCGCACTGGATTTCCTGCAAATCGTACGACACACACACACACACACACACACACACACACACACACACACACACACACATATACACATATTGCCTCTCTGTTAGGACAGGCTCAGAGCTTTAAGGGCCCTCAAAGTCAGTAGGCTGAATTGTTTAAAGAGGCCATATTATGCTTTTGGGGTTATCCCTTCCCTGTAGTTTGTTAAATATGTTTTTGTGCATGTAAATGGTCTGGGGCGAGACATCTCTAAGCTGGTTGACCAATCACAACAGAGCCGGCCAGCTAACCAATCAGAGCAGACTGGGTTCTGGTTTCAGACAGAGGGTGAAAAGAGGTGCTGCAACACAGGCAGTATGAGAAAAATAAAGAGCTTTTTGAACATTAAAGCGTGGACACATGTCCCAGTAGAGACACATCATTCTCATCAGTGCCATTAGTGACACCTGCTGGGGAAAAAATAAACTTTTTTGCTTCAGCTTAATAGGTTTTACTCATTACTCATTGGTAGATGTTATGTCATTTCAACCATTATTGTCATCTGGCTTGGGACCATTATCACGACTAATGACATAAAAGACTGTATTGTAGATGTGATGAGAAAAATAGACACTGTCCAACTGCTAGTGTGTTAGTGTGAACTTTACTGACCACATTCCTGCTCCCTTAGGCTCAAATCTTTAGCTCATATATTTTAAACTCCACTAATGGTACGGCTGTAAATGTGTGTGTTTAGACACAATGCGGAGTACATTTTCGACGCAGTGAAGTCATAGAAAGAAGGAAATGGACGTGGCAGTACAAATGAAACCTAGGGCAACTTCACATCGATTGAAGCACTTTTTTATTTTTTTAGCGAAAATCTCACGTTACCCTGACATTTAACTTACTTTATAAGCATATAGAGACCAGAAATATAGAAGCTAGTTAGGAGGAAACCCAGTTTCTGTTTTATTTGTTTGTCAACATCTGGTAAAGATTACATTTTGACCCCGAAGATAATGTTTTACCTGCTTTTCCTCCCCTCCCATAGTTCCATGCGACGGTGTTGTCGTGCCGCTCTGGGTTTTTGGACTCCATGTTGGAGCTGAACCCCTCGCAGCACCTCGCCCTGCTCACACGGAGACTGTACCACTGTCTGGCTGACCACACACTCTTACAGGTACACACACACACACACACACACACACACACTTCACTTCTTAACATTGATTCAAAGACAGAGGGAAGTCGCTGTTTACCCACACTCTGAACATGTTTGTCCCTCCTGTGTTCCCGTAGCTCAGAGGATCCATGCTGGCCCTGGCCCTCATCACCCTGGAGCTGGAGACCTGTTGCCCTGATTGGCTGGCTCCCACCATCGAGCTGCTGAGGAAGGCACAGGTACACACTGACTCTCTCACAATCAGAAGCTCTGAAGGTTCAGGATATAGAAGTTGATGGAGAAGTTGAACATATTAAAGGTGGGGTAGGTAATTTTGGAGAAACCAGCTCGAGTGCGCTAGAATTTGAAAATACACAACCGAAAAAAATCTGCCACTTCCTTACAGAGCCCCTCCTCCAACACACACGAACGCGCACATGACCAATGAGGGCACGAGATAAGTTTGTGCACAGATGGAAGGCTGACAGGCAGGTAGGCCATCCAATCATTTTAGCCGGGCCGGCTCAGATGATTGGTCGTGCTTTTTACAGTACTACGGCTTCCACAGATGAACATTTTTTATGGATTTTTTGTCAAAGCACTTAAGATATTCATTGCTATCGGGATGTTAAGAGCATTCCATGGAATATAACAACAAATGTATCTCAAGCCGGTTTCTCAAACTTACCTAACCCACCTTTAAAGTTGTTAATGAGGATTTCTGGGGGTGCACACTTTATAATCCAAGAGAATATTCAAGTTATTCCTGCAAATGTGTCAGTCTTCTCTTTGAATTAACCAACTTCCTCTCTGAGAAAATCTGTGTTTCTATTTCAATTGCTGTTATCAGAGATCATTTCATTTTAGTTCCTCAAAATGGTTCAACATTTGTTATATTCATATGTATATGCATTATTCAAATCTCAAGAACACGGACAACGAGAACAACATCATTGTCACAAAGTTAGTTTATGCAAATGAAAGCTCAGTGTCTGCTGTATAAATGATATTGCTGAATTTCTAACTGCCGTTGCTGTCAAAACGACATCCGGTAGATTTATGAAAAGGAACAGTAACATTTGAGCTGGTGAACATCATGTTAGGAAAGCTAAACCACATTGACAACGAGGCTCCACAGAGGCTCCGGGCATAATGAAATCATCAGTATGTCTGCCATTTCTAAGCCTTTAGAGGATAAATGTCTTCTCCTTCCCTTCCTCCCTCTCAGATCGACAACTCTGAGTTGATCCGGAGTCGAGAGCTGGTGGCTCGTAGTCTGTCCACACTGAAAGCTTCCCTGCCTCCCAACACTGTCTACATCTACCAACCCCTGCAGAGCAGCACCACCCTGCAGCCCCCGGACCCCTCGCCCTCCTGCTGCACACTGGGTACGATGGATACTGATTCCGGCGATCGGCCCCAAAATTGGCGATCGGAGCATCCCTAGTTAAAATCCATTATTGCTTATATGTATCCTTATCCTATATAACTCCTGATGGCAGACAGGAGCTCTCTCACCTATTAGGGATCTATTACTATACATTCAGTAGTAAACAGGATCAATTATTCTGCTAAATGTATGATTGTTTATTTGAATACCGACTTTCCCTTGAGAACTTCAACACAAAAAGGTATTTATAAGGTCACTTTTTTCTTCCCCCAGGGATCCTCTCTGAGTCTTCCAGGGACCATGTCCTGGTGGCCCCTGCTGATGGGGGGGAGGAGAGCTCCAGCTCCACCTCCTCCTCCAACAGCAGCATGCCAGGTCTCCTCTCTCCTCCCAAGCTCCTGCACCGCCCTCGCCACCCGAAGGTGCAGAAGGTCACGCTGCGCTGCAAGGCGTCTGCGAAGCGCAAGGTACCACTGTCACTCTGTTTAAAGCATATATATATTAATGTAGACGACATGATATTTGCAACATTTTGAAAGTCATTTAATTAGAGTAGTATTTATTCTTTAAGCGTCCGTGATTCAAGCTTCTTAAATCTAAATGTTAGCTGTTTTTTGCTTATTATTATACAGTAAAATGTGAACAAACACTGTCATATACACTTAAACCAGCTTCTTCCAGCTCCAGTGTTTTTTATTCTCACCATAGTGTGGCTGACTCGCATGCCAATCAGCTCGTCATGCTAATCAGCTCGTCATGCTAATCAGCTCGTCATGCTAATCAGCTCGTCATGCTAATCAGCTCGTCATGCTAATCAGCTCGTCATGCTAATCTTATTACTCAACTTAGTTAAATACTAAGATTGACTATTTATATACTTACTAGATTCTGATTGGTCAATTTGGACATTCAGTGGTCTGCTCTTTACTGGATAGCAGACGTTGCTAAGGAAACTTTGATCGTGTGCACTCATATCAATCCGCAGAAAGTAGTCTGAAAACACCAGGGAATACTTTTAGAATATTTTCATTTTTATATTTGTAAAGATCACAAAGCTTTGGATTTGTAAGGAAATGGAAACAAAATCATGAAAACAGCGCAATAGAAACAATGCAATCGCTTTGAATTCAACAAAATCATGTCCAATCATTGAGTTACGTAAGTAGTCATGTTATAAGCGTTAAGAGGGGTCTTGAGTTAATCTTTAATGACACGCTCGCTGCACATTATCCCTTGCTAATCACTACTAGCTCTGTTGCTAACAGCGTAAACTTGAATTAACCAGGCCCAACTTGTTACATGCATCAATCTTCATACTGTTACATCCAGCTACAAACATATACAAACTGCCTTATAAGTAATGAAAGTACCTGTGGGTATGTATGTATTATTATGTACTTGTATTTTTTTGTTTGGACGACCATTTTAGTTTTCATTTCATATTGCACTGTAAATTGCATGAAATTATGAACTGTTTTGTTTTATGTATGTATGTGTTGTGTTTGTGTGAGGACCCCAGGAAGAATAGCTAATAGCCGCTTTCACACCAAGTACTTTGCCGTACTTAGTTCCCAGCACTTAGTTCCCAGCACTTAGTTCCCAGCACTTAGTTCCCCCATGGAACTAAAGAGCAGATCGCGTTCACACCGGAATAAGTTCCTGAGGGAAGATTACGCAAATGAAGCCGCTGACGTCACTTCTTCTTCTGCTTTGGGTTTACTGGCAGGCCGCAAACAACTTCACGGCGTATACTGCCACCCGAAGTCCCCGGAGTTGGGGACTGGCTTCAGTAGAAGCTGCTGGGAGTCCCAGCAGCTTCTACTGAAGCCTTCCGAGTAAATCGCCAGAACACCGACACCTCCTCATCTCTCCACCGCTTTTTTTTGTGTTGCCATAAGTTATTCTCTCTCCGTTGGTGCGCGGGGCTAATGCTAATGCTAATAATGCTAATGCCAGCAAATACAATGGCGGTTTCACAAAACTTTTCAGAGTTTTACGGGGCGTGGTTTGCAATTCGCCCAGCCAATCAGAAATGTACCACCTCTCTAGCAGGCACGAAAAATGGGGTAAAAGTTCTCATGAACTAAGTTCTCTTTTTGGTGTGAACGCAAAATCCCAGGAACTATCGGAACTAAAAGGGAATAGTACTCCGGTGTGAAAGCGCCTATTGCTCATGCTAGTGCTAATGGGGATCCTAATAAAGAATAAGTAATTGTCATAATAAAGATAGTCTGTTGCAGCCCTAGAGTCACAATATAACTCTGTGTGTTTTCAGGTGGAGGAGATGGAGGTGGACGACATTTACGACGGCATCAAGCGTCTCTACAACGAAGACGTTACCACCGCTGTCCAGGAGGGGGCGCTACCACCAGGTGGAGGAGGAGGAGGAGGTCTGAGTGTCTGCAGCATCCTGATGCCCCGACAGGAAGGCAGCTCCTCCCCCTGCCCCCCCCTGCAGCCAGTCAGTGCCTCCTAGAGACCAAACAGGAAGCTCTAAACCAAAACCACCTCAACGCTGACATCATCATCGCGAGAATTACAAAGAAATAACGTTTTCTGACCAAAACAGTGAGGCGATGGGCAACTCCCTGAGCAATAGGCGACAAAAAGAAATGTTACCATTGTATAAAAAACCAACATAAAGGCAGCTCCAGAAAGTTGCTCATCACAGGTTTCCTTCAATCGGCTGCTTTGATGAAACGTACATTAAAATAAGAAAATATTGATGTTAAAACACAAATACAGCGGGTGATGTCAGCGGTTCAGATGGTTTTGGTTTCGGTGCAAACCCCCAGTGTGACCTGAGGACATTACCCATCATGCCCTGCAACAGGAAAACAGAGCCCCAAAAAAAAATTTAAACATGAAAAAACTTACAAAAACAAGCTGCTGCTAATATTTAATTAATGATATCTGTTGAATACAATACTACAAAATGAAAAAAAAAATTATAAATAGAAAAGATACCTTCAAAAAAACCTAGATTTGACTCCACCCATCCCCCCCCCCTACATGTCTCTCTCTCATCGTTTGTCAACCTTTTATTGTTTTTCCATTCTCTCCGTATATTTTATATATTTATGTTTGTATTCTATCACCTTCTCTCTCCTACCTACCTCTGCATGTTTTCATCTCTCTGAAGTCGTGAATCAAATGACGATTATCTGCATTACTCACCCAGACAGAGACACGTCGTTTTTAGTGAAATGCAATTTTAATTGTTATTAAGATGCTAATATAAATATCCCTCTCAGCTTGTTGTGACGGCTTGACTGAATGAACGTTTCTCAGGGTTGTTTTATTCTTCCCCAAACAAACATAAAAGGCTTACAGTTTCTAATGAAGCCCCTTGAATGCATCGTCTATGAGAGGTCTTGATTATTCCCTCATTAAGTACATGCTCTCTCATGGAAGCATCCAGGTTTTGGGACCTTTACACAAACAAAGGGACCTCGTAAAATAAAACTCTCCATGGTTTCTGTGTCGAAGCACTTAAGAGGGGATTACACCTATATATTCACATGTAATAAAAACAACCTTGAGTTATTTAAAGCATTTTAATATTGAGCTAAGAGACAGAAATGTGTTTTTTGAGTTGGTGTCTGAGCTTCACCAGAAGACAAGTGGCACTTTAATGTTCAAAAAAAGTTAAAATGACGCTGTTTTCACCTTGAAGTTCTGTTGAATATGATTTTATTCCTGCAAAAAGCTCTGTTCCTCCTGCTGTGGGAGCTGCTGGGCGCTGCTCCAGGGCACTTGAATGAACCAATAAATAAAAAGACATGAAGTATGAAAACTCAGAAAGCTCAGTGTCCTTTTTTTATCACACAGAAATGTTGTTCACAGGCCACACGAGGTAACAAGTTACACTGTATTACCCAACTCCATAAGAACAACAGGTCTAACAGGATGCACACAGCTCTGAGTGTGTTCAAAGAAAACCTCTCTCTCAGAAAACACACACACGATTTGTACTGTTGTGCTACTGAGGGAACAACCTTAATCAGATTCTGTAAAACCAAGTCTAATCTCATTATGGTGTTTTCAAAACTGGTAAAAACATTTTCCGTCTGGAGAAAAACAGCTGTGTGTGTGTGTGTCCTAGCATTACTATACTTGTGGGGACCTAAATCTGTTTACAGTCACGTGTGGGGACTCGCCTCCCTTATGGGGACAAATGGAGGTCCCCATGAGGGGAATCATTCATTTTAGGGTAAAGACTTGGTAAGGGTTAGGGTAAGGCATGTGTTGGTTATGGTTAAGGTTAGGATAGTTCAAAATGGATTCCAGGATACTCTGCAACTTCTACAGGTGCACGATAGAGAGTATCCTCACTGGCAGCATGACGGCCTGGTACGGCAGCTGCACCGACCTCGATCGTAAGGCTTTACAGAGGGTGGTGAAAACTGCACAGCACATCACCAGGACGGAGCTGCCATCCATGGAGGACCTTTACTCCCAGCGGCTCAGGAAGAAATCACTACGGATTATCAAAGACCCCCATCACCCCAGCCACAAACTGTTCTTTCTGTTGCCGTCTGGCAGACGTTACCGCAGCATCCGGGCAAGGACAAGAAGATTCGGAGACAGTTTCTTCCCGCGGGCAGTGAGACTGTTAAAAAAATTGAACTGTTGAAACAACATCAAACATTCAACTGCTACTCAGTAGTATGTATCTAATACCTAATATATATATATCATTCCAATAACTTGTATATAGACTCATACTGCACTATTCCACATCATAACTTTATTTCATTTTTATAACTATTATTATTTTTGTATTGCTCTTGCTCTTATTGTTATGTTATGTTATTATGTTGCATTGTTGGAGAAGCCTGTGACATAAGATTTTCAACTGCATAATTACTCTGTAGCTATGTCAGATTGACAATAAAGAACCTTGAACCTTGAACCTTGATAAGTCTCCAGGAAATGCAAGTCAATGTAATGTCCCCTGAAGTGGTGTGTGTGTGTGTGTGTGTGTGTGTGTGTGTGTGAGAGCTGTTAAACAAGTTCTGTTGGTAGAACTGCTGGGTGGATACACATGATGGGACTGAGGTGTTAGATGAAGGGTGTGTCAGCTCTCATGTCATTCATACACCTTTTTTATTTTGGCATAAGAATCATACAGCTCCAAATAACTCCATTGAATAAGAAAGGAGAAAAAAGGCAGCACCCATCTTAGTTAAGTGTCCTTTTTACTTGAGGTTTAAATAACACCGTGGCCGTTTCTCAATGTCGAGTCTACCTGCTGCAGAGCCACTATTTCAAGTATACTACGTCATCGAGTGGCGCCGAAGGACTGTTTAAATGCATGTTAAATGCCCAGCATTCGGCGCCACTCGATGACGTAGTATACTTGAAATAGTGGCTCTGCAGAAGGTATACTCGACATTGAGAAACGGCCCGTTAGTTCAAAGATTACAAACTATGAAATTCATCATTGTATTCTTTCTCAGTTACCTCCAATTAGATGAGAGAATAGACAAGAACTAGGTAAGACAAATAGGACAACATAATATATAGTTATTAACCTTTTTTACCATCTGATTGGAGGTTAAAGGGTAGTAAAGAATGTTATTTGTCCAATCAATGATAGTAATGCAGTGACAGTATTATGTATTAATTAAAGCTTGGAGTTATATTCTGAACTTTTCAATGTCTTTTTATGGGCACCACAACAAATGGCAGATAGCTTCTAAAGTCATTAAGATCAATAAAAACTGAGCAACGATGTCAGAAAAAGTTGTATAAAAACAAAACACCTCAAACTTTGAAACATTTAATACTTTGTGATGTGAAAAAACTGTACAAAATATACTTATTGCAGCAATCATTTACAAAGTGAGTACGTGTGTTTTTACATCAAATCCTGTATGAAGTGCAAACCGTTACCACACCCTCACAAGCCAACTCTTTGTCTTGTAATCATTAATATAATTATTTACAGCATTGTACTCACTTATTTAAAGTATATTTTGTGGACATTTTAGAGAAAATTGGCACGACTCATCGGTACTATACATAATATGAAACTAGGGTAAGGGTTAAGCTTCGTCCAAAAGTAATGTGTAATAACTTGATTGCTTAATCCGGACAAACACAAATGTTACAAAGTGGTTAATTGGTGATTTTGTATCTTAAACGACTACTTTTCTTTGTAGGTAATAAGTCATATTTTTTTTTAATAATAATCTCCTTTTGGAATGAACCACCTCACTTCTGCTTCAGTGCCAGCAACAAGTAATGTCCTATTGTAGTAGGATTAGATGTTATTGTACAGGTGTTCATGTTTTGTCCACTACTTCCCCAAAGTTCTTTTCACTGCAATTTCATTTTCAGGCTGTTTCTTTTGTCTCCACACATCGACTGAAAGCAGATCCCCCCTTGCTGATCTGCAAGTGCTAACAAATCCTTCTGCATTCATCCATCAGGCGTCTCCGATCCAGCATTCTTTGTCAAACACAGGATACATATCTGGTCAAACTGAACGCTCCGGTGCAGAAACGAGTGCTTCCTGTTGTTGCAGTCATTTGAATTCCTTTTTTAAAAGTGTGTAGACACAACAGATGCAAACTGAGGGAACAGACTGTTAGCCAGCTCATAGAGTCCTGTTGTGAACCAGGATATGTTGAGTACACCAACGTGTTATGTTAGTCGCCAGCACATAGAAACTGCAGGATTCTAACCTTCATGTTTGCACAATGAGCATAAGTTGCATTATTAGCATTATTTAGCATATGTAGATGTTAGTTTAAAATTGGCTTGGCTGTTTTGGACAATTTTGGAGTTGTTTTGGGGTTTATTGAGGATGTTGAATCCATTTCTGAAGTTTCCAGGATCAAAAATGGCAGTTTTATCCAGAAAGTTTACTTATTTGTTTTCCCCGTGGGCTGATTTTGATGACTTTTTGGGTAGATTTGAATGTTTTTATGGACTCCAACTGCCATTTCTGATCCTAAAATTGTAAGAAATTGATTCACCATCCTTAAATGTACCTCGAAAACCACACCAAAATGGTCCATATCGCCCAATAAATGTTGTAGCCATCGTCTGCATATGCTAATAAATGCAAATTGCACAACATATGCAAGTTAGCATCCAGCGGTTTCTATGAACTTGGGACACTTCCTACTCATTTCAAACATAGAGCCTTGGGGTTCTCTACATTTCCGGGTTCACACCGTTGGCAACTAGACTACAAGGTAAGAGCAGAAGTCAGCAAACCAATCCAAATCCCAGTTCATCCACCAGTAGAGTGTTTAAACCGAGGTGTCAGACTGGTGTCCGTGGAAGTGCTGCAGTGATTTGTGTTTTAGGAACGCAGCGATGGACGTGGACCTTTTGACCCTCTGCGTGCCGGACATGGTCAGAGGCCTCTCGGTGGGGGAGGCGAAGGAGAGGTGATGGCGACGGCGGCGAGGGTGGGACTGGCGTTGTTTCACGTTGGGGTTTTCCCCCCCGACTCCTCCCCCCTCTCCCCCTGTAGCTTTGACTGGAGCCCCTAGCAGCATGAAGACCTCCGGAGCGCTGCCGCGGCTCAGGTACTGCCAGGGCCTCTTCCCCGCCGTGTCCCTCAGCTTCACGTCGGCGCTGAACTTGGTCACCAGCAGCCTCATGATGTTCTTGTGGCCGTGCATGGCGGAGATGTGGAGGGGCGTGTAGCCGCATGTCGACCGGGCGTTCACATCGAAGGTCAGACCAGCTTTCTCAACTCCATACCTGAAACCAAGATGGAGAACATCTCAGAATCAGAATCAGGGTTATCACCAGGTAGGTTGGCACGTACGAGGAATTTGACTTGATGTCGTGGTGCATACATAAAAATTAAACAAAAAGAAAAAAACACAGATAGAGAACTGTTAAAGGTCCCATGTCATGGCCATTTCTACTGATCATAATTCCATTGTTGAGGTCTACTAGAATAAATGTATATTGTGCAATGTTCCAAACTCACATTGGTTTCTCATACAGCATCTCTGTATAGTATGTGTATTCACTCTCTGTCCTAAACGGCTTGTTGGAGCTCCTGCCCCCCCCCTCCCTGTGAGCCCAGTGGCCGTCTGCGAGACAGCGAGACACAGCGAAACCCAGCCCGAAACACACACACACGCAGCCTGGCTGGGAGTTTGTGTGTGTGCCCAGGCTGAGTTCCGCGGTGTCTCTCTGTCTCGCAGACCCCACACCAGTGAGCCAGCTCACAGTGTCCCGCTCCTCGCAGCAGTGAGCCTCGCAACGTTCCGCCGTGTGTGTGTGTGTGTGTGTGGGGAAGTCCGCGGATTGGTCCAAACGTAACGGAGAAGTAAACAATGGAAAAAGAGAAATCTCCAACGAGGCGTTCTGGGGCAGCATAGACAGGTCTTTTCTGTGTTAGAGTTTTACTCGCTACAGGGTGTACTTTGAGGGTTTGTGACTCTGCAGACCGTTTACATGCAGAAAAAGCTACATAACACAAGGGGACGGGTAATAACCAGAAAAGCATGACATGGGACCTTTAAAAGAAAACTATAATAACATAAAAAAATATAGTACAATTAAATATAGCAGTAATTACAATGCAATAGAATGGAAAATCAGAAGAATAGAATATCAGTTTCTCATTGCAGAAAATATATTTAAAGTATATTTTCCTTTGTTGGAGAATAGATATTCTTCAAGTGCATTTTAATAATAATAATTCATTGTATTTATAGAGTGCTTTTCATGGTTGTCAAGGACACTTCACATGCTAAAATTCATGAAAACAACACACTTAACATACATACAACAAAACAACTACAGATTAAAAGCCGCTGAATGAAGATGGTGCAGTCACGGATGTGTTTTGTCCGTTTTGACGTAAATTTGTGTCGACTTCACACAATTAAGTAAAACATGTAAATATTTAGCAGCTTATATCTTACTATTGACGTCACTGCCTCTAAAGTTCACTCCACTTTGTGTCCAAACACAGTGGAGTTGAAAATATTTGACCCTTGTGATTAGCCTTAAGGGAGCAGGAATGTGATCAGTTAAGTTCTCGACATTCTTTGATTTAGAAGTGAAAATCTTTGCCTGGTGGTTACTCCTTAGAGATCACAATCATGGGTTTGTGAATATCTTGGTCTTATCTGATAACATTTTGACAAACTATGAGATATTTAGCTCAGGAAATAACACATCATTGTAGCAAGCAACCGACCTTTTGACCCTTAGGCTGCAAACCATGTCTTAAAGATTGACTATACATTAGACATCAGAAAATCATCCGAGCGACATTTTTGTTTTAGCTGACTGGTTTTCTATTTATTTATTTGTTATTGTCTGTTTGTCTGTTTGTCTGTTTGTCTGTTTGTCTGTTTGTCTGTTTGTCTGTTTGTTTGTCTTCTGTCTGTGTGGGATTTTCTTTGCCCTGGTGGTGTTAAGCAGTATTTACATTGTTACTCTACCTATTTATCTATAAAGTGAAGATTTGTTTACCTGCTTTTGACACATGCTCTGATAAAATAACTGTATGCTGTTGAAAAAACGCAATAAACAAAGTTTAAAAAAAAAGAAAACCATCAGAGCAAACTAGCTAGCATCTAGCATCGTACCATAAGGTGTTGAGGACTCTGTGTTCGCCGTGCTTTGCGATCCAGTGCAGCACGGTGAAGCCGGAGATGAAGTCCTGCCTGTTGAGCAGCGACGAGTCCTCTCTGAAGAGGGTGTAGATGTCGGGCCAGGCCCCCGCCGCGCCCTTCACCAGCCAGGCGTGCTCCTTGGGCTCCAGAGGAACCAGGGACTGAGGACAGGGGCAAACATACACTTAATAAATGTCCTTTACGGGAACCAGAATCAGGTTTATTACCAGGTAGGTTCACACGTACGAGGAATTTTACTTGATGTCATGGTGCATACATAAAGGAGTCTATGAACGGGAATCAGTTCAGTTTTGTTAAACTAACCACATGTCAACATTTTTTATTGTTTCCCGTTTGTTGACAAGACAAAGTAAAGAGCCTTTGTTGCTAGTTGTCAATCTTACTGAAAATGACATTACTTTACTGTCAGCATGTAAAACCAGATAAGGACACTTATGCGATATTTCGATGACTTAAATGTAAGACAATATCTAGTCAAGTCAAAGTCAACTTTATTGTCAATCTGTTTCCCACAACCCCGAATACACAATGTCCATCAGTCTCACCTGTCTAGTGGGCCCTTCCTGGTCATTGGTGTTAGAGGCGGGGGTGCAGGGGGAGCTCCTCCTCCCCCCTCTGACCTCCCCCAGGTCTGCCAGGCTGTGGCAGCTGGGGGGGGTGGAGCAGGACGACAGGGAGGAGGTGGACAGGTCGTACCGCAGGCTGAGAGACGAGGAGATCAGGTGGAGGCGGTTCAGTCGGGCCGCCTCGCTGCCCCCCCCCCGCACGCGCCTCCTCCTGCAGGATTTGGTCCAGATCGGCTCCCAGGCTGCGGCACATCCTGCTCCTCAGCCGGCTGCTGATTCGCCGAGCGGCCCCCCGCCGCGGCTGCGAGGAGGCGGAGCCTTCGCTGGACTCTGCGTCTTCTCGGTCGTCGTAGAGATCTCCTGCGAGCAGAGGGGGAGGAAGTACTCAGACCCTTCACTTAAAGAGGCCCTGTTCTGTTGTTTTAGGGTTCTACCTATCCTGTAGTGTGATATATAGGTTTTAGTGCAAGTAAATGGTCTGTAAAGGCTCACACCGGTGCACAGATGGAAGGCTGACAGGCAGGCAGGCCATCCAGTTATTTTAGCCGGGCCGGCTAAAATGATTGGTCGTGCTTTTTACAGTACTACGGCTTCCACAGATGACGTTTTTTTATGGATTTTTTGTCAAAGCACTTAAGATATTCATTGCTATCGGGATGTTAAGAGCATTCCATGGAATATAACAAAAAGTGTATCTCGAGCCGGTTTCTCAAACTTACCTACCCCACCTTTAACTAAAAGGTTTAAAGGGCAATCTATTATCCTAAATGACATGTTGTGTGTAAGATGTAATAGGTCTCTCTGTAGGACTCTTTAATTAAGTCCTACAGACTCCAGCTCTGACCTGTGGAAAGATGCCAGGGCACCACACCAACTGTAGAGTTGTGGTCGTTTGAGTGATGGAATGGTGACAAATAACCGGTTGGCTCCTGGTTGTCATGGAAATGGCTGTCGGCATGTTGCGACTCCAATTTTTGCCCCTGGGCTCGGTGGAGTACTTCTTGGATTTTAGACCCGCCCCTAACCGCACCTGCTGACACAGCAGATTTACAACAAAACCAATGTTAAACATGCACATGGTTTACATTGTGTCACATGCACTGAATACATGTCTTATAGGAGATTTGTATGGATGTCCCGGTGCCTTGCTCAAGGGCACCACGGCAGGGCAGGAGGTGAACTGGGACCTCACCAAGTAGCTCTGCAATCTAGTCAATGGAAGCTTTTACATATTATGGTCTCCATAAACATATATATTTTAGGAACAGACTTACACATTTCAGTACATATAAAAGAAACACACAAAAATGTAGCATTGGAAGTATTTGAAATGCATGACCTCCCATTGGTTTGTGAACTATTATTTAAAAGCCCCAACCACATCATATCTGCTGACACACACACGATGTAGATAAGGGGAAATAAAGATCACCAATAGACTTCACCTTTTAATCTTGTACAGAGTTCAGTTGTACCTGCATGTGCAATAAACCCTCGTGCAATTCAGGCTTTATTGTCTTTCAATTCATTTACAATCTGTAAACAGCACCAGCTACCTCTTTAATTTCTATATGGTCAAAGAATACACAGCTACGTGTTAACTTATCTGCTATTTGTTTGTATTTTGTATTATTAATAACGTGTGCACACTTAGTTATTTGATCTTTTGTATATGCAAGTCTATTCTCTTAGCTTAACCGCTCTATACTTCTGCTGTTAATAATAATGTGGGACAAATAAAGTCATCCTGACCTGGTTTTGCCTGTAGCTCTTCACAGCTGCTGTTCCACCCGGACCCTCTGGAGGAGCCCGACAGCGGCCAGTTGTTGCTGGAGAACTCTGGGTCAGAGGAGGGGGAGAAGATGCTGCTGTGGCTGGAGCAGAGCCTCTGACCCCCGCTCTGATCGGGCCCCAGGAGGACAGCTGTAGGGTAAGCGTATTTGGGTCCATCGCGGCGAGGCACCACCCCTGTATCTCTGTCAGAGGATGGGGTGAAGCGCTCCGCCTCTAAAGGGAGGCTCCGTCTGGTGGAGGACCCTTCCCCTGAAACAGACCCAGGTGTTGGCCCCCGTCTCCCCTCCTCCACATCCTGGACGTAAATCTTCGGGAGCTTCCTTTCCGATGCATAAGAGGAAGAGGAGGAGGATATAGAAGGAGAGGTCTGTGGATCTATGACGCAGGGCGAGGAGGCGGAGAGGGCCTTCCCCAGGTCTCCCAGAGGATAGTTGGGGGGCCACGCTCCTCCTGCTGAACCCCGCCTCGCCTGGACCTCCTCCTCTTCCTCCTCCTCATCCTCATCATCATCATAAGAGACGGCAGATTTGTAGCTCTGCCTGTGTCTGGCAAGGCGTGGGGCACTCAGCAGAGGGGTCTGATGAAGAGGAGGGGTCTGATGAAGAGGAGGGGTCTGATGATGAGGAGGGGTCTGATGAAGAGGAGGCACCTGACGAAGAGGAGGCACCTGACGAAGAGGAGGGGTCTGATGAAGAGGAGGGGTCTGATGAAGAGGAGGCTCCTGACGAAGAGGAGGGGTCTGATGAAGAGGAGCCTCCTGACGAAGAGGAGGCACTTGACGAAGAGGAGGGGTCTGATGAAGAGTGGGCACTTGACGAAGAGGAGGCACTTGACGAAGAGGAGGCTCCTGACGAAGAGGAGGCACTTGACGAAGAGGAGGCACTTGACGAAGAGGAGGATCCCGAGGAAGAGGAGGCTCCTTAGGAAGAGGAGGGGTCTGAGGAAGAGGCACCTGACGAAGAGGAGGCACTTGACGAAGAGGAGGCTCCTGACTAAGAGGAGGGGTCTGATGAAGAGGCACCTGATGAAGAGGAGGCACTTGACGAAGAGGAGGCACCTGATGAAGAGGAGGGGTCTGATGAAGAGGCTCCTGGCGAAGAGGAGGCTCCTGGCGAAGAGGAGGCTCCTGATGAAGAGGAGGGGTCTGATGAAGAGGCTCCTGGCGAAGAGGAGGCTCCTGGCGAAGAGGAGGCTCCTGGCGAAGAGGAGGCTCCTGGCGAAGAGGAGGCTCCTGATGAAGAGGAGGGGTCTGATGAAGAGGCACCTGATGAAGAGGAGGGGTCTGATGAAGAGGCACCTGATGAAGAGGAGGCACCTGATGAAGAGGAGGCACTTGACGAAGAGGAGGGGTCTCATGTCTGACCACAGGTGTGACCCCGGGCCCAAACCCAACCCTTTGCTGTCCCACTTTAGTGATCAGATGTTGGACAGGTGTGGTCTTCACTTCTCTTTTCTCTGGGATCTGATTGGCTGCTGCTGTTCTACCACACACTTCAGGTGTGCTGCTCACCTGTTGCTGCTTCATGTTCAGATTTGTCTGCACGGTGTTGTTGTTGTTGGGCATGATCCCGGCCACAGGTAGGCTCGTTTTCTCAGCGGTGACTCCCGGCGGGGCGGGTGTTGTCCCCTCCCTGAGCTGTGGTTTCTGCCGAGGCGTCTCTGCGTTTTCCGGGCAGGTATCCGCTCCTTTCGCGGCGGGAAGTCGCTCCGAAGAGCCCCCTTCGCCGTCACCGGGAACATATCCCTTGAATTTCTTCCTGAGGACCACATGAGAGACTCCCTCCACCTGTCGGACGGTGGCCACGGAGTTCACAAACTTCTTGAAGAGCTCCCGGTTTCGGTTCCGATCCGGGTGGTCCCTAATGAAGTCTTTGAAGTGCAGAACCAGGTCCGCGTTTTTCACCGTGCCTCCGCTGATCTGGAGGAAATGCAACAGGGTGTCCTGAGTGAAGTCTGTGGCCATTCTGCTCCCAAACCCCGCTGTATGCTGCCTCTCTGCCGGGCTCAAAGGTCGCAGAGCTGCTTCTGAGAGGAAGGGAGCTCCGCCTGCCGCAGGTATTTATCCAGCCCACCTGCTACATTCCTGCAGGGAACTAACAACCCGGATGTGCACAAGTACCAGTGGTGATTGTAACTAAGTACATAACTCAAGTAGCCTACTGCACTTTGGTTAACCAGGTGCAAACAAGCCACATGTGGGGAAAAGAGTAGTTTGTTTGGGACACTTTTCTTTTTTGCAATCTCAAATTGTATTCACCTGCAAGTGCGATTGAGAAAACACGTCATTAAAAACTCTCTGGGAATCGCTCTCACTGGCTACACCCATAAGTAAATACATTTCCAAACTTTGTTGATTGATTGACATCTGACATTTATAGTGATGGCACTCTCTGGAGTTTCTAAACAGCCATTGGATAAAAGCCACGTTTTAGAAGGGCGACTGTCAATCAAATGTCCATAAAGCAGGACATCGGGTCACCCTAACTGTACTTAAGTACAATTTGTAAAAAAGTATATTTTGATGATTATACTTTTGTACTTTGAGTACAATTTTGAATGCAGGACTTTTACTTGTAACAGAGTATTCCTACACTCTGGTACTTCTACTTGTACTCAAGTACAAGATCTGAGTACTTCTCCTTTTGAATAGTTATATATTTTCATATTTCTTACAACCTAATTCCTCTAATTGTGTTTTACCATTATAAGCAAAAGCAAATTCCTTGTAGGCCTATGTGTAAATCTACAATAAACCAGATTTTGAATATTTATTTTGAACATGTTTTATAAGCAGAATAAATAAACTATTATAATGTTTTTGGTGTCTTTGTTAAATAATGTTAGCAGGTTAAATATATCCCAATCTTTCATTAAATAGTATTCCTGTGCAGATCCACTCCATCATTTGAAACATACGTCAAAAATCCACATATTTTGTCATTGAAGTGCACATTTTTTTCAACGTCGAATACTCCCCACTACTCATGTACATTATTTTCTGCCATGAAAAATGTGCAGGTATAAAAGGCTGCAGATGCTCAGCAACACAAGCAGAAGAGATGTCTTCACTCTGTCCTCATTATCCCTTCTTCTCTATACACACCGTGGCCACCAGAAGGCGCACTGGAGCAGACCTGAGCCAGCAGGAGAGAGCACTGGGAATATAAAGATGATTTGACCTATACAGTTCATATTCTCAAAACTAAAAGAGGTCCTACTTAAGGCCAAATCTCATGTTATTCTCCAAATAGGATATATAAAACATAAATCAAATGACATGCAATAAAGCACAATAAAGACAATATTATTATATTATTATTATTCATAGTGTTGTATCGATGATTAGGGAGTTTAATGTTGGATAACAATATACAACTATAGACGATCTGGAGTATTTAAATGTATTTGATGCTTGAAAAAACATTTATAGGACAAAAAGTTCCAACCTAAAAAAAATTGTACGTGGCTCCAATATAAACTGCTGTTTGATGCCTATTCTGACAAAGTGGTGGAGAATAGCAAAGGGTCACTTTCTCTCTTAAGATAAACAAGGCTTTAAGAAGAATTATAGCCGAGTTTAAAAAATGAGTGTAATCTATCGGTTCTTGAATGCACCACTAAGCCAATTTACTTAATTGCCTGTTAAAGGGTATTCTCCCATCTCCCAAGAGGCTAACTACAAATACTTTCCACGAAATTATTCTCAAGATCAGTTGCAGCCATGTTGCACAATATTTGTTATGCATGTGCTACTGAAAATAAAATGTTATAAAAGCACACATGTGTCAGAGTGTGGTTTGAAATGTAAAATAAAATAAAACCATTTCTTTGTCTTTCTTCCTTTTATTTTCTTTCTTTCCCCCCTCATTTTAATGTACCACTGTTATGTTTTTAGTTTGCAGTTTCTGTAGAGTCAAGGTAGGCTAACATCATTTTCTACCACATGATCTCACTGATATAATTAGCCGAGAGTAGGAACAGCTATCTAGCCTGTATCCAGATGATGAAAAGAGAGGAGAAATGTTATTCAATATTCAAATGTAGATAGTGTGTGTGTGTGTCAATATTTAATATTCTCTTTCATGTCCATGTCAATCTGTGTTTCTTGTCAAATTTTGAGAACGTACCACGATGTACGTACCGTGATGTACGAGCCTGCAGAAAGCTCCTGAACGCGTCATAGATGCACCTGCGTCTGAAGGACGCTAGCTTAGAGCATCGCTCTGATTGGCTGGTTGATTTTAGAGGCGGGATCTCTCTGCGGATTCCAGCGGATGATTAGTCCATACACCTGGCTGTCAAGATAAGTGCGCCTACCTGTCACTTCCTGCTGTCGGTATTTATTCATTTTCACTTCTTTTTTTTCCCCGAGTAGAGACAATTTGTCACAGCCATGTTTGTATGAATTCGTCTAATGTATCCCGCACGGTTTGTGGACCCTGCGAACCAAACGTTACGACCTTGGCTTCATGTTCGTCTTAAAGGAGGACTAACCCCCCTGGACACTGCTGGGAAAACACCGCCTGGGTGCATTCAACCACCGCGGCTCAATTCCTTTTAATGTGGACTCATATTGCCGTGTTTATTAATAAAGCAGCAGCAGCATCAGCAGCAGCGAGGGACTGTGCCTGGTGGAAAGGTAAGCACCGCAGAGGCGTTAGCATGCTCTCAGTGTTTCTATGCAGCACTGATACACACACACACACACTCTCACACACAAACTCACCTACTCACACACAGCAGCAGGCCTGGCGGGGGATGCATGTGGGCTTTAAACGCAGTGTCACACATTATTCGGACAGATACACATGATTCATGGACATGACCGCTGTGTGTGTTTACGTTTGCTGTTCAGATTTGTGTGAGTGTGTGTGTGTGTGTGTGTGAGAGAGAAACCGTTTGAATCCCGGCTGTCTAAACATGTTTGTGTTCTGTTCAGGGCCGGATCAAGCTTTTATTGGGCCCTCCCACCCCAGCCCTCAATTACCCCCTGTAGTTTACAAACAAAAAAGTAATATAACTCTACGACTTACTGTTTCAGTACTGCTATTGATCCTCAATCACAATAGACAAGGACATGGTATAATAAACAAGGAAAAACACAGCAAGAGAAACCATCAGTATTTGTAATGTCTCTGTCACAATACATCCATTCTCTCTTACTACAAGCAAGACACCATGATAGCAATAAATATTAGATATTAGTTTATGACCATACTATAAAAAACAGTAGTCCCTTATAGCTGCATGTTTGTACACAAGACAATCGTTTTAGTTCATGTTTTTCCTGTTCATTTTAACATCTAGTATATTTTTTTTAATTTAAACCCACCATGAAAAGCAAGTGTAAGGAAAATGGAGTGAAGATTTATGTGTATGACCGAAGGTAAATGTAAATCTGTGAGGTGGAACTGGCACATGAACTTCCATAGTGGAGTCTGAACACACTCAGGGGTGTTTTCACCTATTCAGCTTGATTCTGTACAGACTGGGTTTGATTGACATCTAATTATCCTCATGTTAGGGTGGGACAAAGACAAACCACTCCTTTATTATTCCTCAGGGGTCAATGTACTACGTGTGCAGTCTCTTTTGCAGCTGTGTGCACTGCGAACAATACGAAATGTTCACGGACTGTAGTCACGTGCTTTCATCATTGTGGATCTTACCACTGCTTCCCAAATTGCTGTTGCGGACAAATCTGCAGCAAAATATACAACTTTATGACCGAGGTTGCAACATACATTTAAAAAAGGAAAGTGAAACGAAATTGTTGTGACAGTGAGAATGGATCCGTACCCTCTACATGATTCCCTATAAGAAGTATTGTATGAAATTGTTGAGTTATACCAATTATAAAATATATGAATGATACATTTGATTTGTAGAGCACTTTTCAGGGTACTCAAAGACACTACAATTCATATAAAAACACACTCAAAATATACAAAATATGGTCTCAATATGCATGACTTAAAAATGCCTGACTTGTTAGTCCTACATACTGTATCTACTAATGTGCATTTCACCATTCAAACATGTTAACTTGAAACACCACAGAACTCAGTAAACACCTTAAAAATGTTGACCTTTTTATATTATTTTAAAACAGCAGCTAGTGTAATATTATAATAAAGTAATATACTATAGTGTAAAGATCAATGTTCGCCTGTTTCACATTGTGTTTAAAGTTCAAAACATGTAAGCAAGATATGGCTTAATATGGGAAATGCTTAATTAGCAACGATATATTTAGTGATTTGAGTTTGTGGATCATGTTGATTGGTTATAATGGTGAACGGCCGAATGGTGCGTAACTTCGAATGCGACGGCAAGGAATTGTGGGTCGCCTTTATCTCATTTCCTTTCATAGAGGATGATTCATTGTATCCTATAGGAGATGATAAAGGAAGCATTGGAGCGCCTTTCCTTAGCATATATAGAATTTGAACAGCTCTTATTATGGCTGACACTTCTAGGTCATTTCACCTTTGTGTGTGTGTGTGTGTGTGTGTGTGTGTGTGTGTGTGTGTGTGTGTGTGTGTGTGTGTGTGTGTGTGTGTGTGTGTGTGTGTGTGTGTGTGTGTGTGTGTGGGGTGTGTGTGTGTGTGTGTGTGTGTGTGTGTGTGTGTGTGTGTGTGTGTGTGTGTGTGTGTGTGTGTGTGTGTGTGTGTGTGTGTGTGTGTGTGTGTGTGTGTGTGTGTGTGTGTGTGTGTCATTGACAGTACATTTTTAGATATTAAACACGCGGAAAATAACTAGAAGCAAAGCTTTCCATTGAAAACGGGAAACTCAACGGTCCTTCTTTATCACAGCACTCACGACACACTCACTAACAATCACTGTGGCCCCTGACCTGTTGTGAATGGTCTTCTATAGTCTCTCTTACATTAAATAAACCTGCCCCCTTTAAAACTAAGACACAGGACAGCCAATAGGAAGAAAGCATGCCGGGACATTCTGCACTCCTGTGACGTTTCTTAGCCTTTTAGCTGACCGATACACAAATATTGATATATCTGCAATAATAAGATGATATATTCTGACATGTGTCAACTCCAAACTGCTCCCCTAGCACCGTGTCAAAGCGGTGCCTAATATCAGAATGCGGTGAATGCAGAGTCTACATTTCAATGTGCGTGCTGTGCTGTGAACATGTGTGATGATTAAACATCAATCGATTTGAATCCTCCATTTCGATCCCATTTTTAACCTCACATAAACCAAGGCAACACAAGCTGTCAATGTCTTTATGACTCAACAACATAACGTTAAAGAAACCATTTAGCTACATGTGTTAGCAATACATTAAACTGTCATCCATGGTTCGACCATTATAAATCTGTCATGACTTGTTTTCCTTGACTAAAAGTACAGTAGTACCATTTGGACTTACAGTAAAGATGTTATTATGTTACTGCACTGTCAAAGGATGTAATACTTGTGAAAGTAACTGCTGGTTAGCTGCCAATAAGCTGACTAGAAGCCAACCCTGAGAATAAAACCCCCTCGGTGCAGCAGGTACTTCCCTTTAGGTGCTTCCCTGTGACTACTTCCATCTCAGAAGCTGTGTTTGACTTCCAGCACCTCAGCTAGAGGGACAGAATATACATTTAGCGCTATTGTCACGGTTGCTGCTAACTACAGTAAGCAACAGCATTTACTGAATCAACTTATAAAGCTCCTAAATTCTCCAAAATAAAGTCCAAATTCTACCACTTTCTAAAAGTTCATGACATATTTATAATGGTCTCATAGGACAGATTATGTCAACACCAACCACATGGGACAGTTTCATGTGATCATGTATCCTGCTATGATACGTTTATGACAGGATGGGTTGCATTAGGTTACTTTCAACTTGTTCTAACAAAGCAAATTAAGACATTTCAATTCTGCATGTGTTTTATTTAATGTATCCAATGACAACAATTGACAACAAACATTAATAGAGATTAAAATGTCATGGTCATGACAGTGTCCTGACAGTCTTATGCAAACCCATTAAAATACTTTTTATAAAGTTGTACTATTTTTTTCATTACCTGTGTGTGTGTGTGTGTGTGTGTGTGTGTGTGTGTGTGTGTGTGTGTGTGTGTGTGTGTGTGTGTGTGTGTGTGTGTGTGTGTGTGTGTGTGTGTGTGTGTGTGTGTGTGTGTGTGTGTGTGTGTGTGTGTGTGTGTGTGTGTGTGTGTGTGTGTGTGTGTGTGTGTGTGTGTGTGTGTGTGACCGTATTCTAAGCGAAAATCAACATCATATTATGGGCTCAGAACAGTCTCATAATGCACACAGAAGGATTCACACTTGTATTTCCGGATCCACACTTGTGTTTTTCAATGCACACACAAATGTGTTCCGTTTCATATACATGTAAATAAAATCCAAATACAGAAAAAAGTTTTACATATGTATTTTTGATCCTCACATATTTGTTTTCCGTTTAAATCCCCATAACCTGCAAACACAACCCGCTTTCTGTGCATGGATCGCTGTGTAATTTTTTCTATCTATAGCCAATCAGATGTCTCCTCAATTCTAAGCCAATCACATGAGCGTGCCCCCACGAGGGTAGATTTCTTGCGTTCATGACGTAGCGCTTCATGTACGCATTTTGCGCTGTCCGGAGCTGACAGGTCCATGGAGCCTGTCTGCAGGCGCTAATCTCAGGACACCTCCACTCTCAGTACAGTGCCACTTTCCGAACCATTAATGAATGCTTGTGTACACAAAAACGGCAGGCAAAACCGTTTTAAATGTGTGTTTCCTGTATGGCGATCAGCTGCTTTATTTATGTCTGTATGAAGTTGTTGTGAGTGTGGAGGGAGCAGCTACAGGTTAGCTTAGCCTAATCGATCAGTGCATTACGAAGCCAGTGCTAGACAGTGAACTGTCAACGGGGGGGGAGCCCCGCCGGTCATTATCGGCCGATATTCACTCTTAATAGTTTGATCGGTGCTCTCTATAAAGGCCGATCAGGAGAGCTGGATCTGATCGATATGGACATAAACGCGAGTGAAGTTTTAGCGAGCTGCATGAGAAACTGACGGGCTATCAGGAGAGAGGGAGAGAGGAAAATAGATGATCCTTACTCCCGTGTTATTAGCCATATCCGGTCATAGTCCGGTAATTACCTACTAACGGAAACTCTGCTACACAATTCTTCTTCTTCTTCTTCTTATTATTATTGAAACATGACCGGTAAGTTTCAAATTTGTCCGGTAAAATAAATTCTGTCCACCCTGCTCCGGACAGCGCAAAATGCGTATATGAAGTGTCATGAACACAAGAAATCTACCCTCGTGGGGGCGCGCTCATGTGATTGGCTTAGAATTGAGGAGACATCTGATTGGCTATAGATAGAAAAAATTACAAGTACGAATCGGGTGACCGTCAGGGGACTCTCAAAAAACCCACACACGAATGCACAGCGATCCATGCACAGAAAGCGGTTTGTGTTTGCAGGTGCAGGGGATTTAACGGAAAACAAATATGTGAGGATCAAAAATACATATGTAAAACTTTTTTCTGTATTTGGATTTTATTTACATGTATATGAAACGGAACACATTTGTGTGTGCATTGAAAAACACAAGTGTGGATCCGGAAATACAAGTGTGAATACTTTTGCGGATCATGAAATACAAGTGTGAATCCTTCTGTGTGCATGTGTGTATTATGAGACTGTTCTGAGCCCATATATAAAGGCCATCACATTTTTGTTATTTCTTTTGTTTACATCGCTAATTACAATTTATTTTAAGTAAAGAACTTGAATCACAGGAAATTGATAAAAAATATAAGTATTTTTAAGCCAATTCCAGTTGCATTTCACTAAAACTGTTTGCTTAAAGACAAGATATCAATGTTTCTAAAGGTACAAGTCATAGTAAATTGTATATATATGTGTACAAATACACATACATATGTACTTTACAGCATTGATGGTGGTATTTATTTATGTTGCACCTGATTTCAGCTCTCTTATTCCTCCCTGCACAGAGATGTTTGCTTGAATCACAATAAACTTCATATTATTTGAGTAAAAAGAGTGAGCATCTCATTGAATTTTGAACAAAACACATCAAAAAAAAAGTGTAAATAAACCTCTTTCTGCTTCAAAAAGGAAATAAAGAATGAATGTATTTTAAACAAACGTGTTTCTTCCTCTCTAGGCATGGATGAGAGGTTATGTGTATCCCCCGCCCGCCCTCTGTCGCCCTGACCTGTGACCCCCAGCCCTCCCTCTGTGAGCATGTATCGCAGGAACGGGCTCTCAGATGGCACCAGCATCCACTCAGTCACCTCAGAGGTAACACACACACATGTAAGACAAGATAAGACTTTATTTATCCCCAAGGAAATTGTTGTGCCAGAGTTACAAAAATACAATAACAATTGAATATTAAATATCTACAGGAAACATAGACGGTCACATAATTAATGTAAATATTACCAGTATTTAGTAAAGCAAAAAAACGTAGTGGCAGATGCGGAATTGCACGTTTATCATAGCACATTATTCATAATAATAATATAATATTGCACATGTTATATGTACTGACCATTGTTGTACCTTGTACATGTTCACCTGGATCCATCTTCTTCTTATATCCTCCAGAGACCCACCCATTCATGTTTGTCCTCTGTGGAGCACATTGGGTTTTGGTCCATTACTTTGAGGTTATACATGCCACAGCATTAAGTCCAATTGTACTCCACAGAGGACATCCTGGGCTTTTCAAACATATGACATATGTGGGGGTGTGGCTTTGCAAAAGATAATTTCATTGTATTTCAAAATGGCGTCCATCAACACAAGCACTATTTATAGAAAGAGAAATGTTAAGTTTGTCATTTTGTAATTACCAGAGTTGTGAGTTCAATATTTTAATTAATTATAGTAAGGGAACATCTTAGGAGTTACTGTAGTGAGTTTTCAGAGCAGTGTAATACTTATTTGACCTCAAACTAAATGTTTGTATGAATGTCCCGAGGACATGGGGATTTGCTAACCCCCATTTTACACGACACAAATGGAGTCCACTATGGGCCAAAACTAACACGTAGGTTTCTGTAGGGTTCATGGCAGATGGATGCAGTGGGAAAACACACATCAAGTGCCTCAAGTGTCAGATGTATCTCTGCATTTCAAAAAAGGATGGAGTACTACAAATGAGGGCTCAGTATTTGTTGCATTGAGTTGTTGCTCTAATGTTGTCTAAATGTACCTGTATGTTAATGTTGTTTGTATACTATGCTTCACATAACTAACACCCGATGTCCTCTACAAAGGACAGACATATTTTTTTAGTTTTTGTTAGTCATTATGTTAATACCACCCTAAAGACTTGTGTGATCAAAAAAAAAAAGGAAATTTGAAACCTTTTTCTTTCTGGGTCTCAGGACACACTCAGCATTTGGACTGCCTCTGTTGTAAATGTATTATCTTTTTAATTTACACACGACATCTATTGCACGTCCTGGGAGAGGGATCCTCCTCTGTTGCTCTCCTCAAGGTTTCTTTCATTTTTTGGGGTGTTTCCTTGTCCGATGTGAGGGTCTAAAGACAGAGGGTGTGGTATAAACTGTAAAGCCCCCTGAGACAAATGTAAAATGTGTGATGTTGGGCTGTATAAACAACCTTTGATTGATCGATATATGCAATGTAGTTATGGGAGAATGGTGACTCCAATGCCTCAAGTTTACAAAGATAAATTAGGAGTACATTTTGAACATTTCACTGACTTGTGACTCCCAGATTGATTAAGACGGTACACAGTTTAATAACAACAGCTGCTTGGATATAAAGCGGTTTCTATGGTTTCAGGCCAGCAGCAGCTCTGACTCTCTGGATGGACATTGTGTGGACTACGCCAAGAGCTACGATGCCGTCGTGTTCGATGTGCTCAAGGTGACGCCGGGGGAGTTTGCTGTGAGTGTCATTCACATATCACTCAGTATTTATAAAGCATAGCATCAGACTCCTCCCTCTGCAAAGATTGTACGTGTTGAAGACACAACTTTGAAGTGCACTTGAAACAATATCTGTTCAATAAGTTGGAACTAATTCCAATCTATCAGCAAATACACATTTAAATATTCAATTTAATGAATGTATTACCAATGCTTCGATATGACCAACATAAGCAAACGAGACCATCAGCAATAATATATGTTATTTCTATATAGCTCAACTTAATGCATGTTATTAGTTTATCTTTTTGTATTAACTTCACAGAGAGGGAGGTGGATATTGACTCACTGATTCCCTCAACCATAAATTACCATATATTAAACAGATCATAGTCAATGTTACATAAACACTGTTTCATGTCTGCTAATCGATATTTTTTTAATTAACACTGAATTACACTGCCCTAATGAGAAAGGGATTCTAAACACAAGTCATATTGTACATTATTTGAATTAAAGCACTGCTTGCTTCAGAATTGGTAAATGTTTTTCCGGACACATTATGTGATAACAGCATTTCCAAATCACCCAAGCATCTATTCCTGCATTATATACTGTAAACAAACATACCTATAGATTTGTAATTAGCCAATATAGCTGCTGTTATCGTCATTATTACCTTCATCATTGATCCTAATTACCTATGTATGTATTCTCCCATTATCATCATCATCTCTCTGTGTTGTTCAGTTTCTTAATCTCCTGTTTATTGAAAGATAATATGGTTTTCTTTCTTGTTATTCCAGAGCCAGATCACTCTGATGGATGCTCCAGTCTTCAAAGCCATCCATCCAGAGGTAAGAAACACCTGTGTTGTGAAGTGGTTGGTGCTGATCATCCACGCCTCCATCACCACATTTTAACTTTGGAGGAAAAGCAGGGTTCCAGCTGTCGTGCACTGAGTCATGTATATCCAATTGGCAGAGATGGCAAAAGTACACACATCCTTTACTCAAGTAGAAGTACAGATACTCGTGTTTAAAAATACTCTGGTAAAAGTAGAAGTACTGACTAAACTTCTTTACTCAAGTAAAAGTAAAGAGGGCTTTGAAATGTACTTCAGTAAAAAGTACCCATAACTAGCAGCTGTTTTAAAGAGTACCTGACCTCCCTTTATATTAATAGAACAATAATGTCATTGTTAGCTAATGAATGTTTCCATGCTGAACAACGGCAACATGACAACGTTTTCATTGGTCCCTCTTCTTTAGAGAAGACCAGGAAATGATGGATACACGGATCGTGTTCAAATCAATAGGCACGCAATGACTCTAAATAATAATGATCACGCCACCAAACACACATTCAAACTAAAGGAACCAGCCTGTTTGGGAAATGTGAGAAGTAGAAAGTACAGGTATTTGTGTTCAACATGTAAGAAGTAGAAAGTACAGGTATTTGTGTTCAACATGTAAGAAGTAGAAAGTACAGGTATTTGTGTTCAAAATGTAAGAAGTAGACAGTACAGGTATTTGTGTTCAAAATGTAAGAAGTAGAACGTACAGGTATTTGTGTTCAACATGTAAGAAGTAGAAAGTACAGGTATTTGGGTTCAACATGTAAGAAGTAGAACGTACAGGTATTTGTGTTCAAAATGTGAGAAGTAGAAAGTACAGGTATTTGTGTTCAAAATGTAAGAAGTCAAAGTAAAAAGTCGTCAGAAAAATAAGTAGTGGAGTAAAATACTGATACCAGAAAAATGTACTTAAGTACAGGAACGAAGTATTTGTACTCCACTACTTCCCACCTCTGACAATTAGCAAAAGTGTAAGCATTTTGAGTGAGCAGCTGTTATTCTATTATATGATCTATTCCTGGTTTATGTGTCAGAGTTAGACCAGGGTCAGGTTACAGGTCTGTGCTGTCACCTTAAGACCTCCACCTGTGGATGGCACTGTCTGTCCATTAGTACCACCTCTTTGGTAAATGTTGGCCATGAGTGTTGTGCAATAGGTCGCCATTGTCAGTAGGTGCGTCTGTGTATTGTGTTTGCGTAAATGTCAGTGATGATATATGTATGTATTTTAATATTTACTATGTTTGTATACGTACATGTCGTCCATTTACGAGACAATAAAGTATATCGTATCGTATGATGAAGTAAAAAATATATACTACACATGCTGTCTTTCTCATTATATAGCCTTTAGCAAACTCACCTAAACTAGCTGTTCAGGTTATCACTGTGATGTTTTAACAGAGCAGAGTTTTGTTACAGATTCCTTAAATGAGTTTCTAAATGTGTTGTTCTGATTGTCAGGAGCTGGCTTGCTGTGGATGGAATGGGAAAGAAAAGCACCGTATGGCTCCCAACATTGTGGCATTCACACGCAGGTTCAACCAGGTACGTTACAGCATTTCTTAAGCTCATATTTCATTGCTTTGTCACTTCTAATTTGTGCAATATAGAGTACAAAGTATTTTGCTCTTATATTCCAATTAAAGGTGGGGTAGGTAATTCACTTCAGAAACACTTTTTGTTATATTCCATGGAATGCTCTTAACATCCCGATAGCAATGAATACATTAAATGCTTTGACAATAAATACATTAAAAAAAAATCATCTGTGGAAGCCGTAGTACCGTAAAAAGCACGACCAATCATCTGAGCCGGCCCGGCTAAAATAACTGGATGGCCTACCTGCCTGTCAGCCTTCCATCTGTGCACAAACTTATCTCGTGCCCTCATTGGTCATGTGCGCGTTCGTGTGTGTTGGAGGAGGGGCTCTGTAAGGAAGTCTGAAGGAAGGGGCAGATTTTTTCCGGCTGCGTACTTTCAAATTCTAGCGCACTCGAGCTGGTTTCTCCATTCTTACCTACCCTACCTTTAAAGCTGCACTAGCGAGCCAATATACTCTACTCACTTCTACATTGTAGAAGAAAATGGAAACCATACAGTTAATTTCTTTGCGTTAAGTGGACTGATCATATCCTAAAAAAGCTCATTAATATATGGTAGTGCTGTTGGGCTTAATCTACTTTTCAGTTTTTAGTGCTTAATTTAAGACTTTTATGTTTCCAGGCACTTAGAAACTCAACTGATGTCTAACAGTAGCTCCATGTTGGGCGTTGGTTATTTAAGAAGTCTGATATCATGCTATATGATGTAGTGGCTTCCAATAAACGATTTGATCCGCTATATTAAGCTTCAAAACGTTGTCCGACAGATTTCTTCACCTTTAAAGCTACACCAATCATTATTTCCATGTTTGCCAAAGATCAAATGATTTCTAACGGCAGCAGTGAAATCCGATAACAATACAGTACCACTATCATGATGTGTACAGCTGATTATTGACATCAGATCATGTTGCTTAAATCCAGCGTGAGACAAGCATTGGAGTTCAAGTCAGGATATGTCTACATCGCTTTTTAGGTGCACTTCTGGTCTGTGGATGCAGTTACACATAGACTTGTGTTTTGTGTTTTATTATGCGTTTATATGCTGTTGTTTTTCAGGTGAGCTTCTGGCTGGTGAGAGAAATCTTGACTGCCCAGACGATGAAAATCCGAGCAGAAATACTGAGCCATTTCGTCAAAATAGCAAAGGTGAGTTAGGATTAATGATGTCTTTATTAAAGGGTCTTTATACCATTTCCAGGCCATTGTTATTTGCTGTTATTATTAATCTTAAGTTAAAGGTGGGGTAGGTAAGTTTGAGAAACCGGCTCGAGATACACTTGTTGTTATATTCCATGGAATGCTCTTAACATCCCGATAGCAATGAATATCTGAAGTGCTTTGACAAAAAATCCATAAAAAAATGTCATCTGTGGAAGCTGTAGTACTGTAAAAAGCACGACCAATCATCTGAGCCGGCCCGGCTAAAATAACTGGATGGCCTACCTGCCTGCCAGCCTTCCATCTGTGCACAAACTTATCTCGTGCCCTCATTGGTCATGTGCGCGTTCGTGTGTGTTGGAGGAGGGTCTCTGTAAGGAAGTGGCAGATTTGTTCCGGCTGTGTATTTTCAAATTCTAGCGATCTCGAGCTGGTTTCTCCAAAATTACCTACCCCACCTTTAAGTTGATTAGCAATTTGGGACAGCACTGGAGACGGAGAGTTTGATGCATAGAGGTTTCTTTTTAAATGAAATAATGAAATCCCGGAGTCAGTCAGTCTGCAGGATCTTGATGGAGGAACCAAGTCTGCGCTGGCTTTTCATAACGAGTTGCAGCTTCCTTTTTTCATCTCTACTATTCTATATAAGTCTCTCTTGGGACTGTAGTCCTGCTCTCTCAGAAGAATCTCTCTCATCATCGGCCTCACATAGTCGAGGTCGATGATACTCAGTTGAATCCCTCTGAACAGTACCTCTACAGTTTGTCCTCCTCACACACACACACACACACACACACACACACACACACACACACACACACACACACACACACACACACACACACACACACACACACACACACACACACACACACACACACACCACACACACACACACACACACACACACACACACACACACACACACACACACACACACACACACACACACACACACACACACACACACACACACACACACTTTCTTGCTCTGCTCACTATGACCCAGTTTGTATAACATTCACACACACACATGTTATGCAGCCAATGGTGACTAGACGCACCTCAACGTTAGACTTTGTATTTTACTTGATAAGGGTTATTAATTAATAATACAGAGCATGTTGTTCATTAAATATCTGTCTTTGTTCCCAGAAACTGTTGGAGTTGAACAACCTTCACTCCCTGGTGTCGGTGGTGTCCGCTCTGACGAGCGCTCCTATCTTCAGACTCAGCAAAACCTGGGCGGTAAGACATCCCATCATGCACTGCTGATTAGAACATAGGAGCCAGCACCCCCTTCAAATGAATGTGTGAGGGGGCTTAAACATGACATGACTCACAGCACCTGCAGCACAATGTGTTTTACAATGACAATCATTTATCCTTGTCCCCTTGTTTTGTGATTATAGTCAATCTATAAACCGAGGGTTAGTGGTTACCCTGAAGCCAACATGCTCTAAGCAACATCAGACATTTTATTGTTTTATTTTCTATATTCCTTAGCAGTCTGCTGATGTGTCTTATCATTTGTTATTATGGAGGGGTGTTGATGTGACTTAGTATGTAAGTAGCATGGCATTTGTTTATTAGCATCAGATTGTTGGACAGACTGGAAGCAGGTGCCACATCGCCTACAAAAATTTGACTCTGATTTTGACTCAAATCGACAAAGTCATTCGGTTCATTAAGAAATCAAGAATTCATATTTGTGTGTTTGCCATAGTTCCCTCCAAGACTCTGAATCTGAAGGTTTAATCCATGAATCAATCTCTGTTGTAGTTGATCAGTCGGAAAGACAAGGGCACATTTGAGAAGCTCAACTATCTGACATCCAAGGAGGAGAACTACACCTGCATGAGGGAATACATCCGCTCCCTGAAGATGGTGCCCTGCATCCCATACCTCGGTAAGTTGTGTGTGTGTGTGTGTGTGTGTGTGTGTGTGTGTGTGGTGTGTGTGTGTGTGTGTGTGTGTGTGTGTGGTGTGTGTGTGTGTGTGTGTGTGGTGTGTGTGTGTGTGTGTGTGGTGTGTGTGTGTGTGTGTGTGTGTGTGTGTGTGTGTGTGTGTGTGTGTGTGTGTGTGTGTGTGTGTGTGTGTGTGTGTGTGTGTGTGTGTGTGTGGTGTGTGTGTGTGTGTGTGTGTGTGTGTGTGTGTGTGTGTGTGTGTGTTTGTGTGTGTGTGTGTGTGTGTGTGTGTGTGTGTGTGTGTGTGTGTGTGTGTGTGTGTGTGTGTGTGTGTGTGTGTGTGTGGTGTGTGTGTGTGTGTGTGTGTGTGGTGTGTGTGTGTGTGTGTGTGTGTGTGATCCTTTTTGACATATTGAATTGAATACACTACAAAGACAAGATGTATTATGTTCAAACTGGTCAATTTGTTTTGCGAATATTCACTCATTTTGAATTTGATGCGTGCAACACGTCCCAAAAAAGCTGTGACAGGCATGTTTTCCACTGAGTTGCATCCCCTTTCCTTTTAACAACACTCAATAAGCGTTTGGGAACTGAGGACACTAATTGTTGAAGCTTTTTTAGCAGGAATTATTTCCCATTCTTGCTTGATGTACGACTTTCAGTTGCTCAACAGTCCGGGGTGTAGATTGTTGTATTTTGCGTTTCATAATGCGCCACACATTTTCAAAGGGAGACGGGTCAGGATAATTAAATAATAAACAAATAATATGTTTTTGATATTAGAATAAAATCTCAAATCGGCATTTATTACTGGTTGCAGTTGTTTATTGTCGCTAATTGATTTATGCTTTACTCAATGTTAAGTATTGCTGTACAACCATTGGTAGTTGCCCATTGTGAGAAGGAAGGCAGAGGGTAGTGAAATGAAACATGAAAGATTGGAGTTCAATCACTGGAAACACCAGCAGAGTTGTGCATATTTTATTGCAAAATTGGTAACATACAGATGATCAAAATAATCTTAATGAAGCAGCAAATATATACACACAGAATACCTGATGCTTACTATATCTGCGCACTAACACAGTGGTGATTCAACCTTTTTAACAGTCCCTTTCTCCTGGTATTTCCTTGTTCATTTAGAAAAGTTGACCTTGTTCTTTGATCACTTTGACATTAAGTGGTCAGAAGACCTTCAATCCATTGTTTTATTAACCGTTATCCTACCAAAATGAGATGACATTAAGCAACAAAGGAAATTATCGATAAAATGTTTGGGGGAAATAAATAACCAGATCTATTTCCTGTAGAGTTGATCCCTATATATTATACATACACAACATATACTCAATATGGCCACCAATAATACTCTGAAATACCAGTGTTTTACCAAGTTTGATCTCTGGATATAAATTCCTTTTGTTACTATTAAACATGCAATGCTGACTTTATTTAGATTCCTATTGTAAGTTTTGTATTTTAAACTCAAGCAAAGATATTCCAGCCACTTCACTTGTGAGTTCTTTTGTGTGCAATTTAGCTTTAAGAGCCCGGACTAAATGAGAAAGTGTGTTAGTGGACGGTGTTTGCATTGGGTCGTATCATCATGGTCACTTTCTTCAGAGAGTACGCTCCCCCTCTGAACTCGGCCCAGTAGACCCCGTCCTGGTAGCGGCTGCGGTAATGCCCCCCCCCGGTACCACACGCCGTTCATGTTGGAGTGAGCGCAGGCGTTGTACCACCACCCTCCTTTCTGGTAGTGGGCACAGTTACCTGGAGATACAAGGACTTAGATTAAACCAGGGGTGTCCAAACTACCAAATGCAGCCCGTGGACCATTTTTAATCGGTTTGCCCTCAGCAAATTCTAAAAGTATAATGAAATATGTCCCACAAATTAAACATCTGCTATTGTACTTCTTAAATATATCTGTTCAAATGTATAACACAGTATTCATAAGTTATTCATAAGTTAATAAGCCACATTTTCGGATAAATTCAGTCAATTAAAGTTGAAAACATTTTCTAACAAATCTTAGTTGATAAGAAAAAATACTGCATAATTGGCATTTTTTTATGATTTGAATTAAAACGGGAACAGTAGAGCTCCCTTTGGGGAACAGTCTCTTCTGCGGGTGTGTTTGCACCGAGACAATTTGCTCTGTATGAATGACAACAGCTGACATTTATACACCATGCCATCGGGACCAACTCGGGGTTAAGCATCAAGGATACATCGACATGTTGTCTGCACGGGCTGGGATCGAACCCACAACCTTCTGTTTAAAAAACGACTCTCAGCCACAGTGAAAGCACACCAACAGTTATGATAGCCTTCTCTAGTACTTAATTCCCCTCACCTGTGTAGGCGTCGTTGTCTTTGTCCAGTGTTGTGAACTGCTTGCCGTTGTGCCAGGTCAGCGAGTCTCCAGCGTTTCCGTGGTATCGTCCCACTCGCAGCCGGTAGAAGTCTGCCTCAGACTCGATTCTGAAGCTGGCGTACTCTGCGTAAGTCTTACGTCCGCTCCAATCCTCCAGAGTCACCAGCAGCTTGTAGGTGGCCTGGTTAGTCAGCCAGTAGATGTTCTCCAGACCTAACCAGTATTCCCCATCAATGTTTCCAAACCCTTGCTGTCACAAGAGAGAGACATTGAATTAGCTGCATGTAAGCTCATCCAACTGTTCTAACCAGAGATGGAAAACATTACACACATCCTTCACTCAAGTAAAAGTGCAGATACTCAGTGGATAAAAATTCTCGAGTAAAAGTTCAGAGTAAACTCCTTTACTTAAGTACATTTCAAAGCCCTAACTAATTGACTTTTACTTAATAAGAAATGCCAAAACAATTCCCCCATTTTTAATTAATTAATGTTTTTAAAATGTAGAAAGCACAATTATTTGTGTAAAAGTAATGATAATAGGGAAATCTACTTAAGTACAGTAACGAAGTATTTGCACTTCACTACCTCTGGTTCTGAGACATGATTTAATAGAAATGCCAAAGCGATTCCCCCATTTTAACTAAGTTATGTTTGTCCTCCCTTTGAATACACACCATCCATGTTTTCCAAGCATCGGTAAAAGACTGGTCATGATGTAAGAGGGAGAGGCGAAGAGCCGTGGCATTGCACGATGTGTCCCTCCGTCTGAATCACTGCTTTCAATTACATCACACATGCGTTCAATCAGGAGGGAGTCCTCGTCCATGCCAAATGTGAGTTGGCTTAAAGAGGCTTGTTGACTCATTCAGGGGGGGTTGGTGGACATCTTGGAAGTGCTCCTTTGGGGTTTAGGTTGTTATTTAAAAGTGATGAGAAAATTGTCCGTTTTGGGGAGGAAGTTGATCTTTGGCAAAGAAAAGTTTCACCCTGCGCACCAGTATTTACGTAACTGCGGGTCTTCAGAGAAATAGCTTGGAAACACAGCATGGTTACGTCTTTGAATCATTGCACTGTGAGCAACACTGAGAGCATGATTGATTTGATTTCAGCTCATATATTTGATTTTTGGTGGGTTTTTGTAATGATTACTCGCATCTTCCACAAGAAGTCCAGACTGAACAACAGATTGATGGATTACATCAAATTGTAGTGGTTTTGATTGTTTGGACGGGGGGAATCCTACTTTGGTGATCCCCTAATGTTTCCATTCGCACAACCATGATGTCATAGTTTCACTTATGCTTTGAAATATCTAAAAACCAGATTATGGATGAAAGATTGCTTTGTACAGATATTCGTGTTTTCTCAGGGGATGAATCATCATGATCCTCTGATGTTTTGTCGATTGCACCATCGGATTGACATTTGTGTTTTTGAGGGAATTTGTGCTGCCCTGAATTGTAAGACTTTGGTAATCCCCTTACTTTTCATAAAGCACTATCATGAGGTCAACATATTTGATTAAATTGTTTCAATTACATTGGTTTATGACCAAATACTTTAGTTTCATTACCATCAACCCAAGCTATTCCTTTGGGGTTTTGTGCTAATTAGCAATTTAGCATGCGAACACGCTACACTAAGATGATGAAAACTGATGTACCAACTTCCCATCTGGATGTTAGTATTGTCTTTGTGTGCATGTTAGCATTCTGACATTAGCTCAACCACTGAGCCCACATGCATCCTCACGTCTGCTAACATAGACTTGTATATAACCTAAGGTCCTAAGATGAATCTAAGATCCGATTCAACTATAGTACCTTGTACGTCTCCCAGTTTCTAAAGAAGTTCACAGAGCCATCCGTACGCCTCTGAATGACGGTCCAGCCACCGGGGTCACGTGTCTGGTCACACCAAACCTGCATCAGTCGATTGGTCTTGTCTGGTTTCAGGAGGAACATGCCGCTGTTGGTGTATCCGCCCTCCACAGCTTCCAGACAGTCTTTGAAAGGACCTGCAGGAGAGACAATATGCTGACTAACTATCGTGCATATTGATAAACAAAGGCTTTCATGACTGGAATGAATTCGACTCACATGCCATTGTCATCGTTATTATAATTCAAACAACCTGTCAAAGGAACAGACACGGCTACATTGAATAGAACATATTCGTGCAGCTGGAAAAGTAACGTCACTGTTGACCATGTGTTCTGTATGTCACTGTTGACCATGTGTTCTGTATGCCACATTTGACCATTTATTTCCAGTGTCTGTGATGCTGACAGCAGGAAAGTAACATTAATATCTCTATAAAAGTGTGTAAAAGTGTTATTTTTAAAGGTTACCTATTATGCAAAATCCACTTCTTCATGTCTTTTCTTCATAAACATGCTTTTATTTTTCTCCGCCGAGTTTCCATGGAGATGACAGCCAACACACACACACATATACAACAGTGTGTGTGTCCATGTCTTCTCAGCTGATTGCTCTTAACGTATAGTACCTGGCTCCTTCTACTCTCAAGTCCATGATCTAAATATTCAGTAATCTCCATCACAAGGCCACAGCCAGCAACAGCTCCTCAGACTCTACACCAGTCAGGGTTCACCCT